ATGATCTTCACCAAAAATCTTTTTGTAAATAGTCAGTGCGTTTCCGTGAAGTTCTTTGGCTTGATTGTATTCTCCGAGGCTGTCGTATACTAATGCCAAGTTGTTGTAACTTGCTGCTACATCGGCATGATCTTCACGAAAAATTTTTTTGTAAATAGTAAGTGCTTTTTCGTGAAGTTCTTTGGCTTGATTGTATTCTCCCAGCCTGTGATACACTTCGCCAGTTACATTCAAAACCTTCCCTTTACGAGCAAGCGCACCCATTGAAGTGTCATCTAAGTTCCGCAGTAGGTCGTATGCTAAGTTGACCACACTTTTCGCAAAGATGAAATAGGAGCTTTCTTGACAGACCCCGGCGAGATTATGTAGCCAATCAATAACTGTATCCAAATCTATGAAGAGCGCAAACCTTTCTGAAAAAGTGCTTTCATCTGAACTAAACTCTGACGTCATCTGCTTAAGTAAAGATTCACAGTGGGGCCTCAATTTTCTACGAAACGCATAATTCTCGAAATTTTCTTCGAGTTGGGAGTTGAAAATCTTTACCGCTTCTGCCATGGTGTGGTCACTCTCCCGGCATGATTTCAGGTTAGCTATCTCGCCTCGTTTCAAAGCGTCATGCACAATTTTATGTAAACGTAAGTAAGTTCGTTCACCCCCTTCTTCGGAATGAACAAGACTTAAAGAGGACCTTACAATGTTTGCTTTCATTAAAACCTCTGGATGGTCCTTTACTTGGGCTTTGACGAACTTTAAAACAGTTTCGAGTGGTAGGTCGTCGTTAGCGCAGAGCGAAAGAAAAGAATATGTATGAAGAAGAACCTCGTCTGTTTCAACAGCTCTTTGGATAGCCATTTCTACTGCAGCCATTGTTGTTTTAGCGTAGGCTGAACTCTCATTAGCAAGGACAGTTTCCGCCGATTTTCGCTGGCTGTATGTTGATATGTCTTGAAGGTAAACTTTCCAATTATAATTTGAAGACCCACTGGTCACAACAGTTTGCACGAAATATGCAGCAGCAGCTAAGGCCAGTGGCTGAAAATCGAGAAGTTCAGCGACATTTTCTGCTTGTACTCGCTCGGAAATTCGCGATACTGTTTCCAGCAATTCCACTGCCTCGTCCCTCCTCATTCCTTTGCTTAACGATTCATGATACGTGTGAGGAGCGTTTTGAGGAATTGTACCACTATCTTGAGTGGTAATCAGCACTTGCCCATGGCCCCATTCTTTACTGCCAGTTTGAGGAAGCAAGTCGCGGACTAAGCGTAAATCAATCACATTGTCTGCTATTATCAACCATTTGGTAAACTTGCTGGTCTTCGGCAAAATCAAGCGATGGAGCTGTTTAATTGCTTCAATAGGTTTCTTTTCTTTTATAGATTCTAAGCCTTTCAACGCGTATTCTGTTATCCCTAAGTGTCTCCCAAGGCTGAGGTAAGAGTCAGCAAGTTTGTCAATGCTTTCTGTGTTCAGTGTCGCCACAAAGATAAGATCATTGTTTTGTTCAGAAAAGAACTGTTGCCCGATTTCCCGGGCAAGTTGGCTCTTCCCACATCCTGGATTTCCTGACAAATACACTGTACTGACTGCTCCGTTTGAACTTTTGTAAAGTTCCTGCATTTCGTTAGTGATTCTTTCAATATCATGCGAGCGCCTGATTGTATCGTGTGGTGGGCACGATGCGAGAATGCAAAATGGCTGAAGTTTCACACTTGTTTCCTGTGTGAGAGAAACCAGGGCAGCTTCGGTACTTTGAAGAGTGCTTTTGGTCTGATCTAACTCGGTTTGGAGATCACGAACTTGCTTCCTTATTTTTTCCACTTCCTTCGTCGGAAAGGTCTTCTGGTTCTTTATTTCTTGAATCTCAGTTATAGCCAGACCAAGGGATGTAAAAGCGTTCAACACTCTGTCTACAGAAGTTTGGAAGTCGGCATCCTTCAACTTAGCCTCGGTGATATGAGCGATCTCGTTTCGCACCTGACGAATATCATCGACCTCTTTACGGACAGCTGGGCTTAAGGTTTTACCAATGCTGTCCGAGTACAGAATGGCAAAAAACAAACAGGTACAGTCCCACTCTGCCATGTCACCATTGTAGATTATTGCCAGAGTTCGGGCGTTTTTCTTGCGACTTGCTTTAGATTCTTTGTTGTAAAAATCATGTCCATTTTGTGCCGTGTCTTTCCATTCTCCAGTTAACGTTGTTTTATAAAGGAAATCCCATTCGTTTTTGAAAATGTGCCGCAGTCCCACTGGAACTAAATCAAATGCTATGTAGCAGAGTCTGAAGTAGTTTAGTTGCTCTTGCGAGTATTCCATCACCAACTTATAATCCTAGTAAGAGATATTGCCTATTAGCTTATTTTCTCTTCAGGCCAAAACAAAGATTATTTACTTAGGGACGGACCATTAGAAAAGTTATAGTGGGGGTGGGGAATTTTCGAGCCGCAGGAATATTTTTTCGTGATCACATTCCTTGTATGAATATTTTTTAGCGCATGGCACGAATATTTTTTAGGGTTAATTGGCGTGCATGAATTTTTTTTCATTTAATTTTCCCTTGCGCGAATATTTTGTTTGTACTTCGCCCCCCCCCCCCGATAAGTTTTCTAATGGTCCGTCCCTTATCATTTTGAAAATGGCAAGAATCACCGCTGCTTATGTAGCACAGTTATTCCATAAAATGATTATGAAAAGCAAGCCGTAACTAATGATAAACTAAGTTTAATACGGGACGCTAGGAAAGTAGCTATAGTTTTGCGCTGATAGATAAACGACTGCGTCTGGGCTTCAAACACAACTTGCTTATCAGGGACCGGGCTCAATCAGCAATGTGTTTCTACGACAGTACCAATAATGATCTAATAGAGGCCAGGTTCTTTTATTTAATTTTAAGGGTCATCAAAGAGCACTTTCCTTACTTTGAACTTGGCGTTTAACAAGATGCAATGTACAACCAGGGGAACCCAACGAGAATATAGTACAAAACCACTTAAACATAGCATTGTTAAATGTATTTTAGTATTTAAACGGTAGATACACGTTGTAGGCATATTTTTATCCCCTAAAAATTTTTCATCTTTTCGGATTTTCTAGCTGAAAGTCTAGTGATCCGAAAATTATAGGCATCAAAACTTGCCTTTTCGAAACTTTCAGCCAGAAAAAAGGCTCCCGAAAATTCTAGGTGAACTTTTTAGGGTAAAAATCTGTTAAAAATGGGCAATTATACCATTTTTTACATGTTCCAAAAGCCTAGGAGAGGCAGGCCAGCAAGAAATTTTACAAAAAAAGTTCCGAAAATTCTAGATCTCAAATCGTCTTCCGAACAGATATTTTCCGAAAATTGACGTTGGGTGCCCCTGACAAACCATTTTCAATCGAGCAATAAACCAAACATCGGTGAATTGAATGATTTTGCTCTATTTCGCTATTCCCGAGTATTGTGGAGTAATGGTCATGGGGAGGCATTTGTTAGACAGGGGGCGTTTAATAGTGAGGGGCGTCTATTACAAACAGTGTGTGGAAAGTCGTTTAATTTAAGACCAGAGCCGGGCCTTTATTTGTATTGAAAAGGGGCTTCTACTAGATCATGTATTTCATTCGATGTTAGTGTCTCCATTGTCAAACACATTAATGACGATTTACTTTATTTTGATCAGTGCACAAATTTTAAGAGTTCTTGGCCTTTCGAACAGTGCTTCGTTTGGATGACAAGTTGAGGGTAACAGATATCCTAGAAGAATGTAAAAGTAGGGTAGAAGAAGGATGCGATAAGAAGCAGGAAAGAGATTAAACATGTTTGTCTAGAAGTGCGCTATTTTCGATATGCAAGCTCTGTGAACTCCAGAGCTCTTTTCTTTGCGCGGCTGAAAAAAAAAGGCTCTCGAGTCGAGATTGGTGGGGAGGGGGGCGACCGGTAGCACCACTGTCCCATAGACAGGTTTAGAGTGCGGGGGAAGATGACGATCACATAGCAAAAGAGAACAAAGCGGGTTATACAAAGTTCTCTGCAAGTTCGTTTACTTTCTTGCCACTGAGATTGGTCTTAAAAACGGTACACGAAAATTTCTCTTAGCATTTTAATCCTTTCACTCCTAGACTGAGTTGTGGTGAGATGACCCATCATTTTCATTTGTACCTGTGGACCTTGTAATTGTGTGTTCACGCCACCCCCCCCCCCCCGGGGGGGGGCAGGTTACTCCCTTCAATGGCCTATACGGGGAGGCTCCTCCCCAAAGGGGTACCTTTTTCATCCTCCAGGTAAATGAAATGTTATGGATTTCGCTTGTTGAAGTATATGAATGTGTAGGGAAATATGTCATTTCATCGGTAAAAAGGCTCAAAAAGGCCAACAGGTGCATTTTAAGGCAGTGAAAAAGTTGAGAAAACGTTCTGGTTTTGTGATTTATTCATGATATTTTAAAGACAATGCATGTACAGTTGTTGAAAGGGATGCAAAGTTCTATACTTGGTAAGTGAGAGAGGTATCATTTATCAATAGATGGTATACGAAAGGGGGGACTTTTCTGTCAAAAACGGTATAAAAATGGGTAATTAAGGGGTCGAACCTCGGGGTGGAGCCTCCCCGTATACCATATTTGTAGTACCCCCCCCCCCCCCCCCCGAGATGTTGTGAACTCGCGACGAAGCCCAAAGAACCAGCGTCTGCTTGGGAGGCCTAACGTATTTCCGGTCGTCGCCCTGCTTCACTATCTGATCACTAGCCTGCGTGGCAGGCGTTCGAAACGGAATGGGAAGGGAAGTAGGGCGCGAGACCACGCGCGAGGGAGGAGCGCGCGCTCAAATTCCCCCTTCCCATTTCAACGCCTGCCACGCAGGCTATCTGATCACCGAAAAGTAACGAGAGACGACCGGAAATATGTCTCCTCTTTCTCTTCGGCCGTCGTTTTTCGGAGAATTTTCACCTCTTAAGACTTTACCCAAAGAAATTTTTGTTTTTCTGAATTTTTAAGTTGGGCACTGTTAGGATTGATAAGGTTTTACTTTTGCGCAGAAAAGCGATGAATCCTCGCTATGAATGATGACCCAGACATTAAAACACACAAATCATTTGCAAATGAACATTCGTTTGATGTTTGATTCCTGTTTCAAATATGAAACACTCATTCGTTTTGATTTTGGACAACGAATGACCCACCGTGATCGGTGTATTATTCAGGCTAGGGAATCAGTGCTAACAACCCCTTTAATGAGCGTATTTTTAACAAAATAGCGACCATGATCGCGCAGAAACGTACAAGGAAGTGTACCCGCAAATGTAAACATTTCTGATCCTTACGCGAAAATAATAAAGGTTTCGAAGAACCAGATGGTCATAACAAGTAAACTCTTTTCATCACCACAAATTCTACACCATGCACCCAACTTGTACTCAAGACAGTGGCGATAGTTCTGTGTACCGAGGTCGTCAAATTCTTTAAACGGTAATGTGTGGTGTACGAGTGGAACTTCGACAAAATAATTATCCTAAATGTTTCTTTATCTGTGGGTATGTTAAGCTGAATAACCGATGCAAAATTACTCACCTTAACCAAAATTGATCCAAGGAACTTCGATTTAATAAAACATAAGGTAGCACCGATGAAGAAGAGAAATTGCTTGTCTAAAGCGGAACTGCTCGAAATTGATCTAAAGTCATCACCTGACCGATAACATTGAATAATATTGGCGTCTGACTAAGATCGATTACGCAAATGCCGTTATGGTCGATCTATTTTCACAGTCACGCTATTTTCCACAATCACGCTATTCGAAGAAAATGAGGGCCCGTAAAGGCGCTACGGGAGGGGAACCCGAAGGGTATGCTGGTCGGAAAATTAGAATTAAACCCCTGCTAGGATTTATTTGACCCCCAAAGGATCGATTCTGTCAACCTAAGACTTTTAAACTTGCTTAAGATTATACAACTTCGCTTTTATAGCTTTGAAACCATGCAGTTCTCTATATTTAAACACATTTTGTAATGTTTTATTTAGAGAGATTATGCGTGCACGTGGATGATGTCATCAATTTTAAATTCTTTCATGTCACGCGAAGTGGTCGCGAATTATATAAACTTACATCATACTTCCGTGAACAAAAATAATGTACAGTTCAATTACAATTTCCTAAAAATTAAAGTTGTATCTGTCTACGTTTGGGTTACCTCAGTTAGCGAATTACATTAATTATCCTAGTGTTTAAAAAGAATAGGCAACGTTGTTTAGTGATGCAGCTTCTAGGGTTCAAGTTACACTGCTGGAATTTTCTTGTTGCACAGTTTGCAGCGATTTCATGCCCGATTTGCCAGTAGATGCAACTGAAAGTATAGTGACCAAATACAGTCAACCAGTAGCATTCAGTCGCTGTATAACAGTGTCAATCCTTCGTGCAGGGTATATTAGGTAGAAAATACCACGAGGGCACCATTTTTTCTTTTCCCCCATAAATAGAGGCAGGTTTTGAAAACCTACGCTTACTTGACGAAAAACCAGTCCCCTCGCATTCTTTGATCTCAACTATAACTGTGACGTCATCACACAGTACCTCAGAACGTTTCACCCGCACAGATAAGGGAGAGAACGAGAGAAAAGGAAAGGTCGGCTTTTTGTAAATTTGCAAGAATGAGCGGCCTTTCCATGTACGCACGCTATACGCTAAAAATGTTCGTTCCCGGAGGACCGCAAGCTTAAGGGGTACGCTGTTCTCAGGCGGCTCTTTTGAGGTGAATGCCGACAAGCGACATGGCCTAGGGGAAAAGGCGACAAACAAAACAGAGACAAATATAAACGTAAAATACCGGACAAGAAAACCTTCACCTCAATACGTGAAACAAGTGGTTTTAAAATTCACACTTGGGACAAAGGTTCCTCTCACCCCTCTTAAAGGGCCTCTCTTCTTAGGACCTGTTTACATGGAGGTGGGGGACCCAGGTAGGTGAGGTAACATGTGGCGGGGTCAACCACCTCTCATGTAAACGTGATCAAATTAAAATGAGAGATTATATGGAAAAGCAGGTTACCTCACCTACCTGGGGTGCCCCACCCCGCGTAAACAGGCCCTAAGGCCCCGACTATCTGGAGAATAAAACTAGTCCCAGGTAGAGGAGAGTCTCGATGGGGTAACCCCACCTAAGCGGGTGACCTCACCTACCTGGGGTCCCCCACCCCCGTGTAAACCGTCAGCCGTCAAACGACCTAAAATTTAAACGTCAACCTTCAAAAAAAAGCTATATTTTACCGTCAACCGTCATAAATGTAGATTAATATTAACCGTCAAAAAGTCATAAGGTATCTCAAATTTCACTATTTCAGCTGATCTTCACGGACTAAGGGCTCCTGAAGAATCTCTAAATTGGAAAAGTCAGTTTCCATGTTGTCCAAAAAACACACTCTCTAAACGTTACAACTTGCTTCTATCAGAAAATATTTCAAAATCTTAAAAGCGAAAGGCCAAGACAACCTCCAAGACCCGAAAGTTAATATTGAGTTATACAGAATTCATATTTGCTTTAATTCTTGGGCTATATTTCTACTTAATAACCGTCAACCGTCAAAATTGGAAAAATTAGCCGTCAACAGCCAAAGCTACCACCCCACTGAGGCCCTCGTGAAGGGGGTCACTTGCCTATCCGAGCTACCATGAACGAGTCAACATTTCCTACATTTCTTTACAATTAAAGCTTGGCGCACCGTTAACATTGGCGCATCATTATACATTTCTGCGAAACTGCCCACCTACCCCTTCCCTAAGCCAACATTAGCACTTACTTCTCACTTAGCGCAAAATGTTGGCTTAAAGGAGGGGTAGGTGGGCAGTTTTCCAGACACCTATTATGATTGGCTTGGCTAGAAGGGACAAGTTTTCTTGGGAAAGGGGGGTCATCCTCCCAGCAGAGTCAACTTAAGCGAGTGCTTATAAGACGTCATTGCCCGAACCAAGAGCAAGCAACGGCGCTCGCGCAACGCATGCTCTGATTGCCTTGTCTTGACCGAGTAGAGCCGGTTGGGAGAGGAGTTGGCTGGGATAGAGGGCTGACCCTACCTTCGCCAAAGGGTAACCCGACTAGGCGGGTCATCTCCCTAGAAACGGGCCTAATTCAGATTTTTCCCTGTCTACAGGTATGTTTAGTAAGAAGAGATCCCATCAGGTGCGCTTACACATAAAGAATACCAGTTTGAGGAATGGACACGAACGTTTAACTAGCCTGCGTAGCAGGCGCTTGGAAGTAGTGGGCGCAAGAGAGAACGGGCGCGCGCGAGGGAGACACGCGCGGGGTGAGGGAGCTCCCTCTCCCCTCGCGTGTCTCCTTCTCGCATGCCCGTTTTTTCTTGCGCTCACTACTTCCAGGCAAAGCACCTGCTACGCAGGCTAACGTTTAAAAAACCCTTCTAATTTTAATGACTTAATAAATCCAGTGCAAAAAGGCTTACAATTAGTCTTTTATTATAAATCCAGCTCAAACTACACTTGACTATACAAATCCAGATAGAAAAATTGAATAAAAATGTCACAACTTCATCATCTACACTCTATGGTTAATGAAGTGAGAGCTCCTGATATTAACTTTACCCCAAGATAATATAGAAATACTAAATACGTTATTGTTTAACCTATTAAAGCACGATTACAAATTAAAGTGTCTTGTCCCCTCTCGGAATTCTACAAATTTGTATAGGTAATAGCATGATCTGTAGTGATATTTGGCATAAATACCACGAGTGATATTTCGAAATTGTTGTACGTAAATTCCCGAGCCGTTAGGCGAGTGAAATTTGAGACAATTTTGAGGTATCACATGTGGTATTTATGCCAAATATCACGTACAAATCATGATATTATTTGTTTATACTACTACCCGCACAAGGTTTCTAATTTTCACATGTAGGTATTTCAAATTAAGCTCAAATACCACTGCTCTAAACCAATCAAATTGCAGAAATGTCTCATGTAGTAGTATAAACTGGGTAAGTATCTGCAAGCGTCGCTGATTGAATGGGTATATTTGAACGTAAAACGGGCCATCTGCCCGTGCATTGAGATATAAGAGGAGATCAAACTGAAGCAAACGAGAAAAAGGCAAAGTTTTTCTTTAAACTGTGCAGATGGTTACTAAACTCTCCTTTAATACCAAGATCAAATTATTCCCGAGTAACCGAACTTAATTCAGAGGTTAGGAAATAAAGGAAACATAAAATAAAATAAACAGAAGATACCAAGATGCATGAACTATGAGCCTCCCTATGGGACCACGTACCTGCGGTCGTCGATTTCGTCGCGCGTTTTCCACCAAATCGTCAGTTTTCGTACCCTGGGTGCCAGAGACTTTTCATGCACGGTTTCCGGTTTCGGTCTTAAAAAGTGACCAGCGCCGAGCCAATTACAACCCCGCTTATACCAAAACATCCTTCGCCGCTCGCGTTTTCGGCCTTCGGCCGAACTCGTGTCGGCTGCACTAAGCTTCCCGTCGCACGCGAGAAAAAACCTCTGGTACCCAGGGTACGGTTTTTGAGGCGAGATCGTCACATATCAAGAATTGATTTGCATGGTAACACTACTAACGAGCTTACCGAACCACAACGACCACAGAATCGAGAAAAAAAAAGTAACATGTTAAATAAGCAAAACAAAAACTCTGAACGGACGTGCCGCACACTTTTTAGCAGATTTCTTTGCTTTCATCACACACGACTAACTTTGTCAAACTTGATTGGAAAGACAATTCGATCGTCGCTTTAACCGACTACGATTTCGTACGACATACCCATACAGAGGCTCAACGAAAGGCTACTAAATTATGGTCATGTCTTATTAACCTTGACCAGCAAAGTGGGCAAATGCTGTCTACCTATTAACCCTTGAGACCCTAAGATCAAAATTTGAATTCTCATTTGTGGCCCCTATTCATTTCCTACAGAAGTAGAGGGGAGAGGTTGATAAAATATCGAGCAAATTCATCTTGTGTGATCATGTCCGTAATTCTCATGGCCACACTGTTTTACAAAGCATTGTTATTACAAGGAGAAATTTGATGCTGATCACTCTTAGGGCTTAAAGGGTTAACGAGACACGCGCATAATTTATTTTAATTATGACAAAACTATTCCAAGCTTAAGTCCCAGGTACTAAACTAGTGTGAAACTAAGGACATACAAAAAGAACACATTACTTTAAACAAGAGAGCCTATTGACAATACTAATTGTTCTTTATATTATGCTCAGCGTGCCCAATACTTGTGATTCATCAGACAGTCAAATAAAGTAGTTTTTCAAGCATAGGTCCCATCTTTGCCAATCTTGCAGATCAAGACAAGAGCGAAAATCATTCCAAGGACCTAAAGATAAATAAAAACACAGATTTACATTAAAACATTCAAGCATTATCGGCAGCCTTAAACACAATGGCTTATTGCGTTTGACGAAGGAGAAAGGTTACTATTCGAGTCCCCCAGGAGATCTCGAGGTTAGCGTTCTGGATGTCATGCGATTTCATGGTTTTATTAGGATTTTTTTTGGTCACCATTTTTGAAAAATATACAAGAAGTCGTACGGTGAAACGTTGACCTTGTCATCTCACTAATTCCGGGTGCGTTGTATTTGAAAAAAAGTCCCAGTAGGTGTGTTGTGTTAGCGCAGTGTCATGCAACAAGGGTTGAAGTCTTACACGACGCTTTGACACCTTAATCAGTCAATGAACTTTTCAGATAACTTTCATTTTCTGTAGCCCAATTTTTAGCCAATTTTCTTGACATCCTACTGTACAAAAGAATATCTTGAGGATTATAGTCAGTGTTTGACGTGCTGTTACTTAAATGCACTTAACCTAGAGGCAAACCCAAGTAAAATAATGTAAAAAAATACAGGAAGCTCTCGCCTTTTTGAGGAAAAATGAAATAGTAACGAATTGCAAAGTGGGAGGATAAGCAATAACACTGATAAAGACAGCTGCTGATATTCATATTGATAAAAGTGTTTGATTTTGATTTCTCAATCTTACAAGCTCATAACGGCTTGCACCCCTTTACCACTACCACTGACTACCCACCCAACCCCCTTGCCATCGAACACACTCCCCTAATTTGCAATTATTACTAGTACGTTAGATTAATTGGTTACTGCTGCGTTTTCGCGAGAGTTCTTCGAGAAAATTAGGAGGAGAGCAAAAAAGCGGAATACTGCTTTTATGCCACGATAGCCCCACACCCCTCCAAAAAAAAGGAAATTAAGACAGAGACCTCTGCCGGCCCATGATGCATTTCCACATCACGTAGACTCGGGGGTTTCCTTAACAACCATTAACGTTTTAGTCACGTGCAATGCAACTTACAGATACGGTTTGTGCGATAACAACTGTGGGCTCAGAAATTTCAAACGCACAGTCTCAACAGGGCATGCGCATTCCACATTAAATGAATTCGGTTTTGTGAAACAGACAGTTTCGACCACAAATCTGGTCAGCAGCTACATAAGACAAAGCATCAGCGGCCTGCCTCTCTCCTTCCTCTCATTTCTCTCTCTCATGAGAGAACTCTGCTACATTTGTAGAAGGGAAGGTGCGAACAAAAGACATGTATCCATGTTTTGGAAGTAAGAAGCACGTGGTAGTTTTGTAACTCCCTCCTGGGTGGCATACTGGCCCATTGAAGGGTATCCCCTATAGCTAACCCGCGAGAAAGCTCTCCTTGGGGTCCCGCCGCCAGGTTTAAAAGGTTTGCTTATAGTGGAAAGGGCACTTAGCTTATCCAGCTAGTTTATAGGCAACCCACTCAAATACTTGGAAACAAATAATTCAAATACAACATCACAGGACTGAAAAACCGAACTAATAGGAAGTAACCAGCAGACTATTTGCATCTAAGCGTGGACATGAGACAAAAAAATAGGTTCTAATACGGTGCCAGGCATGATGTGTTTTGCCGCCAAACATTTGAGGTTTGACAGCCGTTAAAGCAAACTGTCGCGCCAAAGCTAAGTTATTTATATGTTTTTGATCAGTGCATTCCGCTCATATTTCATTTTTCTCAACTTTCAGGCATAATTCTCACTCAGAAACAGCACACTTGCCTTCTGGAATTATTCTTAACATCTAAAAATTCCTACAAAGAATATTTTGTTGAGCGAAAACAAATCAAGTCGACAACAGCCACCTACTCTAAACTACGAATGTTTGGCTGCAAAACATGTCATGTTTGCACCCAATTAGAACATGTTTTTTCCTCACATGTACATGCTTAGATGCAACCAATAGTACAAGCCTGGCTGAGGACTTAAAATTGGGATGACCAAGAACACATCCAGCAAGTGGTCACAGCAAGACTGGAGGTCAGGACCGCCAGATTGCGAGTCTGATGCACTGACAACTCACTCAGCCATGCTGCCTCTTAAGTGCCCCGGAGAGCTTCAAGCTTACCCCTTTAGTATATGTTGCTGGTACATGTTTACATGTACGGTTGTAAGGAGACAACCTGCCTCACTTTAAGTACCATTGGTTCTTTTAAATTGTAATTTAAGAGTTCCACTTACGTTAGTTAAAAAAAAAAAATACACAGTGGGCACCTATTATGTCCAAGGACTTTCACTTTATGGCACAACCAGTCAGCCAGTCCCTAGATAGAGATTTGCCCCCATGGGTGGTGAATCTACACCTCAAACAAAGGAGGATCACCTCCAAGCAGTGAACTCCAACATTAAAAGAACCAGGCAACCCTCACACTGATTAATCAACGGAAAAAATAACATGGGGCCGGGGGGAGGGAGGGAGGGATGAGGATAATAAAAATGCAAGATCCAAAGGCTAAACAAAACCCGGCGACTGCCATCAATGCAATACAAGGCAGACAGACTGGTGACTGACTAATAACACAAGGCGGTGCTCTTTGTTAATATAAATCACATATTTATAACAGATTTTTATATGTAATGGTTAAAGTTACAGCAAACATACATTTACTGCTATAAGATTACCTGAATTACAATAATCGTAATGCCAACAGCACCAACATAGTACAGTTTGTCCTTCAGAAGTTTTTCTAGCTTGTCTTTGCAGGGCTGAAAAGATTCAGGTGATAGTTATTATTATTAATCCATTAAGTTCTAATAGTGACCAATGTCAATTTTCTCCTAATGATATCCATACATTGTCAAGAGATTAGCTTATGGAATTAATAAATTGATCACTAAAGAGAAAATGCCTTGATCTTTTATAAAATTCTCTCAACAGATTCTCAAAGAAAATGTATGGGGATCAGTTAGAGAATTTGTATCATGGGGGCTCAAAGAGTTGACCCATTCACACATGAACTGCCTGCAATTTTCAGTAAAGGCACGTCTAGCAAAAGAAATGAAAATGTGAAAAGAAAAGTTAAAGGAACAGGAAAGAGAGAAAGCCAATGGTTCAAGTCAAAGGGCACTGCCCTTTGTAGATCCAGAGCTACATGTACATTCAGTTTATGACAGCAGACATGTATCAGATATGGTTGCACTTAAGTTGCCGGAACATGAATTTATAGCTCTGTTGAACTTTGTACAAGAGAGAAAAAAAGCATGTTTACGGGATTAATTTACTCACTACAGCTTTAAAAAAATCAGCTCTTGTTCAAACTTCTAACCCACAATTACGCCACATACTTCCAAGTTAAAGTCAATAATCAATGTTTCATTTGTAGACATTTTAAATATAATGATTTTTTTATACTTCACTTTGAAGCAGGTGAAACATAATTCACGTACGTTGTGCTGTTCACGATAGCTGAATTAGGTCATAAATGTCTTGAACCAGCAGCCACACTAAAATATGAACCCTTAAACAGCTGCATCACTGTACTCAGCATTTGAATCATGAAGATATTTAAATGCTATGCTTCTAAACACCTTTAGCCATAATAAAAGACCACAAAATTGTGAAGAACCAAAATGGTGGTGTCAAAGTGCCCTTATTTGACCTTTTAAGCAGCAATGTCATGTTTAGATGCCAAAATCTCATTGGTTCCTATGCATCAACTCATAGTACCTTTAACCTTATTGGCCCCTGCAACACACATGTATCTGAACAGACAAAGACAGGAAGATACATTGTACATTTAGACCACTGACAAATTAGCTCTTTTTTCAAAAAAATCCTTTTTGACAAATCATACGAAATAAATAATAGTACTATGCAAGAGTTCAACTAAAAAAGATTTCATTTGAATGGTCACACCATAGCATTTCATCCACAGATTCAGGAATTCAAAAAAAAAGAATTCATCCTCTTACAAGTGAGATGAATCAGTTTAGGAGTGAGTGACTTCATGTGCTCTGTTATTGTAAAATTCAATTACCACGATAAATAAACCTTTAGTTTAACTGTGCAAATGATGCCTGGTACCTATCTACTGCAATTTAAAAGAAAACAAAATTACAAAGATTACAAGGAAAAAGCTTTACATACAGCTGTGTAAATCTTTGCAACATCTTTTCCACAGTCTTTTGTTTCCTCTTTGCAGCAACTTTCTGGAACTTCGTGTGACCCATTAAAAGCCTTTGATCGATACCATTCTGTGTAGTTATTCCAGCCACAGCATTCTTCCTAAAATCAAAAAAGGAGAAGTCCTTCCTTTTGTCAGAAAATTCTGAACCAAATAAAAGAATATAAAATAGGCAACAATTTGACAAATCTTTTCTTAGTTAATAACATGCTCTCTTGCACTGACAGTTAATAAATTAAGCCAAACATCAAACTTTTTATGAAACAGGTCAATCTAGGTGGATTAAAAACATGAAAGTTTTTTATCTGTCTCAGTGAAGTTGATATGAATGGGTTTGGACTGGCTGCCATGATCTATCTGTCTGAAGAAGACACATAGAAATTCTGAAGGTTGTCTCGGGAACAAATTTCAATCTTCTCATGAGACATGGGACATATTCAACCACTATACTGCAAATCAGTATTAAAAGCAGCCAAATCATTTTCTTGTGAAAATCCGCTGGCCCAATGTATTTGATGTCTAATAAATTTATTAGTTCGATGTTTGATTACATTGACATGATCTGACCCAACAGACGACCTTACCTTAACTTAGCTTGACCCAAATTACCCTCTGGTATGTCTCATGAAAAGTTTGGCCTTTTTCCTGAGGGACCATTCATTATTTATCAGAGGTGGGTTGGTTGAGAAATAGACGAATCTTCTTTTTTGTGACCACCTTAATAAACTCCCCTTTATTCTATTCATGGAAGAATTTCAATGTATATTTTTTTTAAAGACCTTGTCTCTTTGAAATTTTAAGGCCCCCCTACATAACATATACATGTTATTTACTGTATTTACCCCAGGTGATCCCCCTCTTTGCAGTGGCTAAAATTTGGAGCCTCTCCCATTTTCTCACCCATCCACCCATCTGATAAATAACGAACAGACACTAAGCCAAGCCACAGCCTTCTCTGGGTTATAATCCTCACAATTTTATCATCTTTGTAGTCTCAAAGAAAGTATTCGTAAAAGTATAATCATGTTTCTTTACCTCTTTTTGCAGAGCATCCCAGCCCTTTGTAGTTCCCTCACTACCCTTCTCTCCATAATGTGATTGCAGTTCATTTTCAACATCTTGATCAAGTTTCTCGTCCAACTATAAATAAGTTAAAACATGTCATTAAGGTACAGTACCCAGTCAGTTTACAGGGGTGGAATTATCACAAAGCATCTGATAACTTCTTGTCTCAGAGTAACTTAGTTAATACGTGTATTATCAACCACTAACATACACGTAGTGAGTATGGGTCGCCTGTATAGGGTTTGTACTCTTTAAAGCTTTTCAAATTCCATAACTTTCCATGACTTTTTCCAGGATCTTTTCCAGTTTTCCATGACTTTATGATTAGCTGTCACTTTAAAAAATTTTCAAACCTATACTTGATTTAAGGTGTTTTTATATCTAACTCTACTTTACTTCTCTACTTTAGTTTGTTGTTGCTTTGACATCTACAGTAGTGTATCTACCAAACAAAACTTTAATTATTGTCCATGACTTTTCATGACCGGCAATGAAATTCCATGACTTTCCAGGTTTTCCATGACCTGTACAAACCCTGCTGTGACAAGAGAAAATTACAGAAAACAGAACTTACGTCTGCCCGATGTTTATACGCCAAAGCAGCACCAGCAATCTCCATGGCAAGAATAATAAGAAGGCAGAGGAAGAACTATACAGATATGCCAAAAATAAAGATATTACATATTTACAAGTTTCAACCCACATGAATTTTTAAAGCAACATTATATTAATTAAAATAATACAGCAAAACATTAATTTACACGCAGCTTGTGCCACCCATAAAAGTAAACCTCTGTCTACTGCAATCCTCGCAATCCCCCCTCCCACCCTACCCTGGGACTTCTTTTATTTTGATGCACATTTGAAGGGGGGCTTAATAGACAGGAGGGTGGGGAAGCATTTTATATGAGAGGAGGGGCTTAATAACTTTCTTCCTTGAGATGGGGGAGCTTAATAAACAGAGGATTTTATATATGGTACAGTAAGCCTGTCTGCAAACCAGCAACAACATTTTGGGGGGTTAATGAGGTGTATTACACAGCATGGGCAATGTGACAGTGGTGAACTCTATTTCATGCCCCTAGAGCTGAATGTGTGTCTAGAAGTCAATTTTCTATAGCTTTTACACAGTCACTACTTAAGCATCGCACAATGTAAAAAAGGCAATTCCCTCGAGAATCAGAACTTACAATGACCAGCATGCACCTATTTTCCTTCCAGGCTCCACAACATCCCATGAATGAAATTAAGGCAATAAGGCAACCAGCAGCAATGGTAACTTTGGATCCTGTCGCATATGGGATACTATCGGTAAGGGTGACATAATCGCCGAACTTAATAAGAGTCCATGCTCCAACACCAATCAGCACAATGCCAAACACCTACAGGGTACACAAACAAAGGCACATACAAGTCAGCCTTTAAGAAGCAAAATCTACATTGTACTTACACATTTAAGGCCAGGTTCAGACGCCATACTTCACATGAGCCAAATCAAATTCAAATTCGAGGCCAACCAAAATTAATTTAGGTACACTGAATTATATTTAGACACCAATCTCTCTTCCAGCCAAACTACGGTCAACTCCGGAAAGCTCGAACCTTCTAAGGAAATTTAAAAAAAAAAACGAGTTATTGGAAGTTTGAAGTAAATGCGGTAGATGACCTTATAAACACCTAGGGCATCTATTTGATTTTAGGGGTCCAAGTAAAAGCAGGCATGTTTAATAGAAAGGAGGCATTTTTAAGAGATCATCACTGTAACTGACAAGCTCAAGAAAACTAATACGCTGTTGGCAAAAATATCAATAATAATATCCACTCTATCAATTGATAAGGTTCGGCCATCTAAAGATCCATATCCCTCTTTCAAATCCTAATATCGATGTCAGAATCCTTGCTCCAGGTTATTAAGTTGCCATTGGAAGTCTATCACTACTTTGAATTTGGCATTGAGCACGATAAAAAGTGCACAGCCTTGTTAATCAAGCAAGAAATTGAATGAATTGAATGATTGCACTCCTTTTTGCACAAATGTCCAGCGCTGGCCACAAGATCCCTACTTTCCTTTTTCATCCTTAATTCTACACTTCTCTGAGGTGTGGAAGTGTGAAAATAATTTATGCTCACTTTGTCAGACTGTTTTTTCCACACTTCCACACCTCCGAGAAGAGTGGAACTAAGTAAAGAATGACAAGGGGTTCTTAACTGGGGGAAAAGTGCAACAATATCCTAACTTTGTCAGACTTTTAAACACGTCCACACCTCTGAGAAGTGTGGAACTACACGTAAGTAGGAAGTACGTAAGAAACTCTGGATTTCATGGCCAGGGCTGGACACGCCCCTTTTGCTATCCTTGGTACTAGTTTTGAGTAATTCTCCTAGGGGGCACCTATTGGACAGAGGGCATTAATTAGAGAGGGGCATCTATTTGGAAGTGGGCGTTGTATATGTAGGTCATTTACAGTAACCAGAAATAAGCAAATAAACAAATGGCATGGGGAAGGAATGCAAGTATCGTGGACGTGTACCTCACTTCATAGGCAGCAAGAGATATGTTGATATTTCAAAAAAAAGGAATTAAGCACCAAAGCTTGACTAATATTACATGGAGACTAAGGCTTTTGAACTGAACTGACAAAAACTGAAGTAAAAAAGAAATATAAATTCAATGTTTCAAACTACAGTACACTGCTTTTACTCGTCAAGCGCTTAAAACATGGTTACAGTTTTCAAGGGTAAAATTATATTTATGTAGAAATGATCTGAAGGGAAACAAAAGTTACTTCGAGTTAGCAGGGTTGTCATGATCAGAAAGGTTTGAAGTAGACGGCTGAGTTGTCAAAGTAAGTGGCCATTCTAGAGATATTTTATTTAAAAAACACCATCGTAAAGAAATGTTAAGCAGAGTAGCTGGCCGATATGAACCAAGTAGGCAGTGATTTTCGCCGGCAGTTCAAGTTATCAAGGGTTCAAGTTACTGAGGGTAAAAGTACAGTTAATGTATGAAGAAATCATCAAACCCACGGAAAATTGATTTTGGTTTGAGTTAGCACGAGATTTAAGTCAGGGAGGTTGGAGTTATTAGGAGTGGACTGTAAATTCAACAGGAAAAATGTCAACATGCATTAAAAATACATTATACAAATTTACACATTTGGTTCGGCTATTTATGCATGCAAAGTTAGGTGTCGGAATCAACACTGGTCCATTAATTCCTGGCTGCCAGGTGTGAAGAATGGCTGAGCTGATCTAAATTCAGTTAGCTGTTTCCGAAACGATTCAGATGCTTTGATACTTCACATGAACATGATTCAGCTCATTTGAAGCATAGCATCGGAGCTGGGCCTTGGTTGAAATAAAATGAAAAGGCATCTAAGTAAAATTTTAATGTTTTAAGACAAAATAAAATGTACACAAAAACTTACTTGCACATGAATAATTATTATAACATACACAACTCAAGGTTGAAACAACCAAATAAGTTTTACTTACAAAGAAGATGAAGTTGAAGAAGATAACCAAGAACTTGATAATTTTTGCAGCACCCTCCATACTTTCCAGACAACTGCTATAAAAAGAAACCTAAGAAAAGCTGTATGTAAGTCAGAAGTGGTGGGCAAGAAAAGATCAGACAAACATTATAGATGCTTAGCTTCAATACAATAGAAAATGACTTGTCTCCATTAAACAATGGAGAGGTCAATATTGCACACACCTAAAACTAGAAATTTCCAACTTAATTTGTTTTGGAAAAATACAGTGTACATGTATAGAAATATTGAGAGAACATGGAGTAGAAAAGCAATATTTACAGTTGCCAGTACATATGTTGATATTAAAAAAAAAATTCCTACACAAATACAAAAATTCCTACACCAATAAATTTGTTCATTCTTGTTTTAGTCATACATGTACAACAATCTTATATCATAAGCTGTTTGACTATGCAATTACAAAAGGAGTAAAAATGAACTCTGGTTTTGCAACATTTTTCTGCCTTCAAAGGGAGTGCAAATTTTAGCCAAGCTAGAGATCATGACAAAGGTCAATGCCATAGAATGAAAGTCATGTGATTGTGCTGGCACTCAAACTGTTTCAGTTGAATGAAAAATTCAGAAACAGTCAAGAGGTTGTTGTTGTTTTGAGATAAACATAGGAATCTGGTAAATTAAAAAAAATGCAAAAGACTAATATCCAAAAGTTAGTTTGGTTGATCTTTAGAAAGGTCACATTGATATTGGTTAGTTCTTGTGCTAGTCTGTCATCCCATGCACTTTTATTCGAAAAAAACCTTGAAAGACTTTTAAAGACAGCAGCAGTAAGGCGAGTGTTAGTAACCTAGTCGTGATTTTAGCTGCTTTCTCTGTCCAGCTGGTAAAAAAGTCCAGCTACTGGAAACCGACAACTAACTCTTAGGCCCTGTCTACATGAATCCAGATAGAATAAAACTTGCGATGAAAAATGTCTGGTTTCAAACATCTACACACAATTGCAAATTTATCCATCACACCCTGAAAAAAAAAAACACTCCGGAGAGTGGTTAACAGCGCTGTCAAAAAGTTTTTAAGTGACAGGCTGATAATCAATAGCAGGCGGCTTTGGAACTCGCACCAAAGGCACAAGTTCTGGAAGGCCGAGGCAACTAGGGACATTTTGAAATTAAGAGTCTCGGAAATGCCATTTCCAGGGGTTTTGAAGAGGCAATTTCCACCGCGGATGCCATGTTGTTGCGTAAGAATACATGCAAGACTGAGAACAATGCCGTTAAAATGTTCCAGGTGTTCCATGACATTGCACGGTTCGAACGGGCAGATCTAAACCTCTTTAAATATGCGTTCAATGTCATTCAAACCTGGGAAACAGATGCTTTACAAATTTTTTGCGACGTTGCTTATTTTTTGTTATCAGTTATAGTAGGAGATGAAAGAAGCTGCCTAAGGATAGCTAACTAGCCGGCGGTTTTGGGAAGCTACCGGCCCTTATTGACAGCCTTATTGACAAACTTAAAGATGTGTCGGGGGGGGGGGGCATAAGGGTTTGTGGTGATGAGGTTTTCCTCGATTTCTGGTGCTGTTTTACAGAAATTTGTATTTTACAGCTGTAAGTGGTGGTCTTGCGATTTTACAAAACCAAGCGGTTTGCGATATTCAGAAATTTTCGGGTAATAAAATAATATTTCAATGCCATTTGTGGTTTTCTAAAGTTATTCTGTGCGGTGTTTATACGTATTTCTGAGCAGTTTTGTAGTATTTGAAACCCCACATTACGGAATGGCGCCTGTAGATACGCGTTGCTAGTAAATGCAAATTTTTCTGTCAATCAAATGTGTGCTATTATTTGTAGGTGGAAATTGGTAAAACATCGTTATTGTTTTGGAGACAATAGAAGAACAAAAGATAACAGAAAGATCAAGTTATGCGGTCTTAAAGCGTGTTGCGTGACTTAAATCAGTTGGAGCATTTCTCCTAGCTTTCCCACATTAAAACGTTGGAATGAAAAGTCTGAAGCTTAGCTTTTAAAATCTTGATAGCCAAAATAAAAGGGGTGCCCCAAAAGGCAAGCATTTGGGAATTCAAAATCGATATTTTTGTCTCCAGCGAAATCCGGCGGATGAACAGTAATTTGCATATAAACGTAAGTGAAGCGAAATAGATACAAATTGCCGTGGTTGTAAACACAACGTTTCCTCGAAGTTTTTTTCCTTTTGAAAGCGTAAATTCGCATAAAAGAGTTCGGCTTCCTGAATTGTTTTCCTGGAATTCTATACATTCTGCTGGCCTAAATCGTTAAAATATGTTATGAAGTCAAAATATTTATCAAGTTGAGCGTTTGCATTTCCTTTTAAAACAGCGAGTTGCGCGAAAGCTTCGATCTATAGATTTTCTTAAGTTAAATTGCCTTTGTATCGTGGAAACAATACCCTAACACTTGAGTCTTGAATCAAAGGACGCGACATGCGTCGGCTCCCTTTGTGAGCACGCAAATAGTCATGGGACCTGCGATTTTGCGGGCGACACGGATCTACAGGCGCCGTTCCGTAATGTTACCCCCCCTCAGAAGTGGTTCATGTGTTTCATGTAGATGGAAAGCTGATTCAAGTTTAAAAAATTGAACTGTTTCTAAATTCATGTGAACAGCACGAGGCCTTAAAAAAAGTAAAACTGCATACAATAAAGGTATACATATTACTGTTTTGTTAACTTCACGCCTGTTCTGTCTATTAAAGCAGGTTATAACAGACAAAGTAGGAAACCGGCATGCGATTAAGGTTTATATAAATTTTAAATTTGTAAATTTAAAACATAATATTAATGTATTCTTAATTAGGGTCTTTCCAGTTTATATGTCAAAAAAAATAAAGACAGGTCGAAATCATATAATTATTCAAATGAATAGTCTAAATATTGATTGTTTTTCCGCCATCCATGACCAGAATTTTCTTTGTTTTTAAATTGCTTTTGGAAGACCATACTAAAAATTGTAAACAAAACAAAAACAACCGCGTCCCTTTCAGTGAAAGACAAACTTAAAATAGGTGAAGTTTTCAAAAATGTGTCAGTGTAAAACGAAAGTTTGCGGTCACAAACGTAATTTTCACATTTCTCCGAATAAAAATGAATTCACCGACAAAAATAGCTTATCAGTGAGCTTATATAATTGAGTTCTTAATGTCACTCTGTAGACAATATGGCGAAAGTAACTAATACTGTAGTTGAAATTTTCCGCTCACGCCGTGGCTATCAAATTCACATGTACACGTATGTTTTTGTCACAGAAAAGTACATCTGGAGCACTTCTGATGCATAATGAATAAACAGTGAAATTATGTAAGACTTGTGTTTGAAAAAAAGGTCAAAGCAGCAAGTTTTATCATTCAAGTAACCCTTAGTTACTAGAGCAAGTACTAGAAACATTCCTTTATGAAAAGGGTTAGGCTCGATTATGAAAGAAGAAGTGAATGATTTTGAACGGTTGAAGCAGGGCAATTAAAACTGCCGCTTGTTTCAGTGAGAGATACAAACTTAGAGTGTGTTAACACGAAATTATACGTCTCTCTGCAGCTGTACGTCTTGTGATGACAAAATGATCGCATGGCAAAATTTCAGAGCGGGAACTAATTCTTAGGTTGCAATCCTAGTGGGTACATTTAAAATGCATGTTGTAAGACAAGTAAATGGAACTTTCCGAGTGATTTGACTTCAACAGAATGCCGCATGTACGTGTCTCACGATCGCCACTCATTTATGCACGAAAGCTAGCGTCTCAAAATAAGCATCTCCTTTCCTCGTCCAAAAGCCCTAGATTCGAACTTACAATTGCACGGAACATAAACAGTCTTACAGCAGATGCATCTACGATTAAAAGTGAACGTGACATACCTTAAAAATCCAGGGGAGTTTGAAAAGATCAGAGTCCTTTGAAAAAAACGAAAGGACGAAATGGCATACGAAATGGCAAGGAACGCCTTATATGACTACCCTGGGACGGCGCTTTTTTATTGGCTGTCCCTTGCACGCGAGGTTTTCATGAGATCGATTTTTGGTTTGGGTGTAGGGTGGGATGGGGGGCAACTATATGGAGAAATGAAGTCACGCCACTAAATGTCAGGATAAGGTTGGTGACATCAATCGAAAAATATGCGTGGGTGTTTTGCTAAAATGAGACCCTCGTGAACAGCTGGTGAGGATCAAGGACGGATATTTGATTCAAGTAACTGTAATTTTACTTTTTATGATGTCATAGCAGGAGCTGGTCACAATTTTTATTTAGAAATTGTGGCTAAATAATTATTATTATTGTTTTATGTTAGAGCGATCGAGATGATCTGTGGTTCCCAGCGCAGTGGCTTTCATGGTCAAAGGCGTATGCCTTCTTTAATATCTTTGACAAACGTTAGAGTGTATATTTGCTTCAGCTCATACACTTATCCTAAAAAGGTGAAAATAATCAGCCTCAATAAAAACTACCTTGAAAGGCCTCTTACAGGGTGTAATTGTTGTATGCAAAAATCTTAGAGAAAGAGTGGGGGGGGGGGGTACTGCCAAAGATGGGCTATATAGGTATGTGCCGCTGTGAAGAGTATAATGGTTTTCAAGCAGTTTACTCTAGGTTCTGTTATCCATGGATAGTGGGATAGTGTATATAAATCAGAGCGTTTGGATCTAGAATAGGGTATCATTTTTCAGGAAACTGATCAGTTGGTTGAAGAATTTATCAAGACTATGGATTGTGGTTTAAGGTTTTGTTTTGGCTACACTGTACTAGCGACCTCAGTAGTTTCTGGAAAACAGCTACTCAAGGATAGAGGGGCCATAGAGGGGATTTAGGGAGTTAACTCTAGTATAGGGTAGCAAAATTCAGCTGAACTAGCTCTGGTATAGGTTAAGGCTTCCAGGGTACCAGCGGCACATCCCCACCCAGAAATTGCTAAAGTGAGAGCGAACAACAGGGGACGCCGCGCACATATTACTCGCTTTATAGTGGCCCGCCCGCGGGATCCGCGGGATTTTGCGGGAAAGTTTGGGCGGGCTTTTTTCCTCGTCCCAGTCTCCAACGTTTCATATAGCTGACCGAATCGCTGGCGCGCGAGATAATTTTCTTCACCTCGTGGGCAGTAGTGGGCTGTGGGTTGCAAGAACTACACGAAAAAAACCGGCCGAAATTTCTTTTCACTCCAAAGAACTCCTCCAAAGGTAGGCTGTGAAGATAGCTTAGATACAAATTTCAACTTAATCGCTAATATTATTTGGCAAGCAAAATATTTCCACGTAAAAGCTCATTTGTCTTGAAACGATGTGTCCCAAACGTACAGCCTAGTTGTCACGATTGATGTTAGAAGAAGCTTAAATATTTCGCCTCTCTACAGGTTTTGTCAATTGTGAGGGCTTGATTCTTAAGGGTTTTCATTTTTAGTTGTGAGTTAGAGAAGTCTGTTAGAGCCCGATTGCAAGTTTCATTCAGCTGTCGAATGAAATGTACAACATAACTTGCACATGACGACATTGAAATGTACATGTCTATTAGGTCAGCAGTGGCTCGGAACGGCAAATCTATAAGTAAGCTTATAAAAAGTTTGAATAACAAAAGATTATTGATTAGTAAAGTCAGTTTCTTGTATTGCAAAAAATGGTGTGGTATTCAGGGATTAACGTGAAAAAAAATAAATAAATAAAAATCTAGATGTTGTCCTGAGAATGTACTATAATTGCTTGCTGAATTTCTACCATCTGGGGTAGGACTTTCTCTGTGAAAAAAAAAATTGAGAGTCTACCCTCTTAACATATCAAATCCTGTGTGCTTTCAATAAGAACGCTCCCTGTACCTGATTTAGTGCTAGACGAAACTGCAGAGTGACTGTTGGTTCATATCATACCTTATATGTTAAGTAGTGCTTCATTCAAACAGAGTTACATGACACTTAATTTATTATGTTACTTGAGTTCATGGGTAGAAATCATGGTAAGGATATCTAAATAAATTATGGCCCAAACCATGATCTCAGTTTAAACATCAACTTTAACTATTTTTGCTTTACTCTGTCAAGCCCATAAACAGTAAATGAGCTTGAGGAATGGTGCCTGAAAAGGAAAGGAGCCGCTAAAAAAACTGAGCTGAATGTGTAGGGTATCCATGGAAACCATGTATGCAGCAACCACCAGGCATTGTCGCACTAAAAACAGTTAAAACTAAGATAATATTACTACATACTTACCATCCCAAGAAGGATAAGTGGGCTGAAGTTAAAATAAACTTAAACTGTCCAGTAGTAAGAAACAAAACAGTGTTTATTTGGAGTAAACCATATAGATTTCCAAGTAAAATAATATTGTTCTTTGCCAGTGTTGACTAAGTTCTAAGGAGCAGGAAAGTATGAGTGTTTTAGGAGTAATTAATATTGGTGGCTTCCTTTTTTGTTTTAGCTAAACATCATGTCTGATTCTGGCAGTGAAGGAGACCAACTGGGCAGCTCACCCCCAAGTAAGTCTAGCTCAGTGTGAACACTCTTCTTCACACTGTTTTCCATACATTTACTTTTGGCTCCTGATAACTCAAACCCATGCTAACTCGAACTTCGCGCTAACTTGACCCAAAGTCAAATTCTCCTAGATTTCCTTCATGCATTTGCTGCAATTTTACCCTTGATAACTCAAACCCTACATGTAAATAAATCAAAAATCCTGCAAACTCGCAGTAATTTTTATTTCCCTTGAGATCTTTTGTATTTATTTTTACCCTTGAAAACTTGAACCATGTTTTTAGTGAATTACAAGTGGGAAAAAACAGTGTACTGAAGTCCGAAACACTGATTCATTTTAAACATTTGTGTCAATTCTTTGTCTTTTCCTTTTTGTCACTCAGTTCAAATTCAGTGTTCATCCCTGTACATTACTCCAGCTTTGTTGCTTAATTCCTTTTTCAAAATATCATTCCATATCTCTTTCTGTCCCCTTGAAGTGAAGTTTGCATAATACTTGCATTCCCTCCCCATCCATTTACTTATAAAGTGACGTTTCTGCTTAAGACTGTGCTAATATATTACCCGGTTTATGACAAACCTCTATAATTGAGCAGCTATTACCTCCATTAAGTAGCCACTTGCCGGTACATATACCCTGAGGGTGGTCGCTTAATGGAGATTCAACTGTTGAAATTGAGAAATCACACAAGCTAACATACTTGGTTTTAATTTTTGGTAAGTTTAAAAAACTGAGGGTTTGAGAAATTGTTATTCAGTACTGTACATAATAAAATAAGCACTTCTCTATAATTATTAGCTTTTTTAAAGAAAATACATTCACCCTCCCTATCTTGATAAGAGGCTCTAAATTTTGAACTTCCCTTAATTTTTCTCACACAATAATGTTGCTACCCTACACTGTAATAAAGATTTGAAGCAGAAGTGTTAATCACATTGGTTTATACTTTATTTTTGCCACTTCTCTTCAGATGATACTGCTGCTGCAGTTATGCAGAATCCTCAACTTTTAGCTGCTCTACAGGTTAGTTTTTTAATAGTGTTTAGGTTTGGGATTGTTTCCACTGTGGGCATGACCGTGATTAGGTCGTCTAATAATTCTGTGGGTTAATAGTGTTATCAATGCTGATAAGAAGGAATTTGATGACGATAACGATGAAAGTGATAAAGATGTTGACTGTGCACAAATATGATGACAAAACGATAATTGTATAATGGTTGCATAATAACAAATTATTGTGATCTATTACAAGTAAATGTATGGTATTAAAGGTGGAGTGGCTTAGTGACACTGTTAGGGTTGAGAGTGACAACTGATGTGGTGCTGGGCTTGATAATGCTGAGGTCAATGCCATTATCAATTTTTTATGGTAATATTGATCTATTGTGTGATGATAATCACAGGAAAAAATAACGGATTCCCATTTTTGGATATTAAAATTTAGGGTATTTAAAGAATACCCATAAAATCCCAAATTTGGCAAAGTGAGACAAATCCCAACCAGGGAATTTCCAACCAAGTTCCCTGATTGGGATCCTGTGAATTGTGCCAATCACTTTCACCTGTCGAGAATTTAGGGTAGTATTGATGTTTGGTGATAACAAGTGTGATTGTTAGGAACTTTGGTCATTTTTATTGTTTGTTTGTGTGTTTTTTAAACAGGGAGGTCTTAGCAGATTAATAGGACAACAGTCTGGATACATACAGAGGTCTGATTACTTTTTTTGTCTGTTTAACAAGTTAGGTACACTTGCATACATGGTTCAAATATGCATGATTTTACAGGCCATAGATACACGCCCAAAAAATCCTGTAACTAACTGTAACAAGTGAATGATTAAAGTGAAACTTGCGGTGGAGTAGCACTTTCATGTCAACAAGCTATCTTGACATTTTACCCTCCACTAACTAATTAACTATTTTTTTTTAGGAAGTTAATTCATATAGGGTCCACATCTTTAAATTCGTTTTGAGGGTATTTCTCTATTTTTATTTTTATGATACTGTACCTTGAATAAAGTATGTATGTATATATGTATGTTTTTTAAAATTTTTTATGAAGGAAATAATAGATTGTTGATTTTCAGAAAAATAAATAATTTTTTTATTTATTCAATATTAATTTGTAGAATGATATTATAACCCTAACAAAACTGATTACTGAATTCACATACAATTTAATACAGTATGTTCTTGTCAAACCTAAAATTAAAACTCAAATTTGCATTCCTTGGTTAAAGTGTTTATCATAATAACTCACACATAAGAACCTGCTTGATCTTGCTTGGCTAAAGAGGTTCTTGTATTTTTTGGTATTTAAGTGGCAAATTTATGCCAGGAGGTTCTTAATCCACGGGTACTTTAAGTACAATCAGGTGTTTTTGAGTACTGTACTAACAGCTCTTATTTGCTTCTTCATTTTCAGCCTGCCCAAAGCAGTAAAAAAAAGGCTAAAGGCATTAAAAAATATACAGGTCAGAACTTTAATTATCTTGCCTTTTCCTATAGTTTTCAGAGTGAATTCGTGATGATTATAAGATTGAACAGCTGGTGTGATGTAATTAATTATTAATTTGTTAAAGTTATAACAAATCAACAGGTTGAGTCAAATGTACACCTCTGTAAAACCAAAAATACAAATCGACTGGCTTAGTGAATTATTAAACAGTAGTTTACCTGGTCACCTGCTTATACTTTATCTAAAGTACTTGCATTTTCTTGATACAAGCAAGTACAACCTGCAGGTCAGATTATTCCTGATCCAACTTATAGCAGTTTAGTGACTTACAAACGAGTGCCTTTGCTCTGGCTTATTATAATTCATTTCTACCCACTTTCCCCTTTGAAAAGATGAAAGAGTTGGTCCCAAACTGACACACAGCAAGCTCAGGTGGTAGAATTTTAGTCTGGAGAGAAGGGGAGTTTGTGGTTTTATTTTATTCCGGGGCAGGACCCTCAAAAAAATTTGAGGAAGAAGGATTGCCCATAACCTTGCATTAGCAGAAAACAAAAAACTCTGGAGGGAAAAAGTTTAGATAATGCAAATAAACAGCATGAAGGGTGCCTTTAAATATTACAGAAGCATTTAAAATTTGATGGTATAGATAAAATTTGGTTTTTATTTAGCCTGAGAAAACAGCCTACATGTACATTTAATGCGATACCACCAATGGATTCCTCACGAAATGGTGTCCGAGAAACAAATGCAGATATTCCATACTGATGACATATCAAATAGACCTGGCTACTGCTTCTGATTAGTCGTGCTGCAATAAGGGAAACTTGCTTCAACTAATCAAATGCACTATTCAGATCTGGGTAGTAACACTTCATGAGTATGAAATTTCTGTGCTCATTCCTCAGATGTCATTTCCCAGGGAAATGGTTGTTGGCTTCATGAAATTTCAGCTGTTTTTAGCAGCGTGCAAAGAAAGTAGTGTCTGATAGCCCAGGGCTAGTGGATTTTGCTATCGGGCTAGTGAATTCTGTTATTAACTTGCCTGACGGGCAAATGAAGTTTTTGAGGAATTCAAATCACAGAAGAACTGTGAAATCAGTGTGCTCATCAAAACGTTTTTGGGCCTAGTTGAAATGATGTTTGGGCTAGTAAATGTTAGCTTCAGCTTGCCCGAATGGCAAGCTGTAAAAATGACTTTCTTTGCACCCTGCTTAGGCTAGTTTTTTGTGTGAAATTATTGTATTCAACAGGTTGAATATTGTAAAGTGGAAGGTGAATTTTATGAGAGGGTTCATGCTCTTGAATGTGAATTTGCTGAAAGGTTTAAGCCCTTATTTGAAAAGGTGAGGAGAAAATATATTGTTGTCTGTAGTAATGAACTAACTACAATTTGCTGGATTTTATTGTGCATCAGTCATAAGTTGGTATAGGTAAACTAAGGTTGAATATTTGCATTTTTTCTCTCCTTTTTTTGTTTTTGTTTTTAGCGTAAAAACATTGTCAATGGTCAGTATGAACCTACAGATGAGGAGTCCCATTGGCTAAGTGATGAAGAGGAAGAAGGTGGAGAAGACAAAGAGGAAAAGGATGAAGGAGATGTCTCACAACTCTCTGTAAGTTTCTGTCCCCCACTCTGGTATCAATACACAAATTCTCCGTACCACTCTCCAGTTATTTCCTCTAGCAACAGTTAAGAGTACCGTATTCTTCCGTAAGAGACCTTTGATTTAAATAGGATTATTTGTATCATACTCATGATGCATTTTGCAGAGATGCCATCCTCTGGAGATCTAAAATTTGGAGAATGTCTCTTTTTGTACCCCCCCCCCGTCCCCCCCTATCACATCAACATCCAAAACCACCACCCACCCACCCCCTTCCAGTCCCCAAATTATAATATGGCCTTGGCTTATTAGGACATTATAGGAGTTTTGAGGCATGCAACTTATGCCCAAGTTGCAATTTTACTCTACCCTCTGGGTACGGGTATTGAGTACATGGAATAGAAGAAGTACACCTGGTTATGGCCAGTGTTAGAGTTGCATAGAGTTCTTGACAAATGGGCATTTTGCAACTGAAATCAAGCCGTTTCTACACTTTGTAAATTTAACTTCACTTTACATAGATCTACCCTAGGATACAGAAGACTAATGTGTTATCTTTGCCACCACTGGTTTTTCCGCGAAATGACGTCTGAGGAACTACTGCAGAAATTCAATACTGATAAAGTCTCGCTACCCAGGTCTAGGTAGTGACACATCATCAGTATGGAATTTCCAGTGGTGGCAAAATGTTGACACTTTTCTTGTTGCATTCCAAAATGTTAGCATTTTTTCTCAGTCTATCAGGCTCATTGCTAGTAGCTAAATATAAAAATTAGCATATTGTAACTTAATAGGATACTTTACATTCAGCTCTGTAAATTTTACAGGACAAAACTCTCTCTTCCCGGCAGGGTGAAGTGAAAGAGAAAGTCAAAATAGATGAAGAGGAGAAGCTGGAAACAACGGAGATACCAGGTGTGAATAACTTGGAAAAATAATAAATACACTATTAACCCCCTACTCTTCAGTCTAATAGTGACCAGTAATTCAATTTTTTTTGTAAAATCCTAGGAAATAAATAGAATTCTTCAAAAGTTCTGCCAAAGTACTTTTATATGAATGGTACTGGTACACGAACGGAGCCTCATGGCTAAGTAAATTAAGTTATCTATCCATCTGAGAAATTTTGGTAGTCACTGGACCGTATGTTGGCCTGTCAGTCTGTCCATCTGCACCACAGGGAAACCTATGTGAACATGTGAAATGCCACACTTTCTAGCTAGTGAGGGAGCAAAAATAATTAATAAGAAAATAAAGCTTATTGTTGTTGTTGTTGTGGGAGCCTACAACCTGATATTGCACATCCCCATTGTTGACAAAACAGGGTGTCTGCTGACCAGTATCACATTACTGTATCGCATGACTGTATCACAGGCTCAGGTGTCAACCCAGCGAGGGATTGACAAGTTACTAGTTTTCAACTGATCACAGGCTCAGCTCCTAGTGTTTTTTTTGCAATGGTTACAAGCTAATTGTTTGAAGTAAATTAATTATAAATTCATTAATGGGAGCCTCACCTTTAGCCTTTGTTTGGTTTCTTTTTTCTTTTTCCTTTTTATTTATTCTTGTTAATTTGTTTTGAATTAGATGATGTGAAGGGCATTCCAGAGTTTTGGCTGACAGCAATGAAGAATGTAGATATGTTAGCTGAAATGATCCAGGTTTGTGGATCTTTTAATTGCTGATAATTTAACGAAATCTTCAGTCATCAGGTTTGTCATGTTACATTAGATAAGAAGCGAATTCGTTAAACATCTGGATACAAAATACTGCTCTAAAATGTTAAAGAACAGTGAAAGAGTTTTGTAAAATATAGTGACTTTTTTGGGCCCGTTGCAGATGTTGATGATAGGGAGTGATGATAATGAGAATGATTGATGATAATAATGTTATTAACAGTATTTGATAATTATTTAGTTGTGGCAGTTGTGAGTTAAATGATGGAGTGGAGCAGATTTTGATGATGTAGTGGCAAATATACCTCATGTATAAATGTTCTTCCTTTATCTTTCAGGAACATGATGAACCAATTTTAAAGCATCTCCTTGATATCAGAGTTGTATTTACTGGTCCAGACAGCAATGTGGATACAACACAGTATCCACAGCCAACTCCTATGGTGTGTTTATAATAATATTATTCGGTTAAGAACCTTGTCAAATCAATTCAGTAAAGTTAAATTGCTGTGACATGAATTATAGTTGCAAGCGAGTATAAATCTACAGGTTAGCCAGTCCTTTAAAAGATTCTGGTCTCTATAATACTGACACCTCTCTATTACAGACAGTTATATTACCAGCCCCTACTGAATTCATCAACATTGCATACGTAGCCCTCTATTACAAACTGATACAGTTGTTATTTCAAAGATACCAAACTCCGTACATTGGTACAAAATGCAACTGCCTCGTTAATGTGGGTACTTGCATCTAGCGCATTGAGGCTCAAGAAAGCTTACACTTATTGCTTTTAGATTATTAAGTTCGTTTAAAGGTTTCAGTTATATTAAAAGTGTCACTCATGTAAAATGTTATTATAGCCCGTATTTGCCATAAATGGCCCTAACCCCCCTTGTTGATAGCGTGTAAAAGTATTTGATAACTGACAATGCTTTCTCTTGGGGTGTAAACAAACCAACTACATGACTGACAAGCAACACGAACAACTTGGAATATGCTGAAAGCCATGCTAGAAAGAAACTTCTGCTCGTAGGGTGGATTATAATGCTGAATCATCTCTTAGAACGTTACTAATTTGCAGTAAAAAGAACAAGAACTTTTTTTTGTATGTTTTAATTCTTTGTGCTATTATTTTTAATTTTTTAGGGCTTTGTTCTGGAATATCACTTCTCACCAAACCCATTCTTTACAAATAGTGTAAGTAGTAACAAATCAGTTAGTTTGTTTACGGCCGGGGGTACTTTAGAAATTTCTGGGTGGGGAAAGATTTGATTATGATTGTTTTGAAAAATTCACTATTCTAGACCCAAACGTTCTGATTTAAAGTCGCTATCTTGTCTTGAAAACCAGTTTTTCTTGGAACCTATATAGCCCATAATATCCAGGAGAATTTGAAAATTCACATGTATTTTCGTCTTGTCTTCCATTTTTTCTTGGAATGACTGTAATGTCCAGGAGATATTGGAAATACATGTATGGGCTAAATTTGGCGGGGGCGAGGTAGGCAAACTAGGTGTATTAAGAGAAACGTGCAAGTGGCAACAGATAAAATGAATCAACATAACCTGCATCCTTGCCTGATTATATATACAATTATCTGTGCTACCATTTAAAAACAACTCTATTTCGTAAAGGCATGTTTAAAATTCAAAATGTCCATCACAAAACAGACAGGGACTGCACAGGCCATGAGGCGGTTTCATTTTTGACTGGCTGAATCAGTCAACTTTCGATAGTGGTTGTTTTAATTTGCTTAAAATGCGCAGAGACATCACCTTCGTTTGGTGCAGATAAAGCAAAGGAAATTAAAGAACTCTGCATTTTTGCCTGCTGTCATTTTTTTTACAGGTTTTGACAAAAAGTTATAAAATGAAATGTGAACCAGATGATGATGATCCATTCTCCTTTGAAGGACCAGAAATAATCAGCACTTCAGGGTATGTTTACTACAAGACTGTCTAGTCTCACGTTTTTCTTTTCAGAGTTACACCACGCGTAACCCATGCTCGCGAGTGAGCATGCCTTTATAACTGGCGAAAAATTGTCTTTGGTTCTTCAGGGCTTGCCTGTGTCATGGAATTTCAGTAGTTATAACTTGTTAAGCATACAATTTCCTTTGTCATATTTTGTTTTATAGATGTCACATTGACTGGAAAAAGGGCAAGAATGTTACTCAGAAAGTCGTGAAGAAAAAGCAAAAGAAGAAGGGTTAGTGTTGTACATGTATCATTAGTTTTGTGCTGCAATTTTTATCAAGGCTAAGTTAGTGTACTGATTTTATGGTAGAGTTCACTTTTTTGCCTGAAACAGCAGTACTTTCTTTAGTATTTTCATGGATTATCATTATCATTTGGGAGCTTAAGATGAGAGGATGAAGACGGCAGTGAAAACGTCGTTTAAAAGTGAATTCAAGCTTAAAATCTTCATCGGGATTATATCTATGTACTTACTTTGCCAAATGTAAGCGAACTCTGCCGGAGTTGAATTCCTAAGAACCACATGCAAGTTCATAAAGAGCAAGAAAACTTCGTCGTCGCTTGTCACCAGTTTACGTCCTCCATAAAATGTGCAGTTAGGCATTTTCACGTTGTAGTCGTGCAGTGACGGCAAATGAAATGTACAAAAAAGCATGATGCACGTGCAGAGCTTTTGTTTTGCTCATTAAACCTATTGTTTGTGACGGTCTCGTTGCCATTGCTGTCGTCGCATCTTAAGGTTCCTATTGTCGTTATTTTTGTCAATGTCTTCATTGTCATCATTTTGATTATTATTTCGTTATCGACTCCACTAGCTCGCCTGCAAATTCAGCCGTCTCTATTTGCTCTTCGCTTCCAGAGACGTTTCCCAAGAGACCAGCAAGACATCTCTATACTTAACCTGCAGGAATAGCCTATACACAGACGTTGCTTTATTTTTCTTTTTGATAATCGGCGAGCGCGGAGCGCGAGAAAGAAAAATATTTTCTTCTTCCCCCACCCCTACTCCCTTGCGCTAGCGGTCATTTAATTCCCCGCTGTTTTTATCTCTATCACGCACACTCGGTGGACTTTTAAGAGAAAATGGAGGGTCTGTGAACAGGCTACTGCAGGAAAGGCGTTATTTTTTCGCCTTATTTTTTCGCGAAGCGAGGGAGGACACGACGCGCGCATGGTAGTCACGGTAGCCACATGGTAGTCCACGTACCCAGACGTATTTCCGGTCGTCGCTTCTCTTGCAGACTAGTCATAAATGTGGAAAGTACGCTGTGTCATAACAATAGGTATATGTTCTCTATTTTCAGGGTCTGCAGGAAAGCAAACAAGATTTGTCAGCAAAACAATAAAAAATGATTCATTCTTTAACTTCTTTGCACCTCCTGAAGGTCAGTGGCAATAGTCTTTTGGAAGGAATAGAATAGGGCCATTTATACGAGGAAAAATAAGACGCGAACTGTACCGTTTGTACGATCATGTCTTATCTAAGACGAGAATGGTTCGCGTCTTATTTCTGTTCTTGACTCGTTTTCATGTGAATGTTGCCCGTAGCAAAACTGAACGCATGCATACTACGCGTTCGCGTCTTATGTAAGACGCGAAGGTCATTTATACGAAGTTTTTCTCGTCTTAGCTAAGACGCGTCTTATCTAAGAACAGGTGTTATGCTGCTAAGACGCGTGTATCGCGTCTTATTTTAGACGAAATGTCGTTTATACGCAAAGTTCGGTCTTATTTAAGACCGTCCTGGACGCGTCTTATTTTTCTCGTATAAATGGCGAATTTGAGAACATGGAAGCTGGTTGCACCGCGATGGGGACAACAAGACCTGGTTCTCATATGCTGCCGAATCTTTAGCCGCCGGCACCGCCACTGTCTGACGAATGAGTTGCGCCGCCGGCGAATCAACTTACCGCAGGCATGCGGCGTTGAAAGACATGCCGGCGATAAAGACTGGGATGACCAATGTTGGCGGCCACATCTGTTTTCATATCGGAACAGTATCTCAGGCAATACCGGCGGCCATGTCGCAGGTGCATCGGCGGCATATGAGAACCAGGCTTAACGTGCGCTCAAACTTGAGGAGGTATGCAAACCTATCTGATCCCGCTCGCAACCCAGCGACGACCCCCACATGCTCACACTTCTCATGGTACACATCACACGGAAGCCATTTGGGTCAGTTGAAGTACAAAAATAAAGAACAACAACAATTTGCAAGAAGTGAATAAGGGAGAATGTATACTGTTCACAGTCCCGTATTTTTCCGTAAGATCGTTGATATCGAGCGCTTTGCGTTACGGGCGACCATCTTGGATAAGTGTCAAATCTACTTAGGGGGTGGGGGACAGTTTGGGAGGAGGTCCCCTCCTCTCTCGTCCCTCTAAACCCCGACGCCCGCCCCCTCGGTACATATAAAACCAAGATGGCCACCCGTACCGGTAAGCGCTCTATCCTGACGATCTTCACGAAAAAAAAGGGGTCTGTGAACAGTGAAACGCTCAATTGAGTGTGATGACACACCGTGTGGCACGAAATTTTTGCGGGGGTTTATTTTTGCGGGAACTAATTTTTGCGATTAGGTTAATGAGATTGGTTTTTCTTGCTGGGAATTAATTTTTTGCGATGTTCCTGGAAAAGTCATCATCGTTTTTACTGAGTACGTGCAGTGAAATAATAAATACATATTTTCACGCAATACTATAGCGTGTTTACCCTATGTAAAACCAGTGACAGGAGTTTTGTTCGTCATTTTAATCGTTTTGTTTCTAAACGTAAGAGACAAGTTGTAGTTGAACAGACTCTGAAGTAATTTTTTGCGAGAAAAATGTTTGCGGTAATTAATTTTTGCCGATCGTTGGAAAAATCGCAAGAATCGCAGAAATTAGAACCCGCAAAAATTTCGTGCCACACGGTACTCAAAAAGCAAATCTGCAAGCGTATATAATAGTGCTCGCATAAGATGTGAGACGCGACTGCTGACCGTGACGTAGCCTGCACTGGCTCACTGACTATACTTAGTTCAGTTATTTAACCCTTTCTTTTTTTTTTTTTTACTTCATTTTAGTTCCCGAGGATGAAGCTGATATGGTAAGAAATGACTTTTCAATAGTTAAATGGATGGAAAGTAAAAATTACCTCCCAAAAACGCATTTTTAAATTATGGATTTTGCTATTAAAACCTGTTTTACATATTTATACATATATATTTTGTAGGATGAAGAAACGGAGGCCCTCTTATCTGCTGATTTCGAAATTGGTCATTTCTTCAGAGAAAGAATCATTCCCAAGGTAATGCAACAGACGAGTTCACAATTCCAATACCCATTACCTTCAAACTTGAGTTCTATTCGCTTGAGCATATTAAGAAACTATTTTCGTGTCGAAACATTTTTCGAAGCCTCGTTTTGAAAAAGAGGCAGGAGGCAAATTAGAAATGGATCAATAGGGCCATTTATTAAGAAACTATTTTCGTGTCGCGTATAAAACATTTTTTCTTAGAAGCCTTATTTTAGAACGTTTTCTTAGATAAAAGAAAAAGAGGCAGGAGGCAAATTAGAAATGGATCATTGACTGCCATCTTCTCTTACTTTAACACGAAAAAAAAAACTTTACTAAATCACGCTTAAGTTTTCACTAATATCAGTACAGGCCCAGTTTTGATGCCAAAATGATATTTAAACACCGATCACTTTACCCAAGTGGCCCAAATACTGATTTTAATTTCATTTAATTTTAGACCTCTGAAAGTTAGAGCGCGCAAGTAACATTACGTCTCTGTTTTGTTGTGTGAAGGTTAAGTTGTGCGCGCATTTGTCAGTTGTTTTCAAATCGCTGAACAAGAGAGTGCACCCTCGAAAACGTCTTTTATTGTTGTTGTTTTTACCGAACGTTTTCAGTGCATACTATAACAGAACCTTGACTTTTTCACGAATTATTGCGTTGCACAAGTTTTTCATGAATTCTAATTTGTGGTCCGTTTTCACCAGTTAAACCCTGGGTTAAAAGTAGAAGTGACTGTCGAGCTCACACCCTCTTCCAATTACTTGGAGGCGGGGTGACCAAGCGGTCACTACCTCAAGCTTGGAATCCGTACCTTGCCATTGCCATGATTTCGTTGTCTTGTGTTCAAGTTCTTTTACAAAACGTGAAATTCGGCACTTTCACGTCGTTGTCGTGCATTGACGGCAACGAAATGTACAAAAAAGCGTGATGCACGTGCAGAGTTGTTGATTTTCTAATCTAAACCTATTGCTTATATGACGCTCTCGTTACTGTTGTCGTCGTTGTTGCTAAAGCTCCCTGGCGCCGCGATAGACTAGCATCCCATCAAGGAGGCGCAAAGGGCATCTTCCTATAATAAGGCCTTAAAGGCCTCGTCGCTCCTGCGCGGCGCCTTTCTTATACTTAATTACCTGTTTCAGTGGCAATCACGGTGGAAACAGCACTTTCCCAGTCTTGGCTATAAACTGGGGGAGGGGAGATCTGGTGGTTCTTTTTCCCACCCCCCTCGTCTTAAATCTTCTTTGGTAATAAACCATCCCTGAGAGAACAGGATTACTTGGTTGTCCTTTGTAGAATCATAGTTGTTGAACGTTCATGGCTTTAACAAATACATGACTGGGTTGCTTTTTAACAGTTGTCTTTTTTTTTGTAGGCTGTGTTGTACTTCACAGGAGAAGCGCTTGAAGAGGAAGTAAGTCTTTCAGTCGTCAGCTTGTATTTTGTCTTTGGTTAGCTCTTAGCTGGGCAGCCTGTGCTGTTTTGGGTCAGACGTCGAACTTAGGACGCGTTGAACCAATCAACTAAATCTAAAACATTAATTTTTGGCGTTTTTTTTTTCAGTTTGAAGAAGAGGAGGAGGAAAGCGAAGCAGAGGTAATGCGTCCCGGGGAAAACAACTGGCTTTGTTTCCCAAGAAACTTAATGTGTCCCGGGGCGGAACCGTGGGAAGCAAAATATAACTGGTTTCCCCCAGAAACTGCTCATTATGTGATTTGTTATATATTACATAATGATGATAGTAAATCTCAACAATTGGTCAACATTCGTGCACTGTTAATGCATTGTTACCAAGTTGCTCGCTCAGAAACGTTTTGGTGGGAAACGTGTGACCTCAAAATAACCAATGAGAGCGAGCGCTGTTGGGGAAAAATTTACACTTACACAACAATGATGTGTACTTTACGTTCCTACGGCACAGCGACACAGGCTATTTCGTATTTCATATTACCAACTAACGCCTTCGTCGTAACATAACGACAAAATTGTTAAATGAGCTGTTAGAAATATCTCAGTTTACTTTCCAATCACAACAAATTGTTGGAAGAAAGGTTTTGAAAGGTTTCAGTTTGTTTCTAGTCTCAAGTAACTGTGGGCAAGCAACTCCAATAACAGTGCAATGTTGGTCTAATGATGGGACAATTTTGCATAAGTAATGGTGCAATGTTGCATTACATTTTTTTCTGATTGCTGTCATTTTCAGGAAGGGGACGGTGAAGAAGATGAAGATGAGGACCCAGATTACCAGCCACCCCCGGTAAGTCATTACTGGGATTATTTTACGGGTGGTGTTAAGGCAATATGCTTAATTCGGCAAGAGGTGTTTCTTAATTTGATAGAGACCAGTGTTCAAACCTCTATCTATCTTTTTTTGATAGAGATTTGAACACTGGTCTGAGGGCACTTTTGCGCTATACATGGCCGGGCAGTTCCAGGTATCTCTGATTGATTCAAATCGCACGGATTATTCTTCATAACCAGCTAGCGTTGACCAAATTTGGAAGACGTTTGCGATATGTGGAAAATGACGTCAATATATAGTACAGCATAAACACCAGAAAAAATGGACGGGCAACCGTGAAGCCCTGGGATCGAGGTTGCGTTGTTTTCGTAGAGCAGCACAAAATGGCGGAACATTTCGCGCCTTTCGCTCAAAGTTCCTTGTAAACAGAGCGAAAAAGTTGAATAGTCCCGTATGAACTAAGTGTCAAGTCAAATTTTCAGTCGCTCGAAAATTCGTCTCGTGCCTTCTGAACTTGGCCTTAAGTAAATAAGTGCGGCAAATGGGACGCCAAAATAACCCGAAAAGACAAATTCGCTTTTAGTCACAGTAAAAACCGTCGGTTGCAGAGAGTTAAAGAAAAACTGGAAGTTAAGTGCCCTCACATCCTTTAAGTTGTGACTTACAGATCGTTGAAAGTCGGTTTGCTAACTGAAATGGAAAATTTGAAAGCAAATTCACCAGTTTAAAATAGGTACCCTCAGAAATCAAATTCTAGTGATGGTGAAAATCAGCACGACGACAGTGAAAACAATGAAAAGGATAAAACAGTGTTTATTAAAGAAAACAATTTGAAACCAAATGGACTGGCTACCGTAAAAATGATCAGATATTTGGGCCCTCTTTATTGGAAAAAACCCTCTACAATTTCCAGCTACATTCACCTGGAACTGTTCAACATTTTCGCTCTGTTCACACGGAACTGACGAACGAATTTGAATTTTAATTTTTCTCAGTGGTTTTACCAACAGCTTAGTTCAGTTCAGTTCAGTTCAGTTCAGTTCATTTTTATTTAGCTAAAATATAATACAATACAGGAATATATGTAGGAATTGTAAGTTGACAAGGAGCCCAGAAGAAATCAGAAAGCTTATGAAGCCTGGGTTCCCCAGTCACAAGGAACTAAGTAAAATGAAATTCATGAAGTGATACGTTAAAAAAAATAGGAACTAAACTGGGACTGAGCTAAGTTATGAATTCAGTAACAAGATAGAAAAAAGTTTGTAACTTGAACTCTGGATTGGAACGAATATAAGGAGATGCTCTGCTCATGGGCAGAGCGCCACTTTAGCAAATCCAAAATGGAGTCTCTCAACTGAGTTACTAGTCGCCACTTTAGAGACGAGCAAGAAACTGGGCCGAGTTAACTTTTGCAAAGGCTTTTGGGACTGTTACTAGAGGCGGGAAAAAATTGACCAAAAGCTGACCGGCGCATGCGCAGTAACGATCCCAGAAACCATTGCGGTGCTCTAGTTCCCATTTTGTTTCTTATCACGTCTAATTTTTAAAAATGCTAGGCGTCTGAATTCTCGTACGGTCGGAAAACCCAAACGCACCAATTTTCCACTGGTCGAAAAATCTTCCAGTTCTGTTTAATCTTGAAATTGCTTTACTTCTTCCTGCTCCTATTTATCACTTTAATTTCTCTTTGTAGGATGGCGAGAAACCGCCGGAGTGTAAAAACCAGTGAAAACTTTGCTTTCTCCGAGAGGACAAACTTCTTTGGTCAACCCTCTGTAAACAAACCTGGTGATTTCTGAATGAAATTTTGTTTGACCGAGCGTCATGGGTGGGGGGACGGGTTGGGGGGGGGGGTATTTATTTGATACGCCTAAAAATTCGATAGTAGCATCATTTCATCATTACTACTTGTTCAAGCAGTCTGCTCTATTTTGTTTGTGACAAGTAATGGGGTCGAAAATGATGTCACATTTAATATAACGACTTCTCGCCTTGAATCAAACTATTAGATTCTCTATGAGGTTACTTAAATGTAAGTTTTACGATTTTCATTATCGCTTCTCCGAGCGAGGCGCTTATCAATGCCGTTTATCTTTGGCGTCAAATGATACAATAACGGCTGGAGTGATCGATTCCACATGTGAAAAAAAGAAAAAAAGAGTTGTTAGAAATGCTACTAGTTTGGCTATTCTGCAGAGGATTCTAGCACAGGTCAAGTGAGATATTAGATTAGATTTTTTTTACATTTGCCACATAGTAACACTGAGCAACGAAGTGGGCGTAATTTTGTGAGAGAGAAAAGGCATTTTGATGGAAGAGTTTAATTCAGAAGTTTATTTATTCTGAATATTTCACCTACCTAAACGCAGATTATTAACTGAAGTGAACTGCAACAGTTGTCCTGAAAATTTGTTACATACATTTAACTGATGTGAAAGTGCTTTTGTCTTTAATGATAGCGATTGAAGTATTTTGCACTGTATTGGATAACATCTTTCAGAGCTAATTTAGCCAATAAAAGATGTTTCTTTTTACAAAATCGTGAGTAATTTTTAAGAGCTCCTACCCTTCCCTCCCCAACCCCGCCCCCTCCCCGCACCATTTGTTAAAAGTGCACTCCACTCTATTCACAACACTCAAACTGATATGCGATGTTGAAATACACCTAATTAACAGGTTTAACGTGGCAAGTCAAACAGTTTCACGTGCGATTACGTAACTCGCGATGACAAATGCTGATTTTGCGGTTGAAATCATTAATTCTTCCTTCGTTTTCAGCGGAGCCACGCTGGGTTGAACAGCCCACCCTCCCACCCAGAAAATCGCTTGGCTTAGTCCGCTTATCGCTCTTTTTCCTTATAACTCATGATACAAATGAGGATGAATATGAATGTTTTTGAATAGATTTATACTGACCGTCTACAGTGGAACGGACCTCGGTGCGTCGCATTCAAGACCGTACCACCATGGCGTCTCTCTGCTGAACGCCCAGCTAACACGTCGTGCGCAACACCCTTCAAATCGCTAAAATTCGCCGTTCAACACACAACTTTTCTGTTAAAAATACGTATTAGTAAATCTTATTGCGGACGACCAGAGGAGCCCGCAATCCTAATCTTCTACTAAGAATGATTGGAATACTTTTTAACGCAATCTGGTCACGCGCGTTTTGACCTTCTATCACAGACGTAAAAGTTACGCAACGCACGGCATTAGAGCGTGAGCGTTTTGACCTTCACCGCATTATACTTCGATGATATAAACCTTTCCAATACTTCCATACTTTTTCTCCACATTTAAAAACCTTGAACGGTCACAATGTTTGTTTGAGTTCTCTTTGTTTCGCAGCATTCACCACTTTACAAATGAGTAGGAGACTGGTCCGAGTGAACTACCGTAAAGACTTCTGGGATCGTTACTGGAGACGCGCGCTGGTCAGCTATTGGCCCATTTTTTCCCCTGTCCCCAGTAACCTAGTCTCCTTCGCAGCCGTTTTTAGGTTCGTCAAGAAACGCTCCTGCGTGACGAGCCTAAAAACGGCTGCAAAGAAAACTACCAGTAACCGTCCAAGAAGTCTTTGCAAAAGTTAACTCGGCCCCGTTCCCTTCCCGTTTCTAAAGTGGCGAATGAGAGTCGTTGTCGTTCTGAAGTAAAGCGGAAGCACTGATTTTTTAGCGGCATGCGTTAATTTAAGGACTTGTAGGTAGATTTATTTACTTACGATTGCCTGTTTAAATCACATCTTTCGTCAGAGCGTTCCGTGACAGCAGCTTTCCGGTTTCATGCCAAACCAGGAGCCCAGTTGAACGCTCCGGGTTATGGGCTCCTGGCCAAACCTGGTACTCTTACATATTTGAACAAAGGAACTATCCGGTATGTTTTTTACCCTTAGGGAACACTCCCCTTTTTGGCCTAAACAGGTGTGTGCCGCTGAACAGTGTATGGTTTTCAGGGTCTTGAGGGCATACAATTTCACTATTTAGTGTCTTGAACAGGGTGTCTTTTAGGACCGGAAGCGTTTAAAAGAGTGTGGAGGTTGGCGATGAGGGATCTTCATACGTAGGTACCAACAATTTACATATTTTTTAAAATCTATTCCATGATTCTACCCAAGCTTTTCTTGAGTGGCCCCGGGGTTTTCGAGAAGGAATGAGAAATCCAGTGACAACCTTAATTAAGCTAAGAGTACAAGAATTATGAAAAACAGAAACAAAAAGCAAAGTTTTAAATCGCCTAACGGAAGGCCCCCCGGGACAGAAGGTAATCTGGATTCCGGAAATTTTTTCCTGTGGAATCCGGAATCCAAATTCCGCTTACAAAGAATCCGGATTCAGTATCTGGAATCCAAGGCTGTCTTGGATTACCTTACGTGGGGTGATTAGAAATTAAAACCAAACTTGCGTTTGGTCAACTGCCATCATGATATGAACAAGCCCTTTGACACCAAGCAGTGACAACAGATCAGTCAAATTTGAAGTTTATCATGCAGTTTATTTCTTAGCATTCCACAGGCAAGCTTTCAAACGATATATAGTATTCTTCTATATATTTTAATGGTTATATTTGATACGATTATAAGCATGGTATAATTCCTAATAATATATACTTAAGCTTGCTTGTATATATTATCGGGTGTTCTCTTGCAAAAGAAAGAGAAGAAAATTCTTTCAGAAGGCCAACGCCAATATATGTAAAACAATACAATATCTTTTAACTTGCACAGCAATGGCAAAAGGGAGGGGGATTGGGGAGAGAGGATAAGGCTGCCGTTCGCTCTTTTCTCCCCCTCCCCCTTTTTGCGACTGCAGCGCAGGCTAATATCTTTTAGAGATTTTAACTAACTAAAATAACGTAGCAACATATGTTTTAAAAAAAGAAAAAACTACATGATCAATAGGTAAGCAATATTTTTTATCTGTTTCTGCCAAAAGAAAAAATAGCAAAAAGGAATACTGTAACTCGCCTCTCTGCAGAGGCTCTCGCTGGGTATCCATTAAAAATGGTAATGATTTAAAAATAGAAAGCGCAAGGTGGACTATGGGAAGAGGAAAAAGGCGGGAAGTTTCCCCTTCCCATCGCTCCCCACGCGCTTCCATTTTTCCCTCTCCCCAGCCTCCACACGACGCAAAGAGGCCTCTGTATTCGGATGAGAGAGATACTATAAGGTAATTGGTCGAGTCTAAAACCGAACGTGAACGCTCAAACCAATAGGCCATTTTCGAATGATTGAAATTCATACCTGGCTACATCGCACTGAGATCCAGGGATAAATATTCATTTCTTTTGTCTTATTCCTCTCAGCCTCGGTACCAAGTATGAACTCGTAATCGGCCATTTCCCGGTTCTAAAAATTCTCACTTTCAAAACGAGGCTAAGAGCAAAACCTTTCTTCTTATTTTTTTTGCACCAGAAAAAACAATTCATTTTCATATCAAAGGCTTTGAAAAAGAGGCTTGAGGCCACTTGAAAATGACCTATTTGTGACGCTGATTGAATGATACTATGGAATTGGTGTGGAAAGTATTAGAAAAGCTAATTAATTCTAGTTCGCGATTCTTATCATCACTACATGTAACTCCCCTTCAAAAATTTCGTGAGAGATTTTTCATTATTTACAATGATTAATTCCGGACTACGTCATGCATTGATATGATACCGTGACTAGCATATAAGTGTCGTTTTAAAAAATGTGGGCAGTACTGGCCATGGAAGTGGGAGCCTGAGAGAATTTGGGACGAAAGGGGTACGAGGGGTGGGGGACGGGGGGCGGGAGAGCGGAAAAGCCGAGAGGTGAGAGTTCTAAAAGTAGGGGAATCAGTGAAACAGGAGGAACAATCGCAATCGAAAAAGGGTTAACGGGAGGAAGCGAAGAAAAAAGGGGCGGGAGGCTTAAACCCCCCTGCCCCCCCCCCCACCCTCCCCTCGCACCCCCCACTAAAATGAAACCAAAGAGGTTGTAGTTTCCTTTGAATTGCTTCATCGATTAACTGAACTAACAGAAGTCGATAAATAGGTGGAAGGGGTCAAGTTTGGGAAACTGCATGTCACACTGAAATAACGACTTGCTTTGGGTTTTGCACCGTATTGGTGCAAAACAAAAAGTGGAACAGGATTTTTCAGCCTATAAAACTATTAATAAACGCTGTTGGAATGCAAAATCTTAAAACGCTAGTCTTAATTACTATATTAAATTAATGTTCGACTGAGAAATCGTTTACTTGGTAAACAGGCACTAAGCTCGAATCGATTAAAACATGTCCTGCATTTACAAATAATTAGCTAAGCCGGGTAGCCAATGAGTTGTCTTCTGAGAGGACGCTAGGCGCAGTGAACAGGATAATAAACTTTAACGACTACTCCTAACGTGGTCTTATAATACCCGACCACCTTTTATGTCAGGAGAGTAGACTAAGAAAATAACCAAAGATAAAATATCTGGATCGTAGACAAATTCTCCTCGTTGCTATTTCACGTAATATGTGAAAGAGAGTATGGAGAAGAAACATGTTGATATGAAGGATTAAAGTAACAACACGGACACAGCAAGGAGCCCATAACATCTGGAAAGTCCATTCGCTCCTAACAAGTGTCAACGACTAAGTCTATTTTTAGATTTTCGTTTGGTGTTCACAAGCGTCCGCACAATATGGCAGTATGACAGTTGGTCTCTGACAGCTCTTGGCCCTCAATCTCTAACTTTTTTAAACAGGTTAAACATTCTCTCGGTTTTACAACTTAGCTGAATCCATCTACCTTTGCTAAAAATCTTACTCATTTCTATTGGTTTTTGGCGCAAAAGATAAATCATAAACGAGGCTTGAGGATCTAAAATTGAGGCTATGACCGAGGCATTATTAGCAAAGGTTCACTCTGAGAAGATGAGCTCCTAACACACTTTGGAGTGCCTGAAAAAAAGCACCGGCTAAACGATCGAACATTTTCGTCTAGCATCAAGATCAGGAAGAACATGTTTTACCGTTTAGTCGTCCCTCTACACACTGCATTTAAATGGATTTCAGAGTTTTCCATCCAAATTCTGCATCACAGACAAATGTTTGATCGTTTAGCCACCCCATGTAGTATATGACAAATGCAAGAAAATGACATTCATTTATCGGACCTTAAAGACTGGAAGTAACGATATAATTACAAGTAACGAAGTCCATTTAGAGGTTAACAGATGTGGAGCATGATGTTCCTCTGTATCCGAACCCCAAAGTGAGCGCCATCAATTCTAAAATTTCCAATTACATCAATTCATTTAGTCATCGATGGAACAGAAGAGGCAACAGGCAAAGATCATTCCGAGTAACTGAAAATAGAAAACGAAAGAAGACGAAAGTTAGTAACTTCAGTCAGTTTCGAAGCATAGTTCGTATTGAAAATCCCGCTTCCACCAATTTCTATGTAAGGTTGGGTCCACACCTAGTGACGATGCCCACGCATTGGTGCTCGGGCACCTAGTGTGAACAGCACATAAGTATTTTCCCTAGCGGCCCTCTAACGGCACAAGTCATTTAGACCTTCGTTCACGGTTTCATGTTCTTGCTAATCGATTTTGTTCCGTGTTGATTGTCAGAGGTTTGAGTACAGAAAATTGAGATTATTTGTGAAGCGTCTAATGTTAGCTGAGACCTGTAAAATATAGGGATGGCAAATGCGTGACCTCGACATTCGTTACGAACCTGAATGGCAGAAATGGAAACTGCTATAACACCAAGGATCAGAAGATGGTTGTTTACGAAGTCCTTCAGTCCTTCTACACAACCCTGGTAAAGAAAAATAATAATAATAACTCGTGCTAAGCTAACCTTAGCTTCAAAAATTGAGATAAAGACGATATTGAAATAATCTATAGTGATGATTTTGATGATGATGATGATGATACGTAGTAATGGCACGGCGGTGGCTGTTTTGATGAAGATGAAGACAATGTCGATCCGCTCTTTTTTACTTACTAGAAGAAGATTACCATATAGTTAAAAACCTGTGGTGGTGGTGGTGGTGATGGTTGTGATGATAGTTATGTGATGATAATGATGTTGTTTAAATGGAGATGCCATTGCAGATAACGATAGTCACAAGGTTACACATGAGAATAGAGATGGTGATTTTGATGGTCACCATGGAGATGATGTTGATGGATGGAGTGTTACAGATTTTGCCAAGGCTGATGATAATGGTGAAGGCAATGATGTTAGAGAGCTTAAACAATCGCGACTACAATGGTTACGAACACATTAAACAATTCGTTCTATCAGCAAAACAATGGCACTGCACGTGCATTACGCTATTTGGTACATTTCTTTGACGTTCACAACACGACCCGAACGTGAACCTTCCTGTTGCGACGTTTTATAGGGGACGTGACCACACGTCGACGAATTCCCGTTTCTCATTTACCTTGGGAAGTGTCCTTAAGAATTCAGCTCCAGGAAAATTTGCCAACATTTGCCAATTGACTCAGTTAAATGAACGCAAAAGAGTTTGAAAGACGGCACTGAATTCATTCAGCTCAGTGACGTTGCTGTTGCGGTGGTCGTGGTTGTTGCTTTTAAACCTCCCTTAAAATGAAGATGACGACGACGACGACGATGATGATGATGATAACGATGATGATGATGATGATGATGATGATGATGATGATGATCGTGATGGTGATGACTGGGAAGGTAGAGGCTGACGGTTCTAGTTACTTATAGCAATGATCGGCTCGGCGATGAGTAAGAAATTATTCGAGCTCACAAACTTTACCTTTCTATGGATGTTAAGATTATTCTCCTCGTTGCATGTAGTAGTATTTGCACCTTCCCTGCAGCAACTTAATGGAACCACTTTTTTAGGGGGGTTGTTTTTAATCCACTTGCTTTCCAACCAGTCCGTGAAGTTGGAGGCTCCACAACATTCCAACTTTTAGAAAAGAAAGGGAAAAGTATAGTCTCTAAAATGCGATTAATTAATTTGTTCTCATGCCTTTTCTCCGGCAACGAGAAAAGCTCACTATAAACAAAACAGAAAACATCCCTTTTTCTACCAGGAAATACGCGAGGGCATGGTTTCCCACGTACAAGGGGAAAACAAGTGAATAAATACAGCGGTGTATCACTAGAAATGTAACAACTGAATCATTGTAAATAGAAAAGTGTAGATAGAAACCTGTGAATAGTAATATGTAAACGTATTCGTACAAAGTCAGCCGGGTAAATGTTTTTAGTACCTTCTCCTATCACTTTTTATTCATTTTGAGTTGTGTCATACACAACCACATCAGCTACGCTGTAAACTTATCTTGTTTAAATAAAAGATGCTGTTGTTGTTGCTGTTGTTTGTTTATGGGTAAAATTTCTACTGTCCGCTAATTGTTTGAGAGAGAGGGCATTTTCTTCTCTCCAATTAAAATGGTAACTGATAGAGATTTCCTCGGTACAATTTCCATTGACCTGCACCTATCCAAACCTGTTATTTCATTGGTCCCTATACGATTTTACCTTTAAGTAATAAAAAAGTTACCGCATGAGTCCTCGTAGGATTAATTGAGGAGTTTATATGCAGTGTTATTGAGTGAAAAACCTAGGGACTGTTTCGCGGCGTACCTACACTCTGTTAAAAACTGACGAAGTTAATTATTACTAATTAGTACTTATTACTAAGTTAATTATTTTTTAATTCATTACTGTTGCTGCTTCAATAGTCCAGTTTCGAATTCGTGCGGCGGCTGAATAGAAGCACTGAAGACTCGTTTATATAGGGTTAGCCAAATATTCACAAATACCAGCGAGAAGGTGCTTGTATTTGAGTTTAAAACAATAGACTTAAGACATGGTTGCACACAGGTCTTCTTCTGACTGGAATTTGTGAATAGTTACCTTATATGATCGAGGCTAACCCAGGATACATGAAACATCAGTGCTTCTATTCAGCGGCCGCGACCAATTCGAAACTGTAATTTTGCCCACGTTCGATACATTAAAATTCTAACATGACTCCGAGGCTTAAGGGTCAAAATTGAAAATTTTTCACGACTTCATTGTCCGCAATTCCCAGAAGAGGCTTGAGCACAAAGAAAACTAAGGGCCTGTTTACATGGAGGTGGGGGACCCCAGGTAGGCGAGGTAACCCGCCTGTCCATTTAATCTCTTATTTTAACTTGATCACGTTTACATGATAGGTGGGGTGACCCTATGAAAGATTGTATAGACAGGCGGGTTACCCCACCTAAGCGGGTTACCTCACCTACCTGGGGTCCCCCACCTTCTTGTAAATAGGCCCTAAACCGAATATACAAAATTGATCAGAAAGCATCTGAGTCATGTTAGAATTTCAATATATCGAACGTGGGTTAGTCAAACATTGCACCTCTTCAACTGACGTCACTAGGAGTCAAAGAAATCATCTGACGTATAAATCATAAAAGATTCCTGATCACAGGGGGACTATAAAGTCTAGAAATAGCACCCTCCTCGTCGGCGGTCAAGGGAAGAAAACTGCCTTTACCAGGATGAAGGAGTTGTTACCGTTCGGCTGACTGATATGGGTTGACTGCACATGCGCCTAGAAAAAAAATCTTAAGCCTTTGATAGGTTTCAGATTGAACTTACTCGTATTTGTAAATTATCTATGTTCTGGTTGGTGGTTGAATCAATCTTTGTTCCGTAGTTCATCTTGACTTCTTCTCTGAGTGTGTTTGTGATTTCATCGTCAACCTGCCCATGAAAAACGGTTGTCAGCACAGGCGATATATGAATCTGTTGTTCAACAGTAGTAAACAGCCTCTGCAGACTTATTGAGCGCTAAAGGAGTCGAATATAAACTGGGATTTGCCCATTCAGTTGGCCTACTAGAAGACTGGAATTGAGTTTCTGGGTCTGCAAATGTCCGCACCTTTTTGCCAATGGGGAATGGACTTTGGAAACTTGAAATGGGATAGACATCTTAAAAGGAGAAAATAGGAAAATGAAACTTGTCTGAATTACTTACAACCCGAGTTGGGGGAAAAATAACCTGTTCCAGGCTCCTGGATAGTAATGTGCAGGGATTGCAAATACGGCATTTTTTTTTCTACCGCCGCTTCCATTCCCAGATCACGCGCGTCTAAATTATTTTCCCCTGACCTCGTTTTCGCGGCGTACCTACACTCTGAGAACCTGGCACAGGCGAGGGAGCGGAAACTTAAAAGAGAAGCAGCAATAGCACCAAAAGAGTTCACAATTTTCCCTTTTAGAATTCAACTTACGTGAAAAACGGTCGTCATTACTAACCTTGTCACGGTAAAGGAAACCAAGGATACCTGCTACGGCCTCAGCAGCAAATATGAGGAACAAACAAGCAAAGAACTGCAGAAATAACAATAGAAAATGCAGTCAAACGTGTTTTAGAGAACCTGTATTTAGCGGCATACTCCTTGAAGCTGTTAGTTAGTTAAGTCGATCAAGAAATGTTCAGTTCTTCCTGGAAAACCTCAACGTGAGACCAGGAGGCCAACCTTGTCCCCCGGGTCTCCTCGTTTTCCAATAATGCAACGCCATTTTGTAATCTAATGGGGACGAGGTTGACCAAGAAACCTCTAGAAGATCAATACCATATTGGATTATGCGAACGTTCGTGAACACAGCAAATTTCGTGGGAAAAAAGAGAAAAAAAAGACACTCTGAAGGTCTAACATGCTGTGACACTTAACAGAAGCCGAGGGACGTTCTGGGATGATGAACTGTTTGTAACTTACAGAAAGAACAAATGTAAATTAAAAGAATGGAAATGAGAATCAGTTTAATCTTCACGAAAAAGAAACAATCATATACTTACCATGCCAAGCAGAGGTCGGCTCTCTTTGATTGCTCCCCAACATCCCAGAAAACCGATGACCATCACAAACGCGCCGGCTGCCATTAAAATTTTGGCGGGAAGAGAATACCCACTATTGCCTAGGAACGCGTCAAACTGTCCCGGGTCTATTTCGGTCCATATTCCTATCCCCAAGATGGCTGCTCCTGCAAGCTGGAAAAAGGACTACAAATTAGAATTCTGAGTTTATCTTTCCTGTCATGTCTGTTTGCACTGATTTTGCGGCACGTCTCATCGTTGCACCAGCATTTCCTCAAAAACAAGGGGAGGGGGGGGGTGGTCTCACTTCTTAAGCTTTAAATATTGCACAAAGTATAATAACTTTGAATGATGATTGGAGTCCCTAATTGTCACGTGACCTATTAAGGCTACTTTTAGCACAAAAATCTTTTTGGCAATATGGCACCACTTTTAATTACTTTTTGGAAGTTGCAGTCCTCGTCATAGTTATGAGACTATTGGGTACATCAGTTCTGAGTCCGGGCCTTTTAAGTTAATCTTTTAGACATGGTCGAAATTCGAAAATCGTTTGATAAGGGGACTGGGTACTAGTACAAAATTCCGTTTATTTACTCTTTCAATAACTTATTCAACAAAGCCCGAGTACAGATGTTTAGTCATTCACCTAGGGACATGTTTGGTTGCAATTTCTTTGATTGACTGCAGTTGACTGCTATTATAAAATGGTGCCATTTCTAATTTAAATTTTTTTCGCGCAAAATGGCCGTTAAAGGTTACGTGACCTAATTTACATCTTCTTTTACTCGGAATCGCATAAACTTTAGAGAGTCGTTATTTCACGCACGTTTTGTCGCTATTGGCCATTATCCTCAAAATGTAGACCAGCCCTCGACTTTTTGAGAGAAACTGATTCTTTTTCCTCATCCCCCTGCCCGCCCTCCCTGCCCTCCCCTGCCCGGCCCTTTCTTTCTCCTCATCGTTGTTGTCATAAACGTTTCTGGTTGATGCTCCTGCCTCAGTCGGTAATGTCCAATAAGGACATAAGCAGGACGTTTGGATAAAGAAACAGCGGGACTGACTGTAATCTGTTATATGACGTAGTGGAGTAAATTAGCAGCTGATGAAATGATGATTGATTTATAGGTCATTATTTACTAGCAGCCACAAAACCGCTAGAACAATATTTTCCCTTAATCGGCGCACGCCATCGGAAATACTGCTTTTGTACCCTTAAAAATATCAATAAAGACACAACAACACGGAAAAAGGAGTAACTTAAAGTTAATATGATCCGACTTCCCAGTTAAAAATTTTACCTTCCAGCAAAGAACGCGCGCAAAAAAAATTCAATACCAAGGTAAGGACCTTATACCGCTTTAATATAAAAGAATGTTGAGGTTAAAATCTCAATTGAAATGCCGATGACTTGTTGACAGAACGAGAGAGTACTGCACTCAGTATTGTATTCTATATTGTAGGCAATCTCATTCTTACGTCATTAGAATATCGATCAGAAATATTTCGTTATAAATCGTAGACTTTTCGTTACTTTTATCAGGTTAGAAAAAAATCGAACGCTTTGTACTGTTTGTTAGAAATGTAACGCAAAGTCAGGAGGCCACAAAAAGTAGTTTGCATAGAATGTTGACATTTTCTTTTTTGGGCATCATGTTATGATGTCACGAAAGCGTCCTTCCTTATGATTTCGTCTCACGATTGTTATGATAAGTATTATTCAGATCGTAACTAAAAATTCCTCTTCAAAAAATTGTTTACACAAATGAAAACTCTTGTAAAATGACCACCGTTGTTTAATAAAACTTGTTGTAAACCTATCGTTGATTAAAATGTGTTGTAGTAAAATGTTTTCAATATGCACGTAAGCTAAAGTTACTTGAAGTAAATCTCACGCGTCCCGAGCGACGATCGAGCTGGGCTTTTATAGATGTGGGGAACTAGGACCAACAATCTAAACTTCCTGCATTCGTCAGGTAAAAGACCAACTGAAAATCAATCGTCCATGTTTCTTGCATTTCAGCTTTTCATTCTACGATTAATTCGGCGAACTGTTCATTAAATCCTTAATATACAAGTCGACAGACAGAGCGGAATATGAAGAACTCTCGACTTGTGAATATTCAGTTACTGAAATAAGGAAATTGAAAGATCTGCCGAAGAATTATAGATGAAAACTTCCTGACAAACTATGCGGACTTATCAACCAGCTAAACTGTGAAATCAGTTAAATATTCTGGAAGTGGTATTCTAAATTTCAGCTCGACAACGAAATGTTATTGTATTAATACTAACAAAACATACACATACCCAAAAGATGAAATTGAAAACGAAAAGAAGTGTCTTGATACACTTGATGCCACACATATCATCGACAGATTGTTGTCAGTTCGTAGATTTCTTGCACAAAGGATGGGCGAATTAGGGCAATGTCTCACGCCGTGTTTACAGCGAACTCTGTTATCTGCCAAGGCGCACCACTGTGCAGCCTATATGCATATACATACGTTTACTAGGGCGTGTAACGCATTCATACTGACAGGTTGTTGTTAATTGTTTTGTTGTGCTTGACTGAGAACGAACCAATTAAAATCCACAATATAAGGAAATTTTACAACTTTTAGAATAGGCTAGAATCAGCATATTGTTTTGTGTCAGCCGTTTGCTATTACTACAACAAAGAATTTCCTTATCTGTATAATTCGTTTTTCAGTTTCGGTTTGATTATACCTTATTTGACATGTTGAGCTCGAAAACCAGCTGTTTCTTGTCTTTTGGGATAACCAGTACGTTAGAAAGAAAGCGAAACAAAAAACTCTACATTAAACTATTGCTTTAAGCTATTCAGTGACTGCATTACGGCCAGTGGCCAAGTTTTTATGCTAGTTGACCCTGCTGACATTTTGCTAGAATTTTAGAGACGCAATTTTGTCTCAATATTTTAAAAACAAATTCGTTTCAGTTTTCAAAGCTAAAGATCAACGTTCCTTAAACCACGTATATAATCAGGAAGAAACGGCGCTCAACCGATTTATGGTACGCTGGAAACCTCGAAAATGTTGCAGCATATTATTCCATCTATAGACACCCTTGATGGAGTCAGCTAGTTCGTTTTTTTATCTTTATCACTATGAAACTGTAATTTATAATGCAACTGTCATGTCATTGTAAGTTTTTTGTTTAATCATTCGAAACGATCTCAAATGTGTGTCACTATCTTTTTTCGTCTAGTGTTTTTCTTGATTATTTCCGCAGGAAAAGGTTTACAATGTGGAATTGAATCAATTTTGCCAAATTTATTAAAATTCGACCAAGAAAAACACAATTTATAGTTGTCAAGTATCGCTGTATAAAGTACATGTACAATTTAAAGCTGTAGATTAAAATACGCCAAGATCCGCTGGTTAATGTCGCCGTAACGCAATTTAATTCTGGGACCCTCGGTAATTTATAATGAACCATCTAAAACCAAAACTAACTCTATAGTCCTCAGTAAAACAATTCTGCCATTTTTACGACGTGCCTCGAATCAATTTCGAATTCCTTTTCCGTCTCATGGGAGGTCGAAAATTCCCCGCGATTCCACGGCCAGCTTTTGCGCTTCGAAGAAACATTTTTTTAAGGCTCGACTGATAAAAAAGAATTTTCGGACGTTTTTTCCTGAAATTTTGGACTCAGAGACTAAGAATGTTGCAATGTTGACGCACAGAATAGCCCCGGGATAATGTAATGTTCGCTGTAACGTCTGCTTATAAAAGACAGTGTATATGTTGTAGTTCAATTTTATCCTTGGTTTAAATTTCATTTTCCTTTGTTTTGAGGTGTAATGTATGATCATCAGGCGCGGATCTAGGATGAATACTGACCAACTTCCTAAAGGAGCACCGAAGGTGCAAACCTCTAGGGGGTCCGGGGGCATGCTCCCCCAGGACATTTTTTGGATTTTAACTCCTTAAAGTCCCCTTTCCTGGGTTTCCGAGTCATTCAGACAGGATATTTTAGAAAGTGTTATTAATTGCGGGCGACAAGAGGAGCCCGCAATCCTAATCTCCAGGTTGTTATTACGAATACGTCGCAGCTAGCAATTTGTTTGGACCTCCACTGAGAGTGTATGGAATGCACATAACGCATATTTGATCACGCGCGTGTGAACCTTCCATCACACGCAATCTGATCACGCGTGGTTTGACTTTCTGCCACGTGAATCTTACACAAAGCACAGCGCTGGAGCGAAAGCGTTTTGACCTTCCACACTCCGTAATCTTTGGTTTTTACTAGTTTTTTATATACATTTTTTATATATTTTTATATATTTTTTTATTATGAACTGATCTGACCGATTTCCGTAAAACTGTGGAAACCGGCGTGGATCCGCGCCTGATCATGACTTCATGAAACACAGGAAAATAAAATTTAAACCAAGGATGAAATTGAACCACAACATATACAGTTGTCGATGTGCGTCAAACTTTCGTAAACGACCACCTCTCATATAAGCGACCATCCATCTAAAAACACCTAAATCTTCCCAGTCAAAGCCCTATAATTAGAACCTCTTGTAAACGAACACCTCTCAGGCGACCGCGACCACTTTCGGGGCTGACGGTTTTGTAACTTTCTATTGTTTTTAACCTCTTGTATTAAAGCGTCCACTTGACGCATGGTCTGATCTCTTAATTTGTTCGCTGAATATACTTAATAAGTTAAAGTTTATTTTAAGAACTTCAATTCTGGCAACTTGAAACCCAAATATCATAACGTATAGATCATAGCAGTTACATGCAATAATTTAGATACTCCTCCAAAAAGTATATGAGTGTCGGAAACCTTTTCCGTATGTTTCTGTGCAAACGTTTCTCTGGCTGCCGAAAATGTTCGGGCGGAAAGAATGTTCGCTCGGACTCTTTCGGACCCTTTTCGCCAACTTTCATTTTCGCACATTTTTGCCGCCAAAACGCGCGGCTGCACAATGATTTCCCGCCCTTTACGACTTATTATTTGATTATGTTTTTTTTGTAGCTTCTTTTGTCGATGGCTTTGTTGGGTTCCTCTTTGCTTTTTTTCCTTCTTTGTTAGAGCATTTTTCATAGCGCTCAGGCTCAAGCAGAAAAGGCAAGTTCCTCGGGAAATACTCCTTTGGAATTTTTTTAGAAGAGACAGGACTGGACAAAGAAAAAATAGTAAGAAAAGGGTCAGAAAAGCGACAAATCCGAGGTAAGCTCTTTGAAAGCAACTTTGCAACAAAGCTATTTAAAAGCTAAAAGTAACAAGTTAGTGACTTTTGGAGGTTTCTTTCAAATTTTTGGTTGATTATAGAAAAAAGAAAGAAACGTATTTTAAGCACAATGGGCCAGTTTAGCCAGGTTTAATGAATAACAAAACCTCGTTCTAGGCCATTTTCAGTTTACCGAACGCTTAATTTAAGTAGCATTTATCGTGAACAATTTCATGAACGTATATGGCTTAGACTAGAAAATCATTTGTCTCCTTAAAACAAGCCTCTAAGGACTGAGAGATCTGGACGTCCAAAGATTTCCTAAACCGCGGTCCAAGTTAGACTTCGTTTCATCAGAAACAGTTTCTGTTTTTATGAAGTCGTAGAGTGAGTTAAAGATTTGATTTGCACTCTTTGACCAGTGCTAGTGTTTGCGATTTTTTTTCTTCGCTTTGCACATTCTAGTATTCATGTTTATCGAAAAGATGCTTTAGAAAAGATTTACTGAAAGAACAACTTGAGTTGTTTTTTAAGCTGCCTTTGTCAGCGGCGACGACAGTTTTTTTTTCATTTTAAGCTTAGAAGCTTCTGTTTTGTCATAATTTTCATAGCTTACTTGAAGGAGACGAGATGGCAACTGCCCAGGCGATGAGAGAGCAAGAAAAGACAGTTAGTGTAAGCCTTTCATACAAAGAGAAACTATGTCTACATTTCGTAATGTTTCTTTGAAAATTATCCACAGAAATACTTTGTTACTGTGACCGGGAGAGACTGAAACCTACTACTTATTCAAAATGGTGGTTAACTTGCAACAAGAGAGAATGCTTGCAAACAAACGCAAAAAACTCATGATTGAAAAATATTTTGCTATTTTATTCCTAGTGGTCAAGTATTTTTCCTTCTCAACAAGTGACAGAGCAACAATCAGCTTTGTTTGTGAAGAAGCTTCTTGCAGTTGCGGTAAGTACAGAGGAACAGAGCACCAAAGGTCTTTAATTTGATTTCTTAAATTCTGATTTCTGAACCACCTTTTATTTACATTTGTTTTCAGGTTTCGAGTATAACTTATCTCAGGTAAGAATAACTTGTTGTTTTTATTGTCTATTATTTTATTAAAATTGGTTATTGTATGGCTCCGTTTCTTACGGAGCAAAGTACAGCTGAAAGTAGGTTAAGTTTTACTGGAAATAGTAGACTTGGTAATTTCTTATAGCTGGTGTGTCTGTTTTTTTCTTTTTCCGATAGAACCATATTTCCAGAACATGCGTTTGGAGACAGATGTTTAGAAGGTACCAGTCATCACTCAGCTTAGTGAACTATAGTCACTGAACGTGGAACCACTTTTTAACCTCAACTTATTAATATTGAATGCATACTGACATCCAACGTTAAAAATACTCAGTGATAGGGTTCTATCAGTTGGCTAAGACATTTTTTTGTGCTTTTGATGCAGATCTGAATTTGAAAATCCTTAAAGATGACAGTGCTTGCCCAGGTGCATGCCAAGTAATACAGTGGTGAGGATAAATAGATATTTTTTCGGACACACACAATGCGGCTGTGTAATATGCAAACTTGTCCAGCTTATAATATAATTTCACTAGGCCAGGCAAAGACTCTGGCAGCATTTTTTAGTATCAATTGATAAAGACTGGTAGCATATAAATCCAACAAAGTGTTAAAATTTCTTGCAACTACTGAAGAGTTTTGCTGGACATGTATATTGAGTGTGTGGTTGTTAATAGATCTGAATTATATGATCATAAACCCGTGACCACATCATAAGGATTCAACACACCTAGGTCTTTTACCTTGCCTAGTAAGCCTACATTTTTCCAACTCGATTGACTTATACCTCTGTAGTTACTATAGCTGCCCTGCAAGTCAGCCTCAAATACCTTCAACATCATTATTTATGTATTGTCTTCAGTTTATGGCAACTTTGTGCTCGTCCAATTTTAGAATCACTTGTATGATTTCAGACCAAGTAGCACTCCACTCAGTTCAATTACCATTATAAATAGATATTTAACGAGTGGATATCATAATCCACCTTTTTAACAACTCACCACTTTTGTACAGACTTTAACGCTTGCAGCTGATTCACTGAAGTCACACTTATGCATTCTATATTTTTTGATAAATAAATACATATTATCAGTGGTAATGTTATTGTATGTTTTTATATTTTCTGTTAAACAGGATAAAAGGTTGCTTTGATGCTCTTGATAAGAAATATGTAAGTTTTTACTGATGTTTTAGTTAATAATTCAAAGAGCTCATAACCTGATCCTTAGTCCATGCAACAGCATTTTCACAGATCAGGGCCGGGTTGTTCAAAGCAGGGTTAAGATAACCTAAGGTTAGTGCAAAATTTGAATTTAGAGATGAAAGCTTAAAAAGGCAAATTCAGTTTTATCCTTTTTACCTACAATTTAATGATTGGATGCTCTAAAAAGAATAGAGAAAATTATGCGGGAAAATGCTTTTGAACAATACAAAAAAAGAAACCCAGGTTAAAATTTAACCCTTAGTTAGTGCTAATCGGCCTTCGAACAACTGGGCCCAGTTAATTTTTCACATAATTTTTTAAGTCCCTTTTTTTGTGGAAGTAAAAGCACCATGCAGTGCAAGTCATGGTATGATGATAACAAAAAGAAAAAGTAGATGCATCAGAAATAGCCTCCAGTTGCATGGGCACAACAGATCAGGGTTGCTTGCTCTGGATTATGGGCTCCTGACAATGCCTTGTAACAGTTTGCAAAATTAGGAACTTATGCAAAGTCTTATAATATTCTTTTCTCTTGCCCTTGCAGCTCCGGATGATAGTAATCGGTGTAAGTATTAATTTGCATAAGGTCAACTCTGCCCTCTGTCTGATTTGAAGTTTGTAGAATTAAGTGAAATTTGAGTGCTTATTTTGTTTGAAACAGATTTATGGTGACGCAGAGGACCCTGATGTGAGTAATACCTTTCTATTGTACTTGATGATAATAACAAAGAATAATGTGTCACTAGATTTCACAGAAAATATAGCAATAGCAGAGATATGATTGTGTTTCTTTTTGAGGAAACATAACAGTATACATTAAGGCTTTCAAGTTCTGACAGGTGTGGCTTTAAGTTATCTTATTTTGATGAATTTATAATGGTATTTTTTTTCTTTTAACATGTAGACTGTTATAGAGTCCTACACATTCAAGGTAAGATCTGTCTTAACTTATACAGTCTAACCTCTAGCTCCTTACGGACATCTCTATAATACGGACACCTCTCTATTATGGACAGTTTTTTTGGTCCCAGAAATGCCAAAAATCATACATTCCCTACCTCTGTAAAGCGGACACTTGGTTCTGTCCCTTTGATGCCCATATTGGCCATTTGCACTAAAAGGTCATGTGACATTATTTTTATGAAAATGAAAGTAATACGATTTTGCCTTCAAAAAGCCATTAGTGGGTCATATCTCATATAATAGTGATTTAGTTTTTCAAACCCACACAATTTTCTTGAAATGAGTCAGTTCATAGCTGGTCACGTGACCAAACTGTAATTTTTAAAACTATGAATTACTTCTTTCTGAACAGAAATTTTGCGCTTAAACTTCAAGGAAATTGTTGAAAAGATGATGTGGTAACGTTTTCAGCACTTCTGAGCGTAATTATCAAACGTTTAACAAGATACAAGCAAAAAGTAGTTTTGGCCGTCTTGTTGGAGGGCAAGAGTATGCCCTCCAACATGGCGACCAATACAAATCGTACTACTTTGAAGTCGTACTACTTCATACTACTCTACTTTAAATCATACTACTACCACTTTCATACTACAGTCAACTCTCTCTAAGACGGACACCTTTGGGACCAGTACTATGTGTCTGTCTTAGAAAGAAGTCCGTCTTATAGAGAGTCAAATAAGAGGAGTAAAGAAAAGCAGGGACCAACTCCAGGTGTCCGTTTTACAGAGGTGTCTGTCTTATAGAGGTGTCCGTTAAGAGAGAGTTGACTGTACAACTTGTCTCTTTCGCTCAGAAACAGTGATATACATTGAAATGCTGACGCATACTGTTGAATTGTTTGAAAATATGCATTTCTATTGCACGTACTCAATCAAACCGAAAATACTGTCAATGCTGGGTACTGGTTACTTTCTGAAAATCGCAAAAATTTATTCCCAGAAAGAAAAACCAATCTCTCCTGATCGCAAAAATTGGTTCCCGCAAAACAACAACAAAAAAAAACACCAATCCGAAAAAAAAAAAGAAACTCTCGCAAAAATTTCGTGCCACGCGGTATTATCCAACCATCTTGATAGAACAAGCTTGGTCAGTGACGCATAAGGCGTGCTCCCTAAGTCATCTTCTCAGTTCTGCTTTTAGCTATAAAAGTGCGCGTAATTGCCAGGCTTTTGTATAACAGATATGATATTTTTGCCTCTACGTGAACGTCTTTGAGTTGTACAAACACTTTGTAATTCTTAACAACACTAGAGAAGTGGTTGAGGCACTTGCTTCTCTAGCAATTTTATTGTGTTCTTGAATTTCCCGCGTGTATATATAACCAGAAGCATATCATGAACCCTGTTCAGGTTTTATGCTGTCGGTGAAGAATTAAACTCAATTATTGCTCTATTTTCTTCCATAGTTTTCTTACATGGACAAGGAAGTCAGTATCTTCAGGTATTTTAAATAATATTGCTTTTAAAAAAACGTCCGTGGTGTTGTTGTTGTTTTTTATTTTTTCAAAATAAAAAGTGCGTCAAGGCCTTAATTGCTTTTGTTCTTTCTTGTGCTTAGGAATGGAAATAAAATCGCAAGTGCCCACACGGAAAGGGATACTAAAAAGGCAACAATACGCTTGCTAAGGTATGTCTTTTCCTTACATCCCGTTTTAGTCTTTTAGTGGATTCGTACATGGCCAGGAAAAATTTGTTTAAAAGCTCCTGAGTAAACTATAAAAGCAACGGACAATCTTTACAATGTCAATGATTGAAACAGTAAATGGCCATGGTTAGTACAGCCAAAAGAATTGGAAAGCAAGAGCCATTGTTGGAAAGTGATTGAAGGAATAATTGCATTTTCCTTACAGAACGATCATTCTCCTCAGTCAAACTCTGTCCTCACTGCCAGGTAAGTCCCAATGCTTTTTTCAAATAAAAAAAACCCGCATGCCATAGACCAACTCTTTTGTTCAAAGTAGTAAGAAACTGAAAGATAAGTTTCCATAATTTTTTGTTCTGATTAGACCTAACAACGTAGCCAATGACCTAAAACAATAGAAAGCAATACAGTAACTAAATACAAATGTCCCTTACATGCCAATGGTACGCTGATTTTGTGTTTTCAGTGTGACTGTTATAGTTATCACAGATTTTAAGAACCTCATGCTTTTTTTAGATGATGTAATGATGACAATGAAATTACTGTACTATGACGAGGGTGAGTAAAACTGTCTGGCGCTGGCTTTCCTTGTGGGTTGTATGTTACATTTGTAGATGTTTGAGTAGCACTTTTTCCTTATGGATATATCGTTATTACTGTGAAGGCCCTTCGCATCGACCACACCGTTATCCCGACCAACCCTTGGATTGGCCTCGTTCATCAAACGATAAATCAAATGGTCATGCTTGGTGTCTGAATGAAAAGTAATGATTAACCCAACGTATCGCCTTTTATCTTAATTTATATAAGTTCGCAATTTTGCATTAAACTAACGGTGATATATGTGATATCAGAAAGATAGTAAGAACACTGAAGAATAAAATCAGACTTTTCACTCGGTCATAAAGGCTATAAGTGTCGTAATATGACGCAAACCTGTTGATATGACCAAATTTTCATGGTCCCTCGCTGGTTAAGTGTTCTGCCGGGTATACTACAGGAGCTATGGGCTATTATCTTTCTTCTTTTTAATGATAACATTCACTGTTACGTATAGTCCCCATTGTATTATTTAGTTATCAACAACAACAATTCTAACGTCAGTGTGTTGTTTACTAGTTACTCCCCCTGATTATGAACCACCAGGTTTCAAGGTATTTATGCATTTGACATGTATTTCACTTATATTCATATGTAAATTGTTCGTACTAAATACTATTTTTTTAAATTTTCATTTAGCACACGTCGAACGATGCGTTCAATTTCGTAGACGAGCCTTTGAATATTAAAGTTGGAGATGTATCAACGGTATGTTGTTTTCAGGGATTCAGAATATTAACAAACGTTCTCGAAACTGGGGGCAGCTAACATCGCCTTCAGATTTCAGGATGTATTTTCTAGGTAAAACCTCCTACTGTCGAACCTCTCCAGGACCGTCGAGAGGTTATTTTGACAGTTAGGGACACGATGTAGTGCCGGCGTTGCCGTTGTAGAGAGGTTTAAACAAGAGTCAATGTATGGACTGTCCGCTGGGACAAAAAAGTGGCCGTTGTGGAGAGGTGGCTGTTAGTTAAGATTCGACTGTAGTTGGTTATGCCACGAAGATAACATTGTTAAAACAGAATTTTTTTCCTTATACTTACAGTTATGCTAGTGTGACTAATTGTAAGCAATACTGTCTGGGTATCTTTGTACTGTTTTATCCCTAACACTAATTTCTCTTTCTTTCTTTCATGTGTTTTTCTGGTTTTGAAACATCTGCAGCCATTTCATACGTAAGTACTTAAGTTAAAACGAAATAAGTCGTGTCAGTATCATGAGATCTACTACACTACTTCAGCCAGTGTTAGATTATACCCTTTCTACCTTTACAGAGTAAAGCTGCGTATTAAAACGGACTGCCAGCAGTTTGACATGAAAGAGGACGTCATTGCGGAAAATCACAAACAAGCCGATAACATTGGCCTGGAACCTGTAGGCAGTCCTTCAAATGAAATTAATTCACCACATCTCTCTCCCGAGCAAGCTAATCAAACTAAGGTATTGCTGATTATTTTATGTCGATCAGAAGTGTTTTGAACAGGCTTACTCCAGTTATTATGAAACGTCTTGTTTATTCATCTATATCCAGGTCAACTAGGATGAGAGACTGCTGAGACTGATAGTAACAAATGAAGTAGGCATACGCGTGTGTGCGAGTTTCTCTGGTATATGACTGACTGTAAAATTAATTTTGATTTGCAGAACATTGATTGCTATAACCAGCTTTTGTTTTATGTTTGTCGGCAAAGCCAGTCGACAGCCTTGATATCTGAAATGATCATGATAGTCGCATCATATCTCACTTATGAGCTCTAAACATTGGTAATACTAGTGGCTTCATGTTCGTTTAGCTTTATACGAGAATGATCCTTTTATTTTCCTTTTTAGTCACCAGTTGAGAATGACCAGGAAAAAGGAGGTATTACAGAAAAGAAGGGAGGTAATAGCACTACTTATTGTACTTTGATCTCGTTCACTGTCGTGGTGGTTAGATTTTTTTTATTTTGTGCGATAAAGCTCTAAGAGAAGGGTATAGGAGGGGGAAGCCTTCCTCCCCTCCTCCCCCTGAATCGAGACTTTCTAAAAAATAAGAGGCGATTTTTTATCCTTGTTTTAGAAATGGAAGATATGGATTGCGACCAAGTGCATGCAGGTATAACATGTTGCATGCTTCTTCTTATCCGCTTTTGCTTAGTTGTTTATTATTTTTTGTATGACGTTTATGATTGACAGTTAAAATTCGTAGCGTCGATCATTGTTTAAACAGTTTAACATATTCTTTTCATCAAACAAACCCAACAGATCAGCCAGCAGAGGATATCGAGCAGGAAAACCGAGTCAAGTGCCCCTGCGGAGATGATGAGGTATGACAGACGTTTAAAGACTACTTCTTTCTTGGCCTTGCACAATATATTTTTTCAATTGACAAGTCTCTGTGACCGCGTATATCAGAGGGAGAACAAATGTTTTTCTTTTATGACTGTGTAATGCTGCGGCAAAGTCCTCCGACGATAATACATTTCAGAGAGCCTTGGGACAGGCGCCTTTTCATGGTTGGCAATCAATAATATCCTTCCCCTGCCTCCTCACTCACTCGACTGGTAAAAAACCTTGCACTGGTAAGGTTTTGGGTTAATATGGTACGGTTTTATGCTTCGGCTCCAACTCTGATAACTTGATTAAGGTAGAACTTTTCCAACTTAGGATGAAGGCTTGATGATACTCTGTGGAGTTTGTGCTACCTGGCAGCACGCTGTGTGTTTCGATGTCTTAAAGCAGGAAGAGGCGCCACAATTTCACATTTGTGTTGATTGTGCGAAGGTAAGACTCTCTACGAAGGTTGAACGTTGTTGCCTTTTGTTTAGCAAGTATCTTCAACGTTTAACATAGTCTATCTTTTTGCCTTTGTTTAGGGTGAATACAGTGGTAAATGTACGGATCTTTCTTTGGCGAACCTTAACAATATTGCCCTACAGGTGAAAAAATATATATATATTTTTATATATATTAAACTTGTAATTAGTTCTCTTTTTGTCTCTTTAACCAGTGTAAAGTACCATTATTCTTATCTACTGTCGGCCATAAGGGTAGTGCACGTGTTCAATAATCATCCAGTGCCGGACTGTTCTTTCACTTTTAAATTAAAATGTGCTGTAGTAACTATGACTAAATGCGCTTTGCCAACGGATACAGGGGTCTGCCAGTGGCTTGTACTGACAACTCTTCGCAATTTCTCTAGCACGAGTAGGTGGTTGAGTGTGCTACCAAATGGAGTATAAGCGGCATACGAGTGAAAAAGACTAGCAGTGCACCTTTATTTTATATTTCTGGTCCAACATTTAGTTTTAACCGTTGTATATTTATGTTTATGTTTTTTAAATGAACCGGTTGTATCAAATGTTAGGCTACTTGTCTGTGGAGAAGAACCTTACTTGCCTGTAGAGAGTTGAACAGGATACTGCCCACTACTTTGGCACGCTCCCTCAGTGAGTAAATACTCAGTTATTACAACTATTCTAGTTTAATTGGATTAAACAAACTTTTTAATCACTGTAAAAATTGATACTCATTCACTGATGACGCTTTTAGATATAGAAATGAGCACCGCACAAGGTCTGGTTAAACGCTTGGAGAAAGAAGGATATATAAGAAGCACTCTAAAAGGAAAGAGGTAACTATCATTACTTCAGAGTGTGTCATTCATGTTCTGGCCTGTTACAGGGAAGTAATCCCTTGACATCCCTGCGGGCCTGTAAAGTATACGTGGGACCCCGCGTCTTCGGTGATGTGAAAGCCCCGATGAAACGCGCCCTAACAAAAGCACGAGAGCATATAAGCTGCGTCTTTTAACAGTATAATATTTTCAATTGATTAGTCGAAGTTTGTTCGCTTTTCAGGCTTGGAAAAGTTGTCAACAAAAAGAAACTGCAGTCAGAGGGCTTCCAGAAGTACTTCAGAAAAAGAAGTGCAGAACCAGAATCTGCTAAGCCTTCACAAGCGGCTGTTCAACAAGAAAAAAAAGCAGTGGATGTGGTATGTACAACTAACTAGAGTAGTCTCATTAAACATGTCATAATCTTTCTCAATGGTTCATGTTATTTTAAACGGTCTGATTACAACAACGTCGTTTCTGTTTAATGACAGGTGGAGAACATAACTCAGCAGTGTGCCAAGATGGATGTATCCGGAAAAAAGCAGTTGTCCAAGAAGGTGATTCGTCTATAAGCTTCTCCTCCGTCTTTTTTCTCTCTTTTTCCGAGAGTAATAGACTGTGCGGCAGGCGTAGAAAGGGGTAGGGGAGAAGGAGAAAGCGGCGGGGGATTTAACTCTTTCCCCTTACCTACCCCTCCCCTTTTTACGCCTGCCACGCAGGTTAGGAGAGTGACTAGCAACGGACTTGCCATGCCATTGGTTCTTGACGGTAGGCTTCTTTAGAGTCTTATCCAAAAAAGGAAAGGATAAAACAAGATGGTTGTCTTTATCTGTTTTTAGCAATGTAAGCGCTGATTCTAAGATCGAAAGGAACGAAACATTTCGAACAATTTGAAACTTGTACATGGAACATTATAGGTAAAATCCAGACTTGCATGTAGGCAAACAACGTGATGTAACTGGAAAACAAAAAACTATATATTTAAAAAAATCAGCCTGGCTGATTTTCATTTTTTAATTTATTTATGTTTTAATTTAGTTAGCGAAAAAGCAAGGAGAGCCAAGAAGTGTCAAGAGAGCTATATCATTGAAAGATGAGGTCAGTATGATTTTCTAACAAACAAGAGAAGAAACTTGATTCAAATAGAAGCATATTTATGAGCAACAAATGTTTTTCCTTTCCACGTCTTTCAGGCAACAGAGTTTGAAATTTCTGACAGTCAGGAACAGGGTTTTGACGACCTTCCATTATCCAAAAGAAGAAAAGCAAGCATTGCAAGGAGTCCAATTCTAGTTTGACGCAATCATTACCAATATTTATTCAAATGATTTTCAAAGCAAGAAACCTTAGACTTAAGAGCATCCGGCCTTAAATTTTACCCATATTTGCGAGCAACTCTTTAAAGCTAAGTTTCAAGCTATTTTTCCTGACCGATTTCAGCAATTATTGCGAGGGACGATTAACGTTTTTACAATTAAGAATATCAAGAAATTTAAATAGCAACTTTTGAAATTTAGGTAGCCGCTCTTGGATTTTTGGCAATCATTTAGCAACTTTTTGGCATTCCAGTGAGCATGCAACCTTCAAGCATTTAACGAGCACAATCGGGACAGAAGGTATTTAGAGTACAAAGATACTTGTTTCATGAAAACGACGAACAAGTAATAAGTGGTCCTTATCGTGATCACATGATCAAACTTGGCAACATTCAGTGATATGATTCAGGGGTGATATCAGTAGGGCGGTGGTCTCAACTGATTCATAGGCTCTCTTTAACACCCCGCCCCTTCTTCCCAGTTTTGCCGCAATTTTCTGATCCGACCTTTCTTTTTTCGTTCCTAACTCATATGCCTTTTAGAGGCGAAACGTTTGCTTTTAATAATAAAAAATTAATGGCTAGTCAATTCTACCACAGCTTTTATTGAGCTTTTTGTCTACATCTACTAACAATACTGAAAATTGCCTCCGCCCTTCTGTGTCCAATGATCACAGTCGATCGGGCTCATTTCCTTATTGTGTCCTCTCAGGTCAACCACGATTCTAGATATTGAGAACGAAAAAAAAAATTACTGTCATCATCATTATGTGTAGATTTATAGTTTATTGATAACAATTTTGACCTACAAATTAGTTGCTAAATCACTCTGGATAGCAAATAACACAAAACAACTCTTTCTCTCGTCTTCCAGTTCATTTTAGGGTTCTAAAGCTTTACTGTAGAAAAGGTTTCCTCTATGGCTCATTCTAAGGTAGTTTTCTGTTTTCGCGATTTGATATCATCGACCTAAATAGACCTCAGTATAAGTGCGAGTACAATGTCCTCTAAGATGAGCGAGTTTATCACTGTTATATCAACATACATGTACCTTTCGTCCCACGTTTTTTGCGAACGTGCCAGTGCCTACAACGTTTCCTGGTGGGGAATAGCGTGCCACTATGTAGGTTTCCCGTCCTCTTTTCTGAATAGCACATCCCAATTTAGTGGTACCTTTCCAAACCACCTGCCAATAAAAACGTTTAAAACTCAGCACGAGTACAGTTTATGTGAGATCGTAATCGAGTGCTTTGTTTCATGCTTGTAGTTTAGATGAAATTGTTCTGAATTTCATTTTATTTACGGTGTCTTATATCTTTGCCGTAATATAAAGCTGTATGTTTGGTCTTGAAACAACTCAAGGTTTTTTGAAAGTTATGCATTAACATTCATCAGCTTTTGACTTCAAATTTAGTATCATGAATTACATAACTGGCTTAATGCTTGAGGGGTGAGGATTTGCCGAATCCGTTGCATTTTTTAAATAACATATATATTGCTCGCATTTCAGATTGAACTGATAATTTTAGCGCTTTTACGGCTATACATGCGGCGAATTACGCATACATCCATGCAGTTATTTATAATGCACTTAACCAACCAGACATCCTTCATCTATATTCACATTAGTGTTAGCATAAATTGTCGGTAGTTATTTTGCAAGCTGCTTCCAATAGAATATGGTCATTAATGAATTTTGAATTGAGCGAGCAATACACAAGCTTACCTGCGTAAAATGTCCGGTGGCCATACTAAATCCAGGATTGTTGTAATTGTAGAGTTTTTCTTCATTGTACCTTAATTAAGTGGAGAACAGAAAACCTGGTTATGTATTATTTCAGATGTACGTATCCCGACATTCCTGAGATTTCAACTGCGACCCTCTGATCACTTTTCAGGCTGAACATGTTTCTTCACTTTGATCTAAGATGTTAAAGGAGTTACGTCACATTTTGTGCATCTTGAAAAGTTTGGCCTAAGTTTTTCAACTTTGTTGTTTCTAATCCGTGTCAGTCTCCTCCATCCTTAACCTTCCTTGCTCCTTTATGGTTTATTATCATTTCTTTGGTGTTTTTCTATCATCGTATACTACTACTTTCAAGTTTTGTTCAAGTGAAAGCGTGGCCAAAATAACTCAAAATACCATGACTGGGCTCCGTTAATGTTTTTAAGTGTTTCCAAGTGACGGGTTATAATGGGTTATAAGTAGTTTAATCGTAGTTTTTGTAACCAGTTACAGAACAAAAAAAACACATTGTAAAAGCAAAGTAAATACATAGTTACTTTTGACGAGCCAAACGAATATTTCGGCTCCATGTTAGCGAATCATATGGGGCTATGTTCATACTTGGTGTCCGAGCACGGTGCCTGAGTACGATTCTCGCTGAGCGCTAATGTGAACACACCTTTTTCCAAGTTCTCACACCAGAACAAGGGGAAAATTTCCGTGCCTGGGTGCAAGGTCTCGACCTTGTACTCGGGCACTTGATGGTACTTTGATACTTGGAGTATTCGTACCAAGTGTCATACTATTTTGTACCAATGCTCGGGTACTAAGTGTGAACACAGCCTAAGATTAGTTAGATTATGCAAGGCACTTACCAAGCGTCCACTGCTTCTTTGTAAGACGCGTCTCCACCGGATTTGAAAAGGTTTTCTCCTTCACCAGTGTTCTTTGCATGTTCAAATCTGTTTGTGGCCGCCAGGTATTTGGCCCAGGCCTTAGCATGTTGAGCCAAGGTGGCATCCCAGACCAGCGCTCGCGCCCCATGCTGAGCACGCCAGTAATTGTGGACTTTTAAGCACGCGTTTTCCACTTCTTTTTAGAAATAAATACATATCATAATCAGATTTCGCAATTAAATGTTAAGGATTAGCTAATAGGAAGGCACAGGAATCAGTCGTAGATGAATGGCGGGAAAAATTAATTCTAGCATTCAATATCTTCAAACTTGAGTTTAGTTGATATAGTCACGTAGGAACTGAAAAACAAAGCCTTTTTGCAACATTAACAAATAGTGTGATACATCTATCAAGCAACGGACTCTGCTACTTTCTCTCTGCCCGGTTGGGGTTTGCTTTTTTCGGGGGGAGGGGGGGAGGGATTGCGTGACTTAGTTTCGGATGGGTGTTTGCCGCTGGGACTCTGAAAACTTTACCCTTTAGGGACTTGTCAGAAATTAGCAGGGGGGAGGGGGTGGAAATTTTAAATTTGGGTTCGGAAATGAGGTCACCCATCCCTGTAATGGGAGTGAAATTTGCTAACCCTCCTCTTGAGCTTGGCCTAAAATATCATGACTCTCCCCCCGACTTGTATAAATGATAAAATCAAGTTCTTGCAATACACTAGGGTGAGTCAGTATTATGAAAACTCAAATCATAGTCTAATCTGTTCTTTGTAATGCTGACAGCTGATCACTCGACTCTCCTACTTCTCCCAGGTTTTTTTTTTTTTTACCGAATAAAGAACTTCCTTTTTCTTCTGAACCTCTGCATGATCACGGGCATATATTTGCACGACCCTCGCCCTTTTAACGGCCCATTTTTTATGCCCCTCCCTTTCCTGAGTCTCAAAACGTTGTGACCCTCCCTCTGTTTCCACCCCTTCGCCCCCTACTAATTTCTGACAAGTCCCTTACCAGGCCTTGTTGAGCAACAATTTTCTACCCCTACTCTAGACTAGAAACCAAAAATATACTTCTTATCCTAGAATTGCTATTTTCTAGAAATGCTGTCACTAACACAGTCAGTTGCTTTTGAATTTGTAATGATTGTATTTTCATCAAGGTTCAGTTTCATTTTCAAGTTCGAGTAACTAGTGGACAAAAACTTAGTACCAAGATTATTTACAGTGTATTACAAACTTCTTTTGAACTGTTTTAAATATCTTCTCAAAAGAAATCATTTCTAACAACACCAAAAGTCGAAAACAAATGTTGAAGTTCAGGCAAATATTTATATCTTAAACTTTAAGAAAATGTAAAAAGGACTGCAATATACCTAAAGTTATTCTGGTACAAGGTTTAATTTTTGTCCACTAAAAGTTGAAATTGCTCGATTTCCTATCGGATTTCGTCCTTAATTTCTCAATACCCTACTGTAGATTAGGCATCTCCAATTTCTCTACCCTGCCCTAGACCAAACCTGCTGTAGAACAATACCCAAGTTATCAGTATCGTATTGAAAGTTTTGTTTCAACTCACGTCCTTGGTGGGATGTAGAAGTAGTCCCCTTGGCTGCTGAAACACAAATCAGGTGTAAATTTTAATCGATAATAATCGATTGATTGATTTATCGCTCACCCCAAATTATAGGGAAAATATCGTAAGGAGACCTGGGATTATCGATTGACTATAACGTTTAGTTGTAAAAGACAACGGACCTTTTCAGGTTTGTGACTCGAAACATTCATTTAGAAACTTACTGCTCAGGCGCGGGTCAATTTTTTAACAGAGGTAAAGCGGTAATTTACTGTAGGTCACTATTTAAATATTCACTGTTGTACATGTATATCATATATTATACTTACATCGGCAGTTATTACAGGTGGCGTAGCAGTGGTCTTTCATGTACGCATAGTATTGGCTCCTTCGATGACAGTAGCCTCTATTCTTCCAATACTGACAATTTCCACGGTTTTGTTTGTCTGCGCGACACCCTGCAAATTGGATGTATTTAAATTTTTTCAGTGTAAGAGAAAATTCTGACTTGTACAGATTCCTGGGTACCTTTTTAGTATATTCTGTACCCACAAAGTTTGTGTTTTTTAAAATGGGTTTGTATAACACCGGCCACACTGTGGTTTTAAAAATCATAACTACATCTACCATTGTATTATGGTTTTTATAACTGGAATATCTTAGAAATTAATACTGAAAAAGAGTGATGTTTTAGAAATTGAATTCAAAATCGTCATCAAATAATTTTTCAACGGTCAAGTTGAAAGCTTCCTTAGGTAACTATCAGCCTCAATAGCTAGTACAGTGTCATTGGCCTGCAGCTGCCAAGTGTAGTTCTGAAAAGAGCTGTTGTTGGTCACTTTTTTAGAACTACTCTCACCCGGACGATCTCGCTATACGAACTACTGATACCCATGGCCTCAAACCATTTACCATGTTATATTGTGCTGTTATATCAACTTAAAGTTAATAAAGGTAAATTCACCGCAGAATCAAACTTGAATTGCCGGATTAGGTGTCGAATGTTAGCCCGCTCACGACCAGCAACTAGAGCGTGTAATTCTCAAACTGATTAGTAATTCATTGCGCGTTATAATTAAACAAAGAAAATTGTGGTCGTAAGAGTGTATGGATTATGATCTTAGTAGATTTTCAAGTCTTTATGTCTCCGTTTTCTCCAAACACCTCGAGACTGGTCAAAAGTACTCCGGCCGCTGAGCTAGTGCCATAGTGTCAACTTTCTTGTTGGTGTCTGGAAATGTAATAAAATACGGTCTCTCGTGGTTGATATGTTAGTTACGGACTCACCTTGATTGGCTGCAGTGGATTGTGCTGAAACACAAATCAACTGTATTTTAGCTGATTAAATTTTAAAGGAGCTCTGCGACGAAATTCAGCCAAATTAGGAAATTACAAAATACCCGTTAACTTAAGAGAAACAAAAATAACCGCTTAAAACTTTAAAGGAAGGTTAAAATAACATAACAGAAACAACAGATGCCAGGGATGGGCAAGACTGAAGAAGATTGAAAGGGATTGAAATTAGGGTTTTTGAACACTGTTCAACCTAACAGTTTTTCAAAGTTGATCCCTGCTGCTTGCAACTTCAAAAATAATGCTCAGGAGACATAATTGTTTGTCTCGGATCTCTGATTTTGTCATTTACCTGTAATTTCTTTGCTTACTTTAAGTTCCATACCGATTGTGGTCGAGTAATTGGCAAAATTAAACAAAATGAACTGGACTGCCGTGACGCAGCCCCTTTAAGAACACTCAACTTCTGATAAGGTGCGAATCACCTTTCACACAATGCAACCGGGATCAAAACGTTGAATTTCAACAGAAGTATCTAAGCTAGCCTGGTTCAGTCTCTCAGTTGTTTATACTTTTAACATCGTACACATTGGAAGACAGAGTACCGCGAATTTTTGTAAGTCCGTCACGCACTGAGCACAATTTATCGAGGGAAATATAATATTGGAAACCTGGGAATATCAATTAACTGTAACGTAGCTGCAAAAGAAAGCAGACGTTGTTTGTGAATTGAAACAGTTGAGACTTATTACTACCTGAAGGTACGAACCAATGGCAAAGTACTGGATTATCGCGGTATGCTAAAAACTGCATGATTTAAATATTCACTGTTGTATATCGTGTATTTTACTTACAGTTGCAGTTAGTACAGGTGGCGTAGCAGTGGTCTTGCATATACCCATAGTATCGGCTCCTTCGATCACAGTAACCGCTATTCTTCCAGTACTGACAATTTCTACGATCTTGTTTGTCTGCGCGACACCCTGCAAATTGGATATATTTAAATTTGTTCAATGTCAGAGAAAATTCTGATTTGTACAGATTCCCGGCCACCTTTTTAGTGTTCTGTAAATATAATTACACCCACAAAGTTTGTGTTTTTTAAAAGGTTTGAATAACGCCGGCCACATTGTGGTTTTAAAAATCATATCTACAACTGCACTTGTATTATAGCTTTTATAACTGGAATATTTTAGAAACTGAAATAAAAGAGTGATGTTTAAGAAATTGAATTCAAAATCGTCATCAAAGAATTTTTCAACGGTCAAGTTGAAAGCTTGCTTAGCTAACTATCAGCCTGAATAGCTAGTACAGTGTCATTCACGGCCTGCAGCTGCCAATTGTAGTTCTGAAAAAGAGCTGTTGTTGGTAACTTTTTTAGAACTACTCTCACCCGAGCGATCTCACTATACGAACTACTGATACCCATGGCCTCAAACTATTTACTATGTTATATGCTGCTGTTATATCAACTTAAAGTTGATAAAGGTAAATTCACCGCAGAATCAAACTTGAATTGCCGGATTAGGTGTCGAATGTTAGCCTACTCATGACCAGCAACTAGAGCGTGTAATTCTCTAACTGATTAGTCATTCATTGCGTTTAACAAAGAAAACCGTGATCGTGGGAGTGTTTCGATTATGATCTTAGTAGATTTTCACGTCTTTATTTCTCCGTTTTCTCCTTTCGATCGTTTGAGAATATACTCCAAACACCTACGACATTTACAAACACGTCAAGACTGGTCAAAAGTACTTCGCTGAGTGCCATGGTGTCAACTCTTTTCTCGGTGTTTGGAAGTGTAGTATGATACGGTCTCTCGTGGTTGATTCATTAGTTACGAACTCACCTTGATTGGCTGTAGTGGATTGCGCTGAAACACAAATAATGAACTCTATTTTAGCTGATTAAATTGTAAGAACACTGAACTGTTGATAAGGTGCAAATCGTCTTTCACACAACTGGGATCATAACGTTGAATGTAAACAGAAGTGTTTAAGCCTGGTTCAATCACTCAATTGTGTATACTTATAACATATTATACATTGGAAGACAGAGTACCGCGATTTTTTTTAAGTCCATCGCCCAGCACAATTTATTGGGAGAAATATCATAATGGAAACCTGGAAATATCAATTAACTGTAGCGAAGCTGCAAAAGACAGCAGAAGTTGTTTGTGAATCGAAACAGTTAAGGACTTATATATTACTACCTGAGGGTGAAAACCAGTGGCAAAGTACTGGATTATTGCGATATGCTAAAAACCACATGATTTAAATATTCACTGTTGTATATCGTGCATTTTACTTACACTTGCAGTTAGTACAGGTGGCGTAGCAGTGGTCTTGCATATACCCATAGTATTTGCTGCTTCGATGACAGAAACCGCTATTCTTCCAGTACTGACAATTTCCACGATCTTGTTTGTCTGCCCGACACGCTGCAAATTGGATATATTGAAATTTTTTTTAATGTAAGCAATGGGCTAAAAACAGGATGTAACTCATTATCAGAGTATTCACAGTATGTCATGTACTTTACTTACTTGTACTTCTGCAGTTACTACAGGTGGCGTAGCAGTGATCTTGCATATACGCATAGTATCTGCTACTTCGATGACAGTAACCGCTCTTCCTCCAGTATTCACAATTTCCACGATCTTGTTTGTCGGTGCAAGCTACAAATTGAAAATTTTTTAATAAATTTTTCCAATAATGTGAACAAACTGTCAACAGGAAAAAATTTTGGAACTGGGATAACGGTAATTCCTTTTCTGGAAACAACTTTGGTTTAACTCAATGTTGAATGAAAATGTTTAAACAACTCATACATGTATTACATTACAAATAGTGTAATTCCCAAGGAATCTGTAGTCATTACACTGTCCTTGAAATTTTCTTATGAAAAAGGAAAACACCCTGGTACACAGAAATTAACAGTAAAGCCATCTAAACATCCGCAAGATTGGGGTCTTCTTGTTAAGTTTTGTTGTGGAATTTACCTACCAGCTCTTTTTTCCAAATATTTCTCTAAAGAGACATCCGCAGGTTTCTGTTGAGGGACATCCGCAGGTTTCTCTTGAGAGACATCCACAGGTTTCTCTTGAGGGACATCCGCAGGTTTCTCTTGAGAGACATCCGCAGGTTTCTCTTGAGAGACATCCACAGGTTTCTCTTGAGGGACATCCGAAGGTTTCTCTTGAGAGACATCCGCAGGTTTCTCTTGAGGGACATCCGCAGGTTTCTCTTGAGGGACATCCGCAGATATGTCTTGAGGGACATCCACAGGTTTCTCTTGAGAGACATCCACAGGTTTCTCTTGAGGGACATCCGCAGGTTTCCCTTGAGAGACATCCGCATGAGTTGTTGGCTCTGGAATTAAGCCGCTTGGGGCGGCATCACAGCTGACTTGAAATGCAACCAGGAGTAAAACAATAGCGAAGGTGTACATCGTTCTTGGTATATCCCTGATTTGCGAAAAATAAACTTAGAACTTAAGTGATACATGACTGACCACGTTTTACATGAACGCTTCGCTATATAATAACAGCAATATAAAACACTGAAATAGTCAAGCATCGTGCATGTGACCTTTTTAAGCGCACTAGTATGTCAGGTTGTTTTGACATCAATCTACCGGAATGACAAAAACTGATTCAATATTTCAGCATGCACTGTGCTTCCCTTGGAATGGAGACTCGCGTCGGGTACAGTTCAATGCGTACACGAGAAATGCACGACACATAATCAGGACAGGGCAATAAAGATTTTCACTTACAGTCAGTTCCATTTGAAGGACAAAAGTATACCACCGTTAGCTGGAGAAGGCGAACAAAAAGACGTTGCTGCAAAGCAGTTCTTTTAATAATAAGTGGCGTGCAGTGTTGCATATCAAAACTTGATGAAAAGACAGCCATTAAAGAAATTTGTGAATTAGTTATATCTCAGTAGCCCTTGAAAATTGTAAAAAAGAATGCTGTATTGTATAAAATATTCTGGTACAAGATTTTTGTCTACTGAAAGCTAAAATTACTCAATTTCCTGATGGATTCCGTCTTAATCCTTTTTTGCAGCCTAAAAGCCCCCGCTTTTCACTACTAGTGGGCTATAACATATAGCCTAGTAGTAGCTCAACCAATCAGAACGCAGCATTGCTAATAGACCACTAGTTGGATTTTACTAAATACCTATATACGCACTTCAGAAAAGCAACTTGGAATGGCAAAAAGGTTTTCAAAAGTGTACATCAAGTAAGCAGGTAGTTATTTACGGCTTGGAAGTCGGTTTATTTCTTCGCTTCAATCGACAATCCCATTCAGTGGACAACAGACGGATACGTGTACACCAGGAATCACAACACAAAATCAGAGTACGGCAATGACGAGTGCTCGTGAATTTTTACTTTTTTAAAAAAACGCAGAAAAATCTATATATTCGCTGGGTAAGATGTGCGTCTTGGTTGTTCTTTAAAAGTTCGACCGCGTAGCACTTGTTGTTGAAAAGAAGTTCCTGAAAGGTCTGCACCATTCATACGTAGCTAGGACCAGTCAAACAAGTGAAAATAAAACAGTAACTGGGATTTGGAATTGGGCTTGATTATATAGACAGAAAAATGAGCACTTTGACCCTACAAGCATTCTGTTTGCTAACTTATTAAATAAGACCCAACAGAAGTGACTTACCTTTTGAAAGCGTTAACCAGATATATATCCGTGGTAGGTGTTCGTAAACTTCACCACACCTTGAATCGGCTTGTGTAGTTTGGATTAATTGCTGTTCTCCACGCTGGTATTTATGTATTACAAAATCACTGAACCAGTTCATACAATGGACTATTTTCTATAACCCCTACCTGTGTTATTACGCCAACGTAGGCATTGATTTAAAAGGACCTCTGTCCCCAACTCTAATGATTTTTGGCTTTGCATCGCTTTTGGTTTTCTTTTCTTAGTTTGCTATTCCCCAAGTTTTGCAAAAATACTGGGCCAGAGAAGAACAATCCAGCTATTTTCACAAATTTTTAGTGAACAGTTCTGATGGCATAGTTCGTTCTGGATTTCGCTAAGGTGCGAAGATCAAGCTCCCTTACCGAGGGTGTAGGCGGAAGATGACGGGCGTTTTAGGATAACATAAACGCTAGTACAGAGGAGTGTGCTCCTGAGTATGATTATTTTTGGCTTCGCTTCGCTTTTGGTTTTCTCTTCTTGGCTTGCTATTCCCCACGTTGTACTAATATATTAGGCCATTGGAGAATCATCCAGCTAATTTCTAAACCTTTGAGTGAACAGTTCCCGATTGATCACGTGTAGTTTTGTATAGGTCCGAAAAACAAATGCAGCTATTTTCAGAAAATGTTTTGGTTAACGCCAGATTATTATGTCGGATATTTTATAGAAAATTTTGCCGCCAATTCAAATTGAGAAAATTCCTTTCGTAACTCTGGTAAACAGAAATCTTTAGAACTTCACTCAAACTAGCAGGGTGACTGTTTGAAATTACCGACTGTTTTTCTATTTTGCCACGCTTGACGAAAGTGAAATTCTGGTGTAATGAGCGTGTTAGCTGTCAATTTTAGCGTGCAGAATGGACTACAGAGACAGAGGGTGTGGTGACCACTTTCCCATTGCTCTGAGAACGAAACTCTAAGAGAGTAGTACAACTCGATTATGAAAGCCCGCTTAAGTGAAATAAATCCCTTGTTGCCTTTAAATTTCATCGAGTTGGCTGTTTTCCCGAGTGACGTTGAATTTCTGGTACGGAAATTTGCCATACTGAAATATCTTTTACGGTGCAAAGAATTTAACGGACTGAGAATGGTTAATAATCTAGCACAGCACTAAAAGTGGTCTTTTGTTGCAAATGACGAGCTGACTTTTTATTGTTGTTCAAATGATAATCATAGAAGTCTAGATAAATAAACGAGAATCTTTTAAGTCATGCCTCACAGATACGAAATAATCATACAATGAGAGTAAATAGACTTAAAAAGCCGCGACTTGTTTAATTGGGCTTCACTACAGACTATAAAAATCATGAAATAATGGCCCTTTTCGTTTGATTCTCTTCATTCAACGATTTTAATGTCAGTAAGATGCTGAAGAAATAAAATCTTCCAGCTCGGACGTTTTGCATTGTTTCAGGCCGTCAGCAGTCAGGCATATTAGCCGCGTATGAGCCCATATATTTTCAACTACAGTGACAATGGTATGATCATTCTAACGTGACGGCGGTAAGCTGGGACCCTCAAAAGCGAGTTCTCTTACTTAAGACTGTGGGCGGAAGATGACGAACAAGTCATGCTAACATAACAAACTTCGGAAGAGTGTGTTTTCAAGTATGATGATTTTCGGCATTGTATCACTTTAGTTTTTTTTTTCCTGACTTGTCTTTCCCTATCTTCTGTTGACTTATTGTACCACTGGAGAACTATCTAGCTTATCTCTCAAACTTTTCGAGAGCAACTCTTCACGGTATAATTCATTCTGAATTTCGCAGTAGCCCGAAGGATAAAAGGCTAATTTCAGAAATTGTTGTGGCTAACGCCAGAATATCTCCCATCAAGAGATTATTTATATATTTATCCCACGCTTTTTGTCGTTTCTAAGGTGGCGAATTACCTTGCAATATAAATAGTATCACCTAGTTAGAACAAAGAATGACTAACAGATTCCAAAGTTTCCCGCCCAGCTTAGTGATTTTGATTTCTTGCAACTGCAACTGATATTACTATCATCCCGAAGAATATAGGAGATGGATCGGGCGCTGAAAATTCTTAAGTCCAACTGAATATGACAGAATGATCCAAAAAGTTTTTAAAGTTCACTCACTGAAAAAAGAATGTGACAAGACAATTCCAAAGACCTCGCTATATCCCCAGTACACTTCCTTCCTCAATATCCAGTGAACTTCTTCAGTTCACTGCAATATCGTATATGGGGGATAGAAAGCCAAGTCTAGTCTTCAGTGAACGGCTTTAATTTTGTGTGGCAAAATCATTTAAAGCAAGAAGTCTGAGCGGCATATTGACTGGGATATAGATTAGATATTAGACCTGTTTCTACTGTCAGCAGGGTGGACAACTTGAAACGTTGGCTTCAATTAGAATTAAATTAAAAGCAATTATTAACATCTCCATCCCCTGTGTCGACTGTGGATTGTACATTTTGTCTTTTTAGCGGTGGTTGTGAATCAAGTTTTAGTATACAATTATTCCTTTTGTAGTCTCGTAACCAAAACGATGTCATACGATGTGACTCATTGTAACAGGGCTTAGAACAACCTCTGATTTTACACTCCGTTTTCCACGAAGGAGTTTATAGCCTACACCCAAGTTATATTGAATTCACTTTGTCCACTATGGCAAAATGAAGAAATACTAGATGGAAGATGGCTTCTCCACCTGTTCTCAAGAGTTACGGAAGGAAAGTTCCCGAAAGCGACCGTAATGCTTAAGTGATCACATTGTGGACACACATTTGTCATGTATAGGAACAAGAGGATATAATCTCTTGATGTCCTTCGGGCTACTGCGAAATCCAGAATGAATTATGCCTTCAAGAGCTGCTCATAAAAAGTTTGAATAATTAGCCGGAGGGCGCTCCTGTGAATAAGTCAACAGAAGATGAGAAAAGGCAAGCCTGGAAAAGAAAACTAAAGTGATGCAATGCCGAAAATCATCACACTTGAAAACATACTCTTCCTAAGTGTGCTATGTTAGCATGACTTGTTCGTCATCTTCCGCCCACAGCCTTAAGTAAGAGAACTCGCTTTTGAGGGTCCCAGCTTGCTGCCGTCACGTTAGAATGATCATACTATTGTCACTGTAGTTGCAAAGTATGGGCTCATACGCTGCTGATATGCATGATTGCTGACGGCCCTAGACAATGCAAAACGTCCGAGCTGGAAGATTTTATTTCTTCAGCATTTTACTGACATTAAAAATTTTGAATAAAGAGAATCAAACGAATAGAATCATATTTCATGATTTGTAGGGTCTGCCAATTAAATGAGTCGCGGCTTCATAAGTTTACTTGTTCCACTTATTTTTATTGTATGATTATTTCATATCTTTTCAGCCATGACTTAAACGATTCTCCTTCGTTCGATATTATTAATGGACATCATTCAGAAGAATCACGATCTTTTGGAAGTGACCCACATTCATACCAGTGTATAATTATTCATGTTGTCATAATGGCTTGTGTTTTATTAGTGGGTGCTAAAGTGATGCCAGGGCTCCTACTGGAATAGTTAAGTCCAGAGGTGATTTTACTAATAGTCATAGTATCATAATGATGATTAAGATTATGATGTTTCAGGAGTATGCTGCCACCTGATCGAGTTAACTTTGGTGGTCTTTGTTTCGCGTAGAGCGTGTTCTTGTCCCGTGCGAGTAGGGGCTTCTCTCTTACCTCTGTTGTTCCTTTCATAGCTCATAGAGGTAGGTGTACACTCGTATACACCCATTTGTTAGGCTCTTGTTCCGATTCATGGTTCAAAGAACGAGGTATATAAATGTGGACGTTCCTGTTTTGCAGCGCTTTGTCTCGTTTCGTGGATTAGCTTTATTATAACCTTGTCAACCTCGATCTTATTTTAATTAATAGATAAAACAAGAGCCTTTTTTCCCTCAATATAGCAATGGCTGCAACTTCGATTTGATCGGAAATGTTCGTAGTTGCGATGCCCGTCATCAATGATGCTAATTATTGAGGAGGATTTTCTCTGCAAATGTTCTCTGGTGAATGTTTCGTTTCCAAATTTTTGCGGTTTGTACTCGCGGAGAACCGGTTGCAGTGGCCTTCTCTAACAGTCGGCCTTGGTTCACGTGCTGTGTGATCATCTCTTTGTAACATGTAACAACTGTCCCTGATTCGGTCCTAGCCTGACATTTGTCTTGTCTCAATAGTTGTGCAAATTAATAGACTGCAAACAAACAAATGTAAGTAAAGGAAACAACAGGGCAAAGCCCCCATTCGCCAAAAACTCCTACTGCACTGTATCGGAAAGGTTTGATTCGGTCCTAGCCGACATTTGTCTTGTCTTATGCAAATCAATGTAAGTAAAGGAAACAACAGGGCAAAGCCTACCCTTCTTCGCCAAAAATCATGGCTTTTGTTGGAAAGCCGCATTGAACGTGGGCTCTGATTGCGAAAATTGACAAACGGCACGTGCAAAGGATAATGGAAACCAAAGCAAAAGTAGCTAAAGTTGAGGTAATGTACCTGTTTTCCGTGTTATCATCCGTATCTGCAAAATAGCTAATGCCTATTGTTGCCTTAGCAGTCATCTAACGGAATGGAAGTCGATTCTTCAACGATCAACCATGTAGAAGGAAACAGCGAGGAGCAAAGTCTGAAACACTCGTCTTCCAAAAAGCCTGATTCTCGACCGACTGCTTCAGAAATGACCAGTGCCGATTATTACTTCGATTCTTACGCTCATTTCGGTACGTAGCACCTGTTTAGATCTTATTTTTTAGTCGTTTTAACGATCAAGTACTCACTGCGATTGTTCTGTTTGTATCTTGACTTCAAATTATCCACGGAAATTCTGCATCCATCGTCTTTCATTAGGCATTCACGAGGTGAGTAGAATGCAAAAATGTTGTGTCAAACCATTAACAAATATCAGTGAATGTTGATTGTGTGTTTTTATCGTCTCAACCGCCGTGATACTCAAAGTCGTTTTGCCCATGTTTGTCGTTGTGGATACAAATGCTACCGGTCTGTAGCAGCTGCGAATTTGTGAATGCTGAAAATTGATCGAAGCTGTTTCGTCTAATTGCTTGCTAACTTGAACAGATATATGCCTAGAAGATAGGTTTTTTGTCAGCCTTACAGTGGCTATCCCGGGTGGAGGGGGGGAGGGGAGTCGATCACGGATAACCCCTGGGCATTCCACAATAATATTACGTTTGCAAATCCCCCCCACAAAGACCTGTAGAATGTAAAATGATTTTAAAACGTGTGAACTGGTTTGGCTTTGTCAGCCAATGTCTTATAAATGTACGTGGTTTTATGTTTGACAGGCAATTTTTTTTATCAATATTTTCTGATAAAATTGATATCCAGTAAATTCTTGGTTTGCAACCACGTGACAAGGCGGCCATGTTGGGGGTCAAAACAAAAGAATATTTCCTCGAAAAATTTACATGAAAATAGAGTTTAGTTCCCAGAGGAGAGAAATGCTTTTGTTCTTGACCACCAACATGGCCACCGTGACGTCACGTGCAAACCAGCAATAGTAACACAAAATCAAAGGCAGTGTAATTCTTTTTGTAACGACAAAGTGGCAGGTGTTCCGGTAGTATGGTAAGCAACTTTGTACCTTCTTTGACCCTGTCTCAAACTTCTCCTTGGCAAGGAATTCCTGGCATCTTGTAGCCTGCTTAGCTAGAGTTTCCATGTGGTTTCAGAGCAAAGAATGAGGAACGAGAGTAAAAGATCATGCAAAAAACGGTGCGAGTAAAAGTAGCGGGGAGGGGGTAGGGAGGAAAGGTAAGGAAACGCTTGCAGACAAACCTCAGGATTTTGAAAACTGCCCACTTGACCTGTCATGCCTGAGTGCGTCCACTGACATTTGATGCTGTCATCAGCTGTCATAAATTGACCAATGAAATGTTTGGCCCTCCGTGGGAGAAGAAGTGAACTTTTGAGGATGCATGTGAACCCAAAATAAAGTTTCTTTATATTTGGGAAGCAACGCGTGGATGGCGGGAATGGAGAAGTCTCAATCAATCCAAACGATCAATGCAGGCTTTGTAATTGCAGCTTCAAGGGTAAATTTATCTTTTTAATCCGTCTCAAAGGAAGGTCCGCCAGGGTTATGTTTTGAAGTTTTAGCTCAAAACCTCCAGGAAGATTTTAGGTGGTAAAATGTGACAAACAGGTCAAAGCTCAGCTTGACAAAATGGCTTATCATTCTTGCCACGGTACAGAACGACTAGAGTTGCTCTTGTAAAAGCAACTAAGAACAAAACCAACCCAGTAACTGATGAAATTTGAGTGGAGAACCAAACCCATGGTCTTGCAAGTTTAATTAGACAAAATATGCCTAGAGTTAATTATACACCCTCTGAAATGAGTATCTCCAGCAATGTGACAGTAGGTTAAATTGCAAAAAGTAGTTGGAACATCCATTCAAAATCATTGCATGCATCATTTTCAAGTGCAAAGTTACGTACATGAATGTAATGAGCTGTGACGTACCCCAACTTAAATGTACGTCAAGAGTACCGGTATTTTTTTTTCACATTTAACAGGAAATGATCAAAGATGAAGTGCGCACAACAACATACCGGAATGCAATGTACTATAACAGACACCTGTTTCGTGATAAGGTTGTTCTTGATGTGGGATGTGGAACAGGGATTTTGTCAATGTTTGCTGCTAAGGCTGGAGCAAAGCATGTATATGCTGTGAGTACTATTGTACTTTGAAGACTATTTTTTTCTCAGTTGCAATGATGAATAATCAATCCTTGAAATACATGTCAAGCTAATTGCAGGCCATTTGATTGAGACATTAGAGATATCTCTATTTTTTCCCCAGTCTACAAAAAATATTAACTGCATGACTCACAGATGAATAGAGCTTGACAGTATTCATGAATTTGCAGACTTATATAAATGTTGCTCTGTACTGTTCATGTAATGTACATAATTTGCAATATACATGGCTCATTTCATAGTTTAATCATATTCTTGTATGTATTTCACTAGCCATATCATTAGCTCTTATACTCATTCATATTGATGTAAAACTTTTATGTTTCCTTAGTTTTATTTATTTTGTACTTAAACTTTGTATATTCTGAATCTTATGCTTTTTGTAATTTTAATTTAGAGAGAGGGCCACAAGTTTACTAGTTTCTGTAACTATTCCATGCTACCCTCTTTAAATAAATTGTATTATTATTATTATTATTATTATTATTATTAATGGCTATACACTACCATAAGTTTATTTTCCTTTCCTGTAAGTGATCTTTCAGTTCGAAATGGAGGTGAAAACAAAAAATTCTGTTAAAACCACAATAAGATTGTTTTATTCCATACAGTACTGAAATCAACTTACAACTTAATCTACCTGCAGCAGTTTGTCCAGGTTTTTTGGTAGTGGCAGTGACTAACAGTAATATTGAATTACAGGTATTACATGTTTCCACTCTGTTTTTGTTTACAGGTTGACTTTTCTTCTATTATTGATTACGCCAAACAAATAATCAAAGACAACAACTTTGAAGGAGGTAAACATTACTGTTTAGACTTTTTCCACACAGTGAGGTTATTTTCGCCATAATATGTTGTAAAATTTTTGCAATTTTTTTTTTACATCTTTCTCACATCCTATGTGTATCAGATGTCCTGTTTCTTATGCATATCAGAATCGTTTGAGATGTTTACACTGTAGTTAAAGTTCAAAGTTGTTTTGTTCATCTCTTCAACCAATAACTCAATCCAAGGAAACAAAATCAGACAAAAAGTAATGCCAAATGCTCTATGAGTGAATTAAAGGACACATAAAAATCCCAGCAACTGTGGGCTGCTAAGAAAAAAAGGCCTGAGTGCCTTGCCTCTTAATTAAATGCATATTAACTTCTGTGATGTCCGAAAGAAACCCTTACTGAATTTGTGGATAAATGTTTTCAAATTAACTTATTTGTATTATTTTATTTGTACTTGTAGTCATCACCCTTATTAAAGGCAAAATTGAAGAAATTGAATTGCCTGTTGAGAAGGTTGATATCATTATTAGTGAATGGATGGGATACTGTCTGTTGTACGAGTCCATGTTGGACACTGTGCTATTTGCCAGGGACAAATGGCTGGTGAGTAGCCATCTACAGCCTGTAATTACCATACTTAGACAACTGCATCTATCTCAGGCAATGACCTCCTTATTAAATCCAAAATAGTTGTAGATTATGGAGTACAAAGTAATAATAATAATAATAATAATAACAATAACAATAATAATGGTGATGATGATGAGATGATGATAATTGCAGGCAACAAGAGGAGCCCACAGTCCTAGGTGTAATCTCCCGGTTGCTATTATGCATGCACAGCACATATAGTCAGCTTTGTTAGTCTCGCTTGTGCAAGCAGCGAGACTCATAATCTGCAAGCGGTTTTATTTTCTTCATATTTAGTGCCCAAAACAATAGTTGTGGTCCCAGGCATTCCTAGTGGCGATTGTGGAAACTGGGAATAAGCATTGTGTGACTGAAGCCATGCATCTTTTGCGACGAATGCTTAGGAGAGGTTAAATTTAGAGCTTTTCCGGAATGGGTCAGTCCACGAATTCTATTGGCTTGAAAGTGTTAATTACTTTGGAATAAGTGAACACTTGAGTGGTCAAAAAAAAAAAAAGAAGAATCTTAATTAGCAAACCTTTGACCATGAGTGATGTAAACTTTCATTGTATGCAAATGAGTCTTGTGATGAGCATGCAGTTTATTTTCAGCAATGATCGAAATGACGCGCCATGTTCTCATCACATTTCTCTCAAATCAAGGAATTTTCATGCAATTATACAGGCAATTGTAGGCTGTGACTGCAGACATATTTCCGGTTGTCGCTAACACGTACTGAATCAATTCAGAAACAAATCATCGAATATGCTGGTATAAAAAGCACCATTGATAAATTAAAGTAGGAAGTGAAAAACCTTTAGCGAGTAAATCGTGTTTCGTGTAGAAGTAATCACCTCATTTCTTTATCTTATATAGTCTCCAAGCAAGCAATTTGCTGATTTTAAGAGCGTTCTTGTTTGTAATCCACAATCTGCTCATGCGCATTTGGATCTTCCATTACTTGTATTTTTGACCATCTACATGTGAACTTTGATACAAAGTATTTTGTCTCTTGCCCTCCTTAACCTTTGGTTGTTACTAGTAATAGTAATAATAATAATGGTAGTGATAATAATACACATATAAAAATGTACAATGTACATGTAGCTCCTTTTTTAGTCCTTATGCCATGCAAAGCATTTATACAAATTTAAATTTACTACACCCCAAGTTCCAGACAATTCATCGATTACTTGGTGACAATTTTCCTTGACCACAAGGTTAACTGTTGAAACTGCCATGAATGAATCTTTTTTCTGATGATGAAGTTGAGTTTAGTAAAGAATGGCTGCATTCCTGTAAATTAAAGTACTGTGAGGAGAATACTTTTTCCTTTCAATGCTTTTACTTTTACTTTATTAATCTGCAAAGGCGGTAACCATCGCGCGGATATAAAATAATAATTCCATACCATAAGAAGAAAAAAAAAAAACATACATACATTGCATACCTAAAGAATGACTGTTAAACACAGAAATGGAGTTAAAGCGATTAACAATATATATATATAAAGTCAATAAAAACGGTCAAGCTCATCTTTGAATAAAGTCAATAAAAACGGTCAAGCTCATCTTTGAATTTAGCAATGTTTGGCTGGTCCAATGTGGCAGCAGGGAGAGTATTCCATATATTGACAGTGGAGGGGAAAAATGTTCCCATGTAGTAGTTGGTATTGCAAGTCAGCGGTCGGTACTTCTTTGGGTGGAAATTTCTAGTGTTCATATAAATGGCATTAAATGCTAATGGCCCAACGAAAGTTACAGGTATGTCACTGTACCTGATTGTAGCTCACATGTTACCATCTTCACTTAATTGCAGAAACCAGGTGGGCTATTGTTCCCAGACAAAGCACAACTGTTTGTCTGTGCCATTGAAGACAGGCAGTACAAAGAAGATAAAATCTATTGTAGGTTGTTGTTTTTGTTTATTTCCTCTCTTCTGGTTGATTTAGCTGTTTATAACCATTTTTAGCTTAAATCCTGTACAGTTCTTTGGTTCTGTTGCTTTTGTTTGCCTTTTCTCATCCGCATTTGTTTCCCTCTGTGCCTGTTATGCTTGCTATTTTTTTTTTTTTTTATCAAAAACCTGAGTCATGTTCTAATGTAAGCTTTGAAGTTGTACTTTCCTGTCATACTTTTTATTACTGATGTGCATTATTAATTTATTTTTTGTCCACTGGGTGCTTTTACACAGTCAGTAATTTTATTAGGCTTCCACTGTAAGTTGCAGATGAGGTTCTACAGGAGGCACGGGGCTACTCATCATGCAGTGTTGTCCTGCATGTTGTGATTCTGGCCAGAGTGATTACAGCTAGTGCAAACATAAAAATTGTGCATGTACATATATAGTAGTTTTAAGCAAGATTTCTTAAAATGAATGACCTTTTTGCAGGGTGGGACAATGTATATGGCTTTGACATGAGTTGCATCAGAAACGTGGCCTTAACTGAACCGTTAGTTGATGTAGTGGAGGCAAAACAAGTGGTCACTAACTCATGTGTAGTGAAGGTAAGGCTAATGCACGTAGTAGGTGATACCCACATGTTCAAGTACATGTAAGGGGCTACTATACATGTACAGTGTAGGTACAGTATGTGTATGGTGTTTTTTGATGTTGTTGCAAATAGGTTAACTTTTTCTTGCAACACTCGAAAGAGCATTACGAAACATTCATTGTACTTATAGGATATGCATACAAAGATGTATAACAAAAATAAGGTCCAGTGAAGCATAATAGTATTATTTTGTTAACTACAGCTGTATATGTACCTTCAGGGTTTTGGATATATACAACTGTACCTGTAGTCTTTATTTGTGATGTAGACTTCAGTACTTTGCTACATAGCCACTATAAGTACATTGTATTACCAAGCTTGAATACTTAATTTTTGTTATTGAAAAGGAATTTTTTTCTGCAACAGGAAATTGACCTGCATACAGTGAAGAAGGAAGACCTATCATTCAGTTCCCCTTTCCAGCTGTACTGTCGACGGAATGACTACATCCATGCTCTTGTTGCTTTCTTTACCATTGAGTTTACACACTGCCACAAAAGAACGGGATTCTCTACTGGTAAATCATCTTCTGTATACAAAATGTCTGGGGCCATTTTTCATGCATAAAGTTACACTTGACCTTCATGTTATATAGCACGTTGATAACTAAAATTGAAGCGTGACTTCTTGCATCGAGAAAAATGTATTTTTTGATGCAACAGGTTACACTTCATTTTCAAGTTATGCAGCACGCTGATGGCCACAGTTTCCTCTTTTTGCCAAATTTCTTTTGACTAGAAAAAAAATAGATTGATAAAAATTAATGACAAGCAAAGACTAGAGTATAATGGACTCTACTTGTTTGAGAACTTAATCAAACAGTATTTTTGTATCCCACCTTCAGAATTATTGTTTTTCTTAGGGACATCATGGACTTATGAAGTGCTTACATGGTGTTTCAGTTTCTATGGAAACACAAAAATAGTTGTTTAGTGCAGCCACACCCTGTGCATGACTTCAAGAGTTCAATATTAATGTTAGTGTTTTATTATAGCTCCTGACTGCCACTATACCCACTGGAAGCAAACTGTATTCTATCTTCACGACTACCTGACTGTCAAATATGGGGAAGAATTAATAGGAGAATTCAAAATGAAACCTAACCCAAGAAATAATGTAAGTACATGAATATACATCTTTGTCACTGCTGCAGGTCCTGTTTTTAATGCACTTCCATATGTCAGTGTATTCCAATTAAGACAAAATTATTTCTTTATTATTTTCTCATGAACTAAGGAGTTGTCTAATTTCAAACCCAGGAGGGCTGGGTACAATTCTGTTTATTATGGGATAAACAAAATGAGACCCTCGGCTTGAAACTAGGCAGTAATGTTATATTGTCAGGGTTCGCACGCACCTTGAAAGTTCTTGAATTTTCAAATAAAAATTCAAGGCCTTGAAAGTCCGTGAAAATTGCAGTCAGCACTGGAAAGTCCTTGAATTTCAATGCTAAGTTTATACATGTATTTAAAAGAAAAAGGAGCAAACACAGAAAGACCTTCGGGATAAAATTACTGAATGTTGTGAATGAACTAAAAAAGACATAGACTAAAGGCTCTATTTTGTACTGAATGGAGTCCTTGAAAAATCGGAAATGTGTCCTTGAAGGTCTTTGAAAAGTCCTTGAATTTTTTGTTCAAAAAAGGGGAGCAAACCCTGTATTGTTATTGAGATACTTTTCTTGAAATCTGATTTCAGCGTGATCTGGATTTTAACATCAGTGTGGACTTCAGTGGTGAGCTCTGTAACTATCAATCTACAGCTAACTACAGAATGCGATAGTCGGGTTTAGAAATTAATTGTACTTGTAGATGTACAGTAACAAGAGGCTAGCTAATGATAAGAGGGTGCTGCAGGCTGGCATCAATTTGCGGTTACACAACTGTAGACTAGAAGAGTTATAAGATTTAAGTCAGTGAGATGAGTAATAAGTAAGGTAAGGGGAAGACAGAATGTACTCCCTCCTTGGGAAGTCCTTCTCTTCTGCTCCTTTGCCAACAGCATCAACTTCACTCCTTGTTTTCCAAAAAACATTACATTCAACCCTTTGGACCATGTCCAGTCATGTCCTACAAAGAAGCAAAGGTTGTGACAGCGTGATAGGGAAAAACCGTAACTTAAAGCTAATTTAATTCGAACAAACATGCCATCATACTGAGCTAAATCATTATGTTACTTTATACTGCCAAAAAATATCACCCACTGTGAAAATTACTAAGATAGTTGAACACGATATTGAGCACTAATTTGCAGACGCGCTATACAGAAGGTTTAAAGCGCCTGCGACGCTGGCAAGCCTACGAACATGCTGAAACAGTTCTGATAGAAATTAATATTAGCTTGTCCTAAAAGGGTTTGTTATGATTTCCTCTTGGAGTAAAAAGGTAAAATCTCCTCGCACAGTGGAACAATTAACACTAAAACAAACTAAGTCATGTATGTTTCAGTTAGAGAGAAGCCTCTTTTCTTTTGCTTCGTAATATTATGTTTATTCTTGAAGAGGTGGTTGAAACAGATTCAAAGGAAACAAAATTCTACCACTACAAATAAAATGTAGCCCTGAATTTAACCTATACGTATTGAAGTCTGTGAAGTGGACTGTTCGAGGCTCGATCAAAACATTTCGTTAGGTTGTCAGGGCTACATTTTCTTTTTGGTGCTTCTTTGTAGTTGAATTCTGAAAGCTATACTTGTTGAATTTAGCACACCGTAGTAAAAGGGGAAATATATTTAAGAAATGAGACTCTATTCTCCAAATAACATCCTTAAACATAAGGTGCTGTATATTTCATGTATCATATTGGCAGTACAGTATTTCTTCGCGTCTTACATGTGCACACCATTTAGGTATACCCTGCCTTGATAAGGAACAATTACTACCCAAGATATGTATAACACGTCAAACCATCTCAAAAGTTTATTTTTCCCTTTATACGTAAGGTAAGGCTATGCCCTGTTTGAGACAGGGGGATACATGTATGCCGTCGCCATTTTTGTGCTGGTGGACGGTGGGGAAGGGGGGGTGGGGTGTTGACTGAAGGGATGCCGTTTAAAACTGTTTCGCGAGTAAGGGTTGCAACTTATACATGAAGGGTACTTCTTAGTTAACAACGGACACATGCTTATATGGCTGGTCTGTTATCATGTGATATAGCAATAATGTGGAGGCGTTACAGCTCAATCGGATTATTTTACCGTCATGAATTTATCATTCTACCACTTGAGTTAAGTTTAATATAGTATAAATTTTGATGAGTTAGAAGTTGTTAAATTTAAACTGAAATAAAATAATGCATTGGCTGACCTGCTACTGTATGCATGGAGAGTCCTTGGCCAGTTCAAAACATGTTCGTACACGTACTTAGCTTCATGCGCGCGGTACGCGAAAGTTATTTGGAACTTTACGATTGGACGACGCGAAGGAAGCGTAAAAGTCGCTTCAAAAATGAATTTGCGTTCTTTCGGTCTTATTCCAACTCACTTACTTCGTCAAATGTAGGCGAACCCTCCCGGAGTTGAATTTCTAAGAACCATATTCAAGTTTAGAAAGAGAATAACATTTCGTCGTGGCCTGTTTACGTCCTCCAGAAAAAGTAAAATTAGGCAATTTTACGTCGTAGTCGTGCAAAAAACGGCAAAGAAATGTAGAAAAAAGTGAGGTGCAGGTGCATAGTTGTTGTTTTGCCTACTAAATCTATTGTTGTTTTGGACGTTCTCGTTGCCGTCGCGTCGTCGGATCGTAAAGTCCCCATTACTTCTGAAGACTCGTAACAACCCGTGAACAGGCTCTGCCGAATTTAGAGACATGGGTGGTGGGGGGTGGAGGAGTGAAAACCTGTTCAACTCCTAACCCAAGTTGGGAGAGCTTACTCTTAGGTCTACTCTTTATTCTTTAAAGGGGCTTTGTCACGCTATTTGCTATCTTTGTAAAAAACTCCGACTAAACGTGTTCTTGCATCAGGTGAATTCCTAAAATAACGGTCCAGTGTTGTCATTTAAGACTCTGTTTAGGCGTCGAAACTGTTTCCTATTATCTGTTGCTAAGAATAGCAAGGATGGAGATGGATTAAACCTTGAAAAATTTGGGCCAACTTTTTCAAGTTTTACTGATTCTCTGCCTGCAAAAATAAACGAAAAAATTATTAGGGTCAGTGCTGCTGATAAAATCTGTGATATCTTCTTTATAATTCTACAGGCAGGAGCATTTTATGTACGGGAAAACAAATGGGAAAAGGCTTAATGACTTAAAACAGCAATATCCTCGTGACATAGCTCCTTTAACTTTCCTTGCTTAGGTTGTGCGCAACTCCCAGCGAGCTTGTGATGTTGCTTCAAAACAAATGGCCATGCGTTAAATGCAGTTAGCCCAATGCGTTATAACGTTTTCTAAAACCCCGCGACGTATGTAACTAGTTCATTTTATTGTTTTATAGAAATTATTTCGGGATAAGAAGATCCGCTAGATATGTACCTAAGTTTTCGATGTATGATACTGTAATTCTTGTTAATTATTTTATTCTTTTGTAGTTTCATAGACCCATGTGAATACTGCTATTGTCTATTAAATGCTGAAACGTTCTGTGCAAAAAAAAAACCAAAAGTGTTGAGAATATAACGTGTTATATCTTACCAAGAGAAGAGATCTTGCATATTTATTTGTTTTATTGTTTTGTGTTCTCTTTTACATATTTGTAAGTGTTGTAGAATCACAGGGAGCCCGCACAATCTGTTTGTGTAGCCGATTGTTATTTTATAGTAAATGATCTGGATTTACCGTTTGCCTCGCCTATAGCGATATGTCGCTAACTTTGTATATAAATCAATGATAAATAAACGTTGAATTACCTTACCTATGGCGAAATCCAACTCCTTCAAAATCGCTCAAAAAACCGCTTTTGAGGTAAAACGACGACTATATACCACAGGTAAGGTAATTCAACGTTTATTTATCATTGATTTATATACATAGTTAGCGATATATCGCTATAGGTGAAGCAATCGGTAAATCCAGTACATTTATTACATAATAACAATCGGCTACACAAACAGATTGTGTGGGCTCCGTGTGGTAGAATCAAACCATGGTGCTGCGGAAAAAACCACACACAGCCTAGTGCCTAGCCTCCCACGCAAACCTTCGAAGGAGTTCGTCACGCGTTCCTGCCCCTAAGAAAGTCTGCGTGGGAGGCTACCAAGTGCCCGAATTACGCCATGTCCTCGATGCTGGGACGACCGTAAAATAGGGCTATCTTAGTGCTGTTTCTTACGACTTCTTCCCTCCTGAATACCCCTATAACTCGTTCTCCTTAATGATAGAATTTATTTCACGACTTTAGGCGTTTTTAGGGGAGCTCGTATTTCTTTCCTCCCCACAAACGCCTACTTAGCTTGTGTACAGACCCCCCCTCCCCTCCCGATTTCTACTGAAGGGGAGGGGGGAGGGGGTCTGTACATGGCAGGTTGCATACGCTTTTATGTGCATCATAACTTAATTGTACAGTATACGGATCCTTGAGTTTTAACATACGATTTCCAATTGTCTAGATAGCTAGTCTGCTACACAGCCGTTTTTAGTGTCGTCACGCAACGCTCCTCCCCACTAACAGTTAGTGGGGAGGAGCGTTGTGTGACGAAACTAAAAACGGCTGTGTAGCGGACTACAAGATAGCCGGCATTTTAATGTTATTAACTTTATTTATTATATCGATCACACATCCGACTTATCAAAAACTCTAAACTTTAGCACGTGACTGTCTAATGGTTCAGACCACTGACTATGCAGAATTAAATGCAGTCTAAAACCCAAGAGCACGCTATTTTAAGCAATGAAATACATCGCATTCAGTTACTCTTTAGTAAAACCACTCAACGTGATGACCTTTGATCGAACCGTTTTTGGTTAGTTGCAGTTTAATTTTAAAAATGTTTCAGATTTTCTTGAGCTGTTAGAAACTTTTAATTGAAAAGAAAATTCAATTCTGCCCCTTTTTGACATTCTGTGCCATTACATTTAACGCGGTTATTTTCCTGACTGCTCCATGTCTGCTGACCGACCTCTACCAGGAAATTGGCGAAAGCGTGACATGCATGACAATATTAACTTTCTCGTGACAGCAATGCTTATTTACATCACGCGACAATAGTCATTTTCCCTGGGGTGCAATAGAGTTGTTTCACTTTTCTCCTCGCAAGTCGTGGCAACAAGATGGATTCTTTATTGAGAAGTTTTAATCGAAAGAAGATCGTTGATCCAAGCACATTAACCAGCACCGAACTAAACCGCTGTTTATCAATATTTGACCTGACTGTGCTCGGCATCGGAAGCACTCTAGGTGCAGGTATATATGTTTTAGCCGGAGACGTCGCGAGGCATGACACCGGTCCAAGCATAGTTCTCTCATTTTTAATCGCTGCTATCGCCTCGATTCTTTCTGGGTTGTGCTACGGCGAATTTGGTGCCCGCGTCCCCAAAGCCGGCTCAGCGTATGTGTACAGTTACGTTACAATCGGCGAACTGTGCGCTTTTGTGATCGGCTGGAACTTACTTCTAGAATATGTGATCGGAACATCGTCAGTCGCTAGAGCCTGGAGCTCGTATTTTGATTCCCTCTTTGATGGTGCAATTAAGAACTTTACGATCTCAACGATCGGAGAAATGCACGCTTCAGGCATTGCAGAATACCCCGATGTTCTATCAGTTCTTGTGGTTCTAATTTTGACCACCGTTTTAGCTGTGGGAATCAAGAAAACTTCATGGTTCAATACGTTGTTCACTGGCATTAATTTATTCGTTATTCTGTTTATAATATGTGTGGGTGCATTTTACGCCCGACCCAAGAACTGGTCGAGCAGTTTTATGCCTTACGGAATGTCTGGTGTGATGACTGGGGCAGCCACTTGCTTCTATGCCTTTGTTGGCTTTGATGTGATTGCAACCACCGGAGAGGAAGCAAGGAACCCCAGTAGAGCTATCCCAATCTCCATTGTTCTCGCTCTTGGTAAGTAACTATATTGAATTGTGATAAATGCATTTTTTTATCTTGCAGATCTTGTGCAGATCAATTACAAATCCCATTCTCTGGCAATTCCAAAAGTTCATTCGTTACAGTACCCTGGGTGCCAGAGGGTTTTTTTTTTCCTGTTGTTGGCAGCGAAAATTGAGCGGCGAAATTTTCGCTGCCAACGTATCGTTTTAGAGACATGCTTTCGAAACGGTTGTTCATTTGCCGTCATGGACCTTTCTTATACGCTATATCTATTTGTTTCTGTTTTTATCATCATTCTGCCTCTTAATTTCCGGCCTTGTCCCAGAGGTTTTAGCCTGGCTGTTGTCGTTTGAAGAGGAACTGAGAAGCATCATCTCAGTCTGTCATCTACCTGAAAGGCCATTCCCATCTCCCGACCGACCCATACTTTTTTTTTTAGGAAAACTGAGAATACACTGTCTGATAAGCCCAATTTTCAGGGGAAAACTGAGAAAAAATAAAAACAACAACAAACTGTCTGAGACTATTTTAAGCATTTTGGGAATTTTATCTTTTCATCCCAGCAAGAGATGGAAACGAGCAACCTCTGCAACCTGACTTACTGGGAAGTTTCGCACAATTCAGATCTTTTTTTATTCTAGACTTCAAATCCCCTCTGACAGAGAGAATGAGGATCATTTCTTCATCTCCCAGCCAGCAAAAATTTGCCAGATATTTTGAGGAACAGATCCATTGGGTGCCCTGAATTTTATTTTTCAAAGAAACATCCGATTTTCTAGAGAGAATTAGATCATTCTCTTTGTCATTAAAACTATAGAGAAAAAAAAAGACAAGCGAAAGTACACGTAGACTGCAAGGAAGGCCGGAAGCGCATGACATGCCCTACGGGCTTGTGAGGCTCGCGCGCTTCGTTTGAAACTCTCTCACGGAAAATTTTGTTTTGCAGTCTAAAGTACAAGTAAAACATTATAAAACCACGCCTCCAGGCTTTTACTAGACTCAGGCTTCCTCGGTTAATTTTCTTGTCAGTTCTTTTTTCCTTTGGAAACGATAAGCATATTTATGAGGATGCATGGCCTCAAAAGATTTCAAGTGATTCATCCGTATCCAAAGCATCAAAGCATATCGAGCCGAAGCTTTGTTTACTTATCCTTCAGACGTTATGGTCTTATAGATACTTTTTAATGTGGTCTTGTAGTATTCTTGTGAATCTTGAATAATACTGTAACCGAAGGGCCGCGACAATCTGGCCGTTTTTACTAGGTTTTCAGTTAAGCTATCACCAAGTTTCTTAAACTTGACCCAATAGAACAATAGAATGTGGTCTTATCTACAAGGTGTTTGTATAAACGGAGCACTTGGTGATGAGGAGAGGATAACCTGCGTTCAGACATTCTTACTTCCCTTTTTTTCGAGGGAAAGCCACGATGTGAAGCTTACCAATAATTTATCTGGAATTTTCAATTCATACAGTTTTCTGTTTCCTGGCTTACTTCGGCGTGTCTGCAGTCCTAACGCTGATGTGGCCCTCCAGTGACCTTCCTGTTGATGGAACTTTACCTAATGTGTTTGCTTTGAGAGGAGCCCCTTGGGCCAAATATGTGATTGCTGTCGGAGCCCTGTGTGGATTGACATCATCTTTACTTGGAGCACTCCTTCCATTACCCAGAATGCTGTATTCCATGGCTAGCGACGGTCTCATTTTCAAGTGAGCTTTAAATGAACTTTTCATGTAAGGTCCATAAACTCGGCCCGGGGTCTAACTCTGTGACCACTTCAGTAAAAACGATACAGTTCTTTTGCGTTGTTTCCTATGCCGTAGAGTTTCGCTGTAACTAAAAACCCTACAGTGCGAAAAGTCAAAGCAACCTCGATTTCCTTGTTCCTCTGACGAAGCACTGGTTACTATGCACTGTTATAGGTTGTTGAGAAAATTATTGAAAAAAAATTGGTAAGGGCTAGTGGTACTTTGACATTTTATAGTTGAACTCCGTTAATTTGAGATAGTCAGAACTCACTGTTTGTTTGTAGAAGAACTCCCAAACTAGGGATGAAAGTTAAGCTATATGAGCTCAAAAACTTTGCCTGATGTGTATGGAGACAACGGATAGCCAATAACTCCACCAACATTCAGGGTTCCAACTTGCTTCGCGAACGGTGATTCCATTCATTTCAGCCCTCAGGGAAACCAATCAGCGTAGAAATAGACTCAGCACAGGGGCCGCAAAACACAGGTTTCGAACCTTTTCCAAGACTTTCTCCAACCACCATAAGCGTGACCAACATCATGTAAGGCTTCCAATCATCACAATCACGCGTGTTTTCGAACCATCTTGCAACACACGTCAGGGCCAAAATAGGAAGCTATTTAGTTTATATTTAGTCTATCTAAGTACTTATTGTTTCTGTTGATAACGCACTCTTATTTTTCAGATTCCTTGCCAAGGTTAATCCCAGAACGGAAATCCCAATGATTGCTACAGTGATATCAGGCGTATTCTCGGCGATTCTGGCTTTCATTTTCAACCTTCATGATTTAGTTGAGATGATGTCGATTGGAACTCTTCTGGCCTATACCATGGTAGCTGTGTGTGTGTTGGTTCTTAGGTATCAGCCAGACACAATAGGCCTCATCAAAGAAAACAGCTCGAGCTTGAGTTCACATTTAGCGGAGAAAGACATTTCCGAGGAAGATACCCCGCTGTTAGGAGTGCTGTTACGAGATACCCGCAAGCCATCGCGTAAAACGGCTTTGTTAGCGCTAATTGCCACAGTTGTTAGCTGCATTGGTTTTGCAGGTGTTTGCGCGCTGATTATTTGGGCTTCGCATGCCTTGTTGCAGGCGAGCTGGTGGGCCATTTTAATGATGGTTCTAGTAGGCGTGGCAGCTATTGGCTCTATGGTTGTACTCCTTTTGTTACCCCAGAATAAGACGCCCCTACCGTTTAAGGTCCCCTTCGTTCCTCTGCTGCCTCTCCTGTCAGTGTTCATCAACTTATTCCTGATTTTGAAGCTCTCTTATTTGACCTGGATACGATTTGCTGTTTGGATGGTGATTGGTGAGTACTTTGACCGTTAAAACGAAGACTTGTGCGTATATTATTGTTGTATTATAGGTTAGGAGTAGATTTGGTTAGATTAGTCGGAGAGAGTGTAGGAAGGTACAAAAAGCAGCGAGTTTAACAGGACCAGGTTGTCAAAAGCGTTCAAAGCTTAGGCAACAGTATGGAAAAGACTGTCCTAATGTACGCAAAACAAAAACGCGAATTCAGTTTTCTTCGTTATGTCGGTAAAAATAAGCTACTTTGGTTTTGCAACGCATGAGTCAGTCGATACTTCTATTGTCTTCAGTTGCGAGTGGCATTTGCAGTTGTAATTTCATTGTGCACCGAGAGTTGAACTGCACGCCGTGAGTTTTATGGGACGGGGAATTTAATGGCAATTGAGGGGACAGGTGAGGGGTAACAGCCCCGGAATCAGCGAATTCCAAAGCTGCGCCCCCCTAAAAACGCCGGTACTGCATGATATATTGCTGTTTTTGAAAGGACAACTTGTGTAAACCTTTTTCTCTGTTTTTCTAGGCTTGTCTATTTACCTGTTTTATGGTCTACGACACAGCGTAGAGAAAGAAAGACAAGACGAACAGCACACAGAAAAAAGCCAGCCGACTTGAGAGCTGTCAGTGTCGATGATGGTTTGTCAAGTAGTCGGGAAGTTTTTTTCCAACCTGGAGGAGCACATTACATAGTAACTGTCAACAACTGTTAAAAATGAAAAAAAGTGAAAGAATATAGTGCACTTGATTATGAACATACGTCAGGTACTCGTCACGTCATGTACTTTCGTTCAGTTAACCTTGGCCTTGCGTAACGACACGTCATTGTCACGGACATCTCGATAATAGAGAGCTTAAGCAACAACGACGGCAACGGCTACGAAAACGTCAGTTAAAAAATGAATTCGCGCTTTATCGCGCTTATTCCATCTCGTTTAATTTATCATATGTGGGCAAATTGTTTTGGAGTGGAATTCTGAAGGACTGTGTCAAAGTTCAGGAAAAGAAACAGAAAGTTGTCTTGAGTTTACGTCCTCGACAAAACGTGAAATTAAGCATTTTAACGTTGTAGTCGTGCAACGACGGCTAAGAAATGTACAAAAGAGCATGATGCACGTGTAAGGTTGTTGTTTTGCGATTCTAAACCTATTGCCTTTTTGCCGTTTCCGTTGCCGTCGCCGTCGTCGTTGCTTGAGCGCCCTAATAAGGAAAGCAGCTACACCACAGAAGTTTGACTAAACTGGGCTCTGGGGCCCGTTTCTCGAAAGTCCCGGTAACTTTTCGGGCCCGAAATCAAATATTCAAATCGAAATATAAAGAATAAGAGCGCGGGTCCTGGCTAGCAAACAACTCCATTTTGTTTCACTAACTGATAGTTTTATCATGCTAGGTGCAAAACTATTGAAACCTCGATCTTTAATGTAAACGGAGACACCTTACCGGGCCCGTTAATTATCGGGACTTTCGAGAGACGGGCCCCTGGACTCTAACGCTAGTTATGAACTCTCGCTGTCACAAACTTACGGACATTGTTGTGGTCCTGGCAGTGCGCCTTCACTGTGCTAACTCTCGTTGTGACGGACGTCGACCGCAGCTTTCAGCAGTCACATCCAATAAGGATCTGATGTTTTAAGGATGAAATTATTCTTTCAAACTGAAAGACTCAATGATCCATTGTTCTCTGCGGAAGACACATGCAACGGTTCCTCTGTTCCCTAAATTTCATTTCAAGATGTACAGTTAAACCCCCATTAAGCGGCCACCCTCAGGGTACCTTCTATCTCGGACCGTATTGACTATTTTCTAATCGCCCATAATACACTCTGTTTGCCCCCCATCCCCTCAAATATTGCCTAAATTTTCTTAAAATGCCTCTTGGGAAAATGCAGTACCCCCAGGAGCATATGACAACAATGGTTTATGCAAAATTTGGGGGACAATCAGAGTGTATTATGGGGGATTCGAAAATAGAGAATTTTCCTTCATCATATTCTTGAAATGAAGCCAACCTATAGATCAGTGTATCATGCGCTTGAACTCTCGCTGGAACAGCCAAAAGGTGGTCGCGGCCGCTTAATAGAGGGTTAATTCCCCATCATTTTGTACAATCATTTCGGGACTTTGATTACTGGCCACTTAATAGAGGGTGGCCCCTGATGGAGGTTCGACTGTTTCTTTGTTCGCTAAATGTTACTAGCCTGTTCACAGGCTAAATGTTACTAATCATGTTCCCTTGTTCCCAAAACTCCTGGGTGGTCCGTAGTATTGAACATTGCGCTTCCATAAAAGGAAAAACTTCATAGTATCCATGGGGGCACGGGCCCGATTTCCCTCATCCTTAACGGACATCGAGTGTCATCACTTAATATTTCGAGATTTAAAACACAACTTACAAGTAAATCCGTTTTTTATGATCATTATTTATTAATACCTAAGTTTTTGATTTACTTTTTTTCTGCTGCGCATCGACCGAAACTGATTAAATGTAAGTACGTGAAATGTAATTCTTCCGGGGGGAGCACACGCTTATTTAGCCTAGACAAGCATGTGCCGCTGAACAGGGTATGGTTTTCAGATCAGGGTTTTGCTTAATTCCATTATCAGGGTCATTTAGTGAGGTATTTTGTTTTATGCTGGGTAGCGAAATGAACGATTTTTCTCTAAATAAGATAGGGGTTTGAAGACCTCGGCGGCATACCTCTACTCAAACTTCCGGGATATTATTCTAAGGAAATTCCGCTTACCACAGTTAAGATCAACTAACTGTTTATATTACAAAGGCTTTATAATAAGTTTTTCTTTCAGTCATATTACTAGAAGCAATGTTAATTTTTGTTCTTATTTCTGACAACCCGCCTCGATTATTTATGCTAACTGCGGGTTGTCAATGTTTGAAATATTGTTCTTTTAAAAACGAAATGAAATGTTGTTTTTACAATGGCCAGAGTTTACTGTACAAGCTTCTGCTTATAAGTAAAGCTCTTAACCGTACCTTCCCCCCCCGGGGGGGGGGGTGGGGGACTTCCTAGTGGTAGGCTAATGGGTATGTGCCGCTGGATGAGGTCGCATTTTCACGACTGGACTGACTATTATGGGGTGCATTTTTAGAAGAGTTACTAGAATGGGGTCGCACATTTTCAGGATTTTGGGGGTCGGAAAATTCAGGTATATAGGGATTTAAAAATAGCAAGATTTAAACCACATTCAGTTTAACAAATGTGTCACTTCATTTCGGCATGACCTAGCTTTTTTAAAGGCTTTATAAGAAAGATCCATAAATAGAAAGTGACTAAGTTGGGATTGCGAAAATTGCTTTTTTCCCAGAGTGGCTAAGATCAGGGGCACCCAATGGATCTGTTCCTCAAAATATCTGTTCTACATGCAAATTTTTGCTGGCTGGGAGATGTGAAAAAAATAATAGTCCTTGGAAGGAAAGTGTTGCTGGGAAAAAGATAATTCAGGGTGTCAGAGGGGATTTGAAGTCTAGAATAGCTGCTACGGGTTACTTGTATGGGTTGCTTACCACTCAAGATCTGAATTGTGCCCTATGAAACTTCCCAGTAAGTCAGGTTGCAGGTTGTAAGGTTGCTGGCTGGGAACTCTTCCATCAGTCTTGCTGGGAATGAGGAACAGATAATTTTTTTCCAGCAATCTCCCAAAATGCTTAAAATAGTCTCAGAAAACTTTATTCACGCTTTGTTGTTGTTTTTGGGTCTTTTTCTCAAAATTTCCCGTTGGGTGCCCCTGTAAGATGGGGTCTATAATATCGCCACAAAATAGACTGTAATGCCGGGTGGCGGTTCTGAGGGGCCAGCGGCACATACCTTGCAAAAATTAACCCAGCTAACCCCCGCCCCGGAGTACCTTGCCATTCCCTATGAAATCAAGTTTGACCTCGTAAAACAATACACAGAATACAGTCACTCGGTATTTCCGGCCAATTTGAAACATGATAAACTTCGCGGAGTTACCGATTACATACTGTTGCACTTTACAACTGAAAGCGAGTAGAGGCGAACCGTAAGTACAATCTTTTCAGCTTGTTTGCATGTGTTAATTTATCGACAGAACTTCTTGTCCGTGCCATTTTAAACGTAGAACCAACAAGAAATAGAAACACAGCCTCTGTAGACGCTATCTTAAGGGAGCTACGTCTCCATGTCACGGCAGTGCAAATGTGCGAGATCACAAGCTTCCGCCATTTTTATCTGCCACGTTTTAGCTGACATAAATCTGTAACAGTTCATCAAAGAAACTTCGATTCAAAGTTTTTCTTTCCTGATATTGGTTAAATAACGCGGCTCAGTCATAAAGAGCTAAATTTTGTGACAGAAATGAGATCGAAGCTTATTCCTTTATTCCTTTTTGGTAGAAATGACGTCTGTAAAACCACACGCGCTAAATGTTTGAGTTCAGATGACTCAGAGCATATTAAAGAGATTCTCATATCTACTAAACTTAACGAGGACAATGTTTCTATTTTTTAACACACCGTCTGTAAAAACAGCAATGTACGTAAGTTTGCTTTTCCTTCTACGTAAGTTTGCTTTTCCTTCTAGGAAAAATCCCCGAGGGGAATTCCCATATGAGAGTGACGGGATGTTTCGACTCGCTTTGGGGTCAGAAATTTCAGATTTTGGTCTCACTTGGGGTGTTTGGGATGGAACGTCATTATATTTGCCCATTCAAGTATCGATTAGGGCTGTCCATAAAGAAATTAACGAAAAATACCGTGATTTCTGGTCTCCTTTAGGGGTCAGTTTATGTTTGAGCCACACCCGCATTTGGTCTCCTTTTAATTTTCCGGCGAGCATCCCCGTCACTTTTACATGGGAGCTCTTGACTGCTTCCGCACATATGAGTCTACTTGTAGTGTGAATATGTTTTTTTTCGGAATCAAAACAGGAAGTCTATTATGTGATGGGCACTAGCCAGCGTAGTCTCCCTCGCAGCCGTTTTTTCGTTGCGTGACATCCAAAAAACGGCTGCGAGGGAGACTATAGCCAGCGCAGCAGTTTTTTTCTTTTCCTTTTAGCCAGGGCGTCTATTTTTGCCTTCTCCTTGTACGGCGTATTCACGCCTACGCCTTCTCGGTAACGTATTATCCGCGCGGAATAATGAGGCCCTGGGATTAGATTTAATTCTACAATTAGATTCTGCAAGTGGTGCATACACAGTCTATTTCATGTTCTCAAGGAAGTGCTCTCTCTCTTTGTCGACTGTCAAACAACAGCGTTACATCGTATCCTCCTTTTGACTGTTGGATAAAGGTTCGAAAGGAATCTTGACTCATTTTATGTAGGAAACGTCTTCTGACGTCATAGACTTCCTGTGTTTTCCGAGAAACAGCTATTTAATGATGTCATTAGGGACCCCGGTTAGGGACTTTAAGCACATCGCTACGACCTCTACTTCGGCGGCCGAAAGTAAAAGAGCTCAAGAATGACGGACTGCGCAGGCTTGGAAATGACCGTTCGCTGTAACGCCAAATCCTACAACGTGAAGACCTGTCTTGTGGCGTAGTCGCTACTACGTTAGTATAAAAGTCGACTTTTTTCCTATTTTTTACAATCACTGGTTTTCAAACCCATCGTAGATAGTTTTTCACTTTATCAAGAAATTATTTTACGCTTCTGGTTTTTCAGTAATCACGTCCTCCCTGCGTTTTACAGCGAACGCAAATGAGCGAGAAACCCCGTAGTCACTTGCTTAAAGTTGAAATTTGGTGGACGATAGTGACGTACTTTCCCCAAGACTCCGCATAGTAAACATCACCGTAGCGTTTTGCCTAAAGTCCCTATTGACAGTTGTGTCGGTTGGTAATTCTACAAGTAACGAGACCACATTCCAGACTTCCTATTGAGGAATAACTTTCCATTATGGCAGACATTATAAACACAATATCGGTTTTTATTAACTTATAGTTTCGAAAAATATATCTCCATAAATGTTGTACACGAATTTTCTACCATAATAATAATGATATTTATTGATTTGTATTGCGCAAATATCAATCCAGAGAAAGAAATTTTCATCTGCGCATTACATAAATTCTACTTACAAATCCCATTTAAAAAACTATGTTCCATCCTAATTCTAAAAATCCTAAACACAATGACTAATTACTCCTTAAAATCCTATTTACAAATCTTTTTTTGTAAAAATAATAACAACAGTGAACTAGCTGGGAAACGCCTTCTGAAACAAATGAGTTTTAAGAGCCTTTTTTAGAACCATTAACTGAAGGTACATTTCTAATAGAAAGGCGAAGATCGCTCCATAATCTTGGGGCAGCCATATAAAAAGATCGATCACCCAGCGTGGTAAAAGACTTGCATGATGGAATGTTAAGACGTTTGCCGTCATTTGATCTTAGACAATATCTAACTGCAGTGCATATTATTTAAGTGCAGTTTCCCTGACTAAGGGCCTGTTTACATGGAGGTGGAAGACCTCAGGTAGGTGAGGTAACCCGCCTGTCCTTATAATCTCTCACTTTAATTTGATCACAGTTACATGATAGGTGGGGTGACCCGCGACATGTTACCTCACCTCTCTGGGGTCCCCCAACTCCATGTAAATAGGCCCTAAACAGATACCAAACAGCCGCACAAGATAAAGAGGGGATCCACGCATGCGTGCAAAGTAAATCACCCGAAGTGAATTTTTCTTGACTTTAGGAAATAATTTTTATTTTTTTTATTTCTAAACTTCAGGTAAAAACCTTTCTGGTTGCATAAATTACATTTTTTGTTCCGATTCTTAAGTTTGAACAAGCAGGTGAGTCGGCAAAGGCAAATTAGTAAACCTTACCTAACTTAGTTACTTATGAAGTAATGTTATGTTATGTAGCATAGGGAAGACAACTTGAGTCTAGGACTTGCACTGAAACGCGCAAACCATATTTTCCCTCGTTAACACCTGCAAAGGCAAAGGCTTATGGCCTTACCTCTACAGTCAACTCATTCCTCTATAACGGACACCTTTATAAGACAGACACCTTTAAAGTCGGACACCAGGAGTTTGTCCCTGCCGATTGTCAGTCATAATACGCGTTGTGACGTGATCAACCTCGTTTCCAAGGCGCTTTTGCCTTCACTTTGGGTTTCCTAAGGCTAAGGGTAAAGCGCCTTAGGGACTAGGTCGGGTATGTGATGTAATAAATGTCGTGACGGAATACACCATGTATTACCAGGAACCCGTTTCTCGAAGGTCCTAAACTGTTCCCGGATCCGAAAAACAGATCAGGCTTTTAGAAATAGTATTAAAAGCAATACAATTACAAAATTATCAGTCAAATAGACAAAATGGACTGGGCTATGAGTCGGGACAGGTACTACTATTCTTATTATTTTTTTCCCGGGAGAAAATCTCATATTAAAGTGATAAGGATGCTCTATGGAAAGATCAAAATTAAAACCCTAAAGGAGACCAATATGAGCGTGGCTGAGGCTTTATTTGATACCTAGAGGAGACCGATATGAGTGTGACTCAAGCTTTATTTAACCCGTTAAGGAGACAAAAGAGACCAAACTTCAACACCGTGTAGGAGCCGGTCCTGACAATATAACAGCGTTTTCTTTTTTTATACGAGATATTTGTTTACGCACAACCCCACGAGATACCTCATGGGCAAAAATGTTGGCTTTCCGCCAGAACACCATAGGTGAGGCCAAAATAAGCGTACCCCTAGGAGATTGGGCCCCGATAAGTTATTGTAACCTAGGATTTCAGGTTAATTTTACATGTGGCTCAAAATATCATTTAATTCACATTTTATTCATTTTAACTTTTAATTTGTCTTTAGAAAATCAGTACTGCCATGAACAATCTAGAACAGCTCGTAGACGCTTTATGCATTGGTGTAGGTGTTGCTGGGCTCCTTCTCAAAACCAATCGAGTTGAAAAAGCTATTCAGGTGTACAAGGAATGCTTGGTCCTCCTAAATAATAAAGCCCTTGAAAAAGACAAGGAATTCGTTGAGTTAACCACCGAGGTGATTTACTTTCCACTGATTATCGCTTACCGTCTTATGAATATCCCCGCGAGTGCCATAGAATGTGGAAGAGAACTCATGGCGATTCAACGAAGAACTGGTAAAAGAGACTTGGAAGGAAAGGTCATGTTTGAACTCGCGATGGTTTATGAACAGCAACTTAAGTATGAGGAAGCAAAAGAGTATTATTCAAAAGCACTTAATAGCTATATGGCAACTGGTCAAAAACGAGAAGAAGCATTCTGCTACGGTAAACTTGGATCGTGTCTTATGTCCTTAGGAGAATACGGCAAAGCTAAAGAATGTCTGGAAAAGGGAATTGTCCTCTCAAATCGAGTTGGAGTCCAAGATGTAGGATGCATCTGTTATAGCAACCTAGGAACTTTACTTTATTCCCTTGGTGGGTACGGCAAGGCTAAAGAAAATCTTGAAAAAGCTCTTGCAATCAGTGAAGAGACCGGTGATAAGAGAGGAGAAGCTACCTCTTATGGGAACTTAGGAAACGTTTTTAAGTCCACTGGAGAATATTTAAAAGCTGAAGAGTATTTGGGAACAGCATTCTCGATCCTAGGAGAAATAGGCGACAAAAAAGAACAGAGCTTATGCTATTCTAGCCTAGCAACCGTCTTTCTGCATCTTGGTGAAGGTGACAAGGCTAAAGAATATCTTGAGAAAGCGCTTGCGATGGCAAAAGAAGTTGGTGAAAGGAGAGCTGTAGCCTCGTGTTACGGTAACTTAGCAACTGTAGCCCATTCACATGGTGAAAATGCCAAGGCTAAGGAATATCTAGAAAAGGCACTTGTGATTGTGAAGGAAGTTGGTAACAAGAGAGACGAAGCTGCATGTTATGGAAACCTTGGAGCAGTGTTACGGTCTATCGGCAGCTATGCTGAAGCTGAAGAATATCACATCAGAGCACTTGCTATGAATAGAGAAATTGGCAACGTAACAGGAGAGGGAAAAGAGTGTGGAAACCTTGGAAATGTTTTTATGGCTCTTGGTAAATATGCCAAAGCTAAAGAACATTTCGATAAAGCACTTCCATTAGCAAAGCTTACAGGTGACCGAGAAGGAGAAGCTGTTCAGTGTAGAAACCTAGGCACTCTATCGCAGGCTCTCGGTGAGTATTCCAAAGCGAAAGAATACCTCGGAGAGGCACTTTTGATTGCAAAGGAAATTGGAAACCAACGGAGGGAAGCCTTATGTTTAGGAGACCTAGGAACTGTGTTTCAGAATCTCGGGAAATACGTCAAGGCAAGAGAGTATCATGAAAAAGCACTTACGATTCACAAGAAAATCGGTGACAGGGAAGGAGAAGCAGCAACTCTAGGAAACCTAGGAAGAGTGTACAAACGTTCCGGTGAATATGACATGGCGATGAAATTTCTTTATGAAGCACTTCATTTGGCGAAAGAAATTGGCAGCCGAGAATACGAAGCTAAAAGCTACCAACATCTAGGAACTGTATTTCTGTCTCTCAACGAAAATGCCAAGGCTAACGAATATCTGGAGAAAGCGCTAGTGATGCACAAAGAGGAAGGAAGCAAATCGTCTGAGTTAACGACCCACTTTTGCCTTTCGTTACTTATGTTAAAAGAAAACCGCTTGCATGAAGCTAAAGCACATCTTTTTGAAAGCACGTCCAAGGCTGAGGATATGCGCAACCTACTGGGAGAAGATGATAACTTGAAGGTTTCGCTTTTTGACGAACATGTTCATTGTTACCAGTTTCTCAGTTATTTGTTTTGTGCTAATAAAGATCCCTCAAACGCTCTCTACGCTGCGGAGCTTGGACGAGCCAGAGCCCTTGCAGACCTAATGGTATCTAAGTACTCAATGGAGAAAGGGAAATCAGTCAATCTACAGTCATGGGTTGGTATAGAAGGGCTAATAAAGAACGAAAGTCGCTGTGTGTGCCTATATGTGTCGTATTATCAACAATTTATATTCTTATGGTTACTCAAAGCAGGAGAACCAATGCTTTACAGATCAGTTACGCTTAATAACTGCAAAGCATTAAAACTCGTTGAATATTTGGGCGGTAGAACGCTTGGAAATGTCAACTGTGAGGATCGATCTTGGTGTCCTTCAAATATAAGTGAGCCAAAGCGAGAATCAGCATCGAATGGAGATAGCGCGAACGTTTTCCAAATTTCGACCGAAGAAACCCAAGAGATTCTAGCTTTTTATTACCAAATGATCATCAATCCTGTTGCTGACGTACTCGAGGAACCCGAAATCGTCTTTGTCCCAGATCGCGTCTTTTACAAAGTTCCATTTGCGGCTTTAAAGGACCAGAGTGGTAAATTTTTGTCAGAAGCTTTCAGAATCCGCGTCGTCCCCTCTTTAACGACTCTGAAGCTTATTCAGGACAGTCCAGCAGATTATCACAGCCAGACTGGTGCACTGATTGTAGGTGATCCCGATGTTGGACAGGTGCAGTATGAAGGTGAAATTTGCCATCCACCGAGGTTGCCGTTTGCGCTGAGAGAAGCAGAGATGATTTCCCAACTTTTAGGAACAAGACCTCTGGTAGAAAAACATGCAACAAAGCAGGTCATACTACAGAGCATAAATTCAGTGAGTTTGATTCATTTCGCTGCTCATGGTAATGCTGAAAGGGGTGAAATCGTCCTTGCACCATCACGCTCCACTAATGCAATTCCACAAGAAGAAGACTACCTGCTGACGATGGCCGACATCGCACAAGTTCGACTGCGAGCCAAACTGGTAGTCCTCAGTTGTTGTCACAGTGCGAAAGGACAGATCAGAGCCGAGGGGGTGGTTGGAATCGCTCGCGCGTTCTTAGGGGCTGGTGCGCGCTCAGTGTTGGTGGCATTGTGGGCCATAGACGATATTGCAACAGAGAAGTTCATGAGCCGTTTTTACGAGCATCTTGTTCGCGGGGAAAGTGCCAGTGAATCTCTTTACCAGGCCATGAAGTGGATGCGGAGTAACGGCTTTTCTGACATACAAGAGTGGGCACCCTTTGAGCTGATTGGAGATAACGTGACATTTCATTTTAAAAAATAAAGGTAAGTATTCGTTGTTTTCTTTGATTTGTTCTGTTTATAGGCAATATCACGTATGCAACAATGGAAAACGGCTTGGTTAGACGTTAGTGTGCTGTGCGTTCATTCCACTTGATATGCTTGTAACAACGGGCAGCTCAGTCTTTTGTATCAGAAATTCATAAAGTAACTAAACTGAACCTAAGTAAGAAAAATAAAAGGAAAATAATGTTCGTAGAAATGGAACGAAATGAGGATTTCAGCTGGGATGACCTTTTACATACCTGCCATTGATAGTTATTTACTAATTTATTCTTTCTTTCTCATAGTAGATTAAGTGGAAAATTTAAATGAAAATCCCTGGCTGTTCAACTTAAAAACGATGGCCCGACGATTTATAGCCAAAAGCATTTGTATTTTTCTTTTCTTTTTTTTTAGGGGGGTAGGAAGGGGCTGAAGTGGTGAGCTGAAATTGAACATATTATGCTATTGCCAAAGTAGTTGTCACATTGTGTCCGCCTTTATTTCAGAAGAGGTTTGGGGACCACAATTTTAGAGTACCACTGACCAATTGTATCTTGTATTTTAAAGCAACCTTCGGTGGGCAAATAGGTCCCTTTTACACAATTGCGTGGGACTGTAAGGTATCTGGCGCTTAAAATGGGGTCCTTCACTGATTCTATTATTATAGTCCGCGATGATCTTCTATACCTAGATATTACTGCTGTCTTTCCATAGGTTTTCCCGCCTGATCCTGGGAGATCTAGGTACGTTCGACATTATTAAAGCCCGGATGATGGTAGCAAAGACTTGACGGAATGATTGCATTCTGTTGTTGACTTCCAGTGAACTCTGCTTTGGTTTTCCAAATAGGATATTGATGCCTCTACCAAGAGAAAGATCTGTACAAGGAGCCTAACAACTGAAACTTTTAAGTACCGTTGTTTCTTTTAAAATTGCTGCGCAAAAGGTTTTGCCACTTAGTGTGACACGGGTTGGTTTGAGCAATTCGTATCGTTCTTTTTTACGATTAGCGCGTCCTATACAGGGGCGGATCTATGGGGAGGGCGCAGGGTGTGCGCACCCCCCCCGAGATGACCTGCGGTTTTCTAATACAACTGGTATTCTGCAAAAAAAAAAAACTATGTGGTTAATCGGTGTTGAAGTAGAGCAAGAGACGAGTGCACCCCCTCCTAAAAAAAATCCTGGATCCGCCCCTGCTATACATATCTATATATTGCCAAATTATGTAACATTTTTACCAAAAGAGCTTATCTTCTCGGAACATATTGGATACTAGCATTTGACTTAAGAGTCACACGTTACAGATCTCTCTCCGATAAATTAATTTTCTCTGTTGATTCATTAGCGACTGTTCATTCAACAGACAGACCACACAAGACTTGTAGAAATGAGAGGAAAAAAAGGTGCAAAGGACTCTATGGCTAGCCAGCGAGCAAACTCTCTGTGCTGGGGAGCGCAGGCATGATCAGTGAAGACGGGGGGACGCAGAACCAGAGCCTCCCAGAGAGCTTGCTCACAGGCTACTCTTTGTCTCTCTTTCAAGGTTCTCCACTTGATACTGACTTTGCTGATTTTAAAACTGGAAATCTAGAATGTTCAGCCTTTCTCGAGCTATGAAAATTTTGAGTCAATATTTGGTTGTTCGAACAGATATTTTGAAGAAAACAGTCGCTGAGTGCACGTCGATAATGAATGCATCATAATCCGCCATCCTAATACAAATTCAAACAGTCTTTATTTCGCTTTGCATTTAAGTCTGTTTGCATGGATACCTTCTTTGCTATAAAATCATAGGATAGAGTAGAGCAGGCGCAGCTGGCGATTGAGCAATCATCAGACGAATTGAATTTTTAAGACGAGAGTCCTTTCGGTTTCTCGGAAGCGCGAGGTAGTTTTTATTAGAAAGGCGAATTCTTTTCTACTCCTTCGAGGTAAGTGAACACATTAGCTCACATTTTCCGTTATCTTACGAGTTTAAGGCCGAGATATATATATAGTTAAGGTGTCTGGGGCGACTTCGTCTACTGTGGTTTTTACCTTAATTATCCGCGGGAAGGGAAAGTTTAAAAATGAAGAATGCTCTCATTTCATTTTTTGTGTGGCGAATTTCCATATAGTGTTATTCAAGTACGTAGATTTCCTGTAGGTACTGTTGCCTGTTGCAAGCGTTTAGATATTGGGAACGGCGCGAAGAAGAAAACCGAAATGTAAGAAAAGGGGAAAGAGGTCCGAGTAAAATATATGAAATATTGTTGGTTTTCACATGACGCCACTAAAATTCAAACAACAAAACTATCGATGTTTTACTTTCACGATGTATTAGAACAGCTGAAAACTAATTTTCACTTCAAAAGGGTTGTTGGTTTTTGTGATAGAGTACGCTTGAATTTCTAAGCTTTTGCGCGACGCAGCATTAACATGACGGCCCAGAAAGCTTTCTTGTGGGTTAGACAAATTACTTATTTTAGGGAATTTTGATCTCTAAACAGTTCATATATTAGAAAAAGTATTACTTTAATGTTTATGTGTTCCTCAAAGAATAAATTCACGCTTTTGTAGCAAAACTCGGTAACAGATGTTTCTGTTGGTTTCCGTTCGTCATGTTGGTGCTCATCCGGATGGGCACCAGCATGGCGTCTCCATACAAATCTCTATTTCGTATACGAAATATTCCTCTGACCCGAATCTTGACGAGGGTCTTTGCATATTTATCTCCTTTCATTTCCCAGATTCTGGATTTTATCTATTGAACGGTTTTGATTTTTATTAGATCTATTTTGAATGGCGTGACACTGAAAACTAGCAATAGTGATTGTAGGGTCATTGTAGCTTCACTGAAACAAAATACAGCTGGAAAGAAGGAAAGGGACCCTACAACAAAAAAGACAAAGATAACATTACTTTTAGTAGCCCGGGGGGGGGGGGGAGAATACTCCCTATAATGCCCTATACGGGAAGGCTCCGCCCGAAAGGGGTAATACGATAACCTGCGATCAGGCTTTCACTAGTTAAGGAAATTCGTCATTTCGGTCTGCAAAATGACCTAAAAAGGCTGCATAAGGATTTTAAGGCTGTGAAAAAGTAGAGAAAATTATCTAGGTTTGTGATTTATTCCTATTTAAAATAAAGTGCATTTACAGCAGTTAAAAGGCCGACCCAAACAAGGTATGTGAAAGGGGCTCCATGAATGAAAGGTACATGAAAGGGGTAACTTTTCAGTCAAAAATGGTATATGAAAGGAAGAGGGACTGGACCTCGGCGCGGAGCCTCCCAGTATGAAACCCTTCATGCGACTCAAGGCGAACTGATGTCACGCTTTCTCAAGCACAGTACTTGGTACATTCTGTTTAACATTCGAGGTTCCTATCCAAACCGGTCCTCTGAGGTGCAAATTTTTTAAGTATTCCAAAAAAAACTAGACTGTTCACAGTCCCCCATTTTTCCTTAAGACCGTCGACATCGAGCGCTTTGCGTTACTAGCGGCCATCTTGGTTTCATATTTACCGAGGGGGTGGGCGTCAAGGTTTATCGTCCCCCGCCCCCTAAGTGCATTTGACACCGACTTCCGGGCAGCCTCGTTCCCAGGGTCCTCTCCTACTCGGGAACGAGGTTGAATTCCGGGTTCTTGAACTGAAATCTTCCTTTCAATCTTTTAACTACAAGTTCACTCTTCGCAGGCAAGAAGCGTCTGGGTAAGTTCAAGCTATAGAAAAACCTTGCATACTTTATCCATATATTCTTTTTACGGTAATACCCCCCATTATGGCTCTTGGTAGTACTCTTGTGCTTCGGTTCTGATATTTTTACCGGTGTATTATTCAGGTGATTATTAGGGAGTTTACGCAACGATGACGACGACAGCAACAAAGGACGGCGAAAAGTCAATAGTTTTAGACCAGCAAAGCAACAACTTTGTACGTGCAGCACGCTTTTTTGTACAGGCTCTGCCGTCGTTGCACGACTACAACGGGAAACTGCCTAAGTTCACGTTTGGTCGAGGACGGGAACAAAAGAAAACAACTTTTCTTTTCTTTTCCTTAACTTTGAGGCAGTCGTTTAGAATTCAACAGCACTCCAAAAACATCTGCGAACATCTGACGAATTTAACGAGATGGAATAAGCGCGATAAAGTTTGAGGCAGCGCAAATTCACTTTTTAAGTGACGTTTTCGTAGCCGCCGCCTTCGTCGTTGCGTAAACTCCCTATTCTTTCCTGCTACCCACGATCACTGATTTTGTTCAGTATTGAACTTTTTATCCTTAATCAAGATCCTTATATGTCCGTGTTCGCTCAATCTACCTAGATTGTTGTCGTAAAGATCGCGGACCTTCGAAGAGTTGAGTTGTGTCCTGATTATAATCGATGAGATGGCTAAACTTTCTTTTATTGGAATTGCTGGCGATAGTTAGGTAGCAATTGTACGAAAACCTTGCATTTATTAGTTGACTTCCTTTGTGTTCCTGTCTAGAAAGAACTGATGTAAACAGTTTGTTAGTTGATGAATTTTTATTGAAATCGAGCAAGTTGCTTTTTTCTACTGTGGTAATATAAATACAAGAATACGGCCTAACAGTTTAATTTCGCGAACACCGATATTTGCGTTTGTCGGAGTCAAATGCAAATCAATAGTGGATTTCATCGGCATTGGGACTGATTAGTTTGTAGCAACCTTTTCGGCGTTCAGCAATATACCCTTCGAATCCTTTCCGTACGAGAAACGTTTCATGGCTAGTTACAGTACTTTCAACGGGTTCGAGTACAACCTGCAGTCTTTATATATAGTTTTGTAGGTAATGATTGAAATTAGCAATGCAAACGATAAACCGGTTCAACGCTTCCTTGGGTATTTTTTGCGGTCCGTTGAAAAATCCGCAAAGTTGGCGAAAGTTTATATGCGGATGTTCGTCGATTGTAGCCTGCGTGCAGACATCCCATTTTTTTTGTTTCTTTGTCACATTTCTTTGTTAGGAGACGTCTGAACGCAAGCTACGGTAATCATATGGTGACTTGGGAAAAGAGAATTGGAAACTAAGGCCCGTTTCAAACGTCGTGCTACTGCCGTGCGGCAGTTAATTATAATTTACTATAAAGTTCTGAAACTTTCGAAAATCTGCGATAAAACTAGAAATCTAGAATCGCCAGCCTTTCTCGAGCTATGGAAATTTTGAGTCAATATTTGGTTCTTCGAACAGATATTTTGAAGAAAACAGTCCTTGAGTGCACCTGTCTTAAAGGGAAAACACCGTATTGTCAAAACTCGATAATGAATGCATCATAATCCGCCATCCTAAAACAAATTCAAACAGTCTTTATTTCGCTTTGCATTTAAGTCTGTTTGCATGGATACATTCGTTGCTATAAAATCATAGGATAGAGTAGAGCAGGCGCTGCTGGCGATTGAGCAATAATCAGACGGCGATTTTGTAATTTTGTTACCGTTTCTCGGAAAGGGTGGGATTCATTAATAATTATTGAATTTTTAAGGCGAGAGTCCTTTCGGTTTCTAGGAAGCGCGAGGTAGTTTTTATTACAAAGGCGAGATTTGTTTCTACTCCGTCCATCGAGGTAAGTAAACACATTAGCTCGCATTTCCCTTTATCTTACGAGTTTAAGGCCGAGATATGTATGTAAGGGTGCATTTGGCGGATTTCGGAAAGGTTTTATAGCTGTAGGGCACTCTACGATGCTTTTGCTTTGACTCGGGTGCAGTGCATTCAGATCAGTTACTTCTTCCTCTTTTAGTATCTATCGTATAAAACAGCACTAGGAGTTGCTAACCAACCGATATCATGCCAACAACCAGGCTACTGTAAAGTCAACTAAGGAATATCTACGGAGGCCGAAAAACTCTTCAAAACTAGCACTACAGTAGCTTGTTAATTTTTTTACTCAGCTCCAAACCACAGCTGCAGCATGTAACACTGCACGCGGAGCATTTTTAAAAGTGATGGAACCAGTGACCACCTCTTTTGAAGTGTGCGTATGTGTGTGTGTGGGATTAGGGATTTGGCTGTTCTCTCTTTGTGGCTGTTTAAAACTGTCAGATTACTGAACCTTTCTTGAATCATTATTGAGCGAAGCCATGCATGTTTATAAATTTCAAGTCGCTGAAAAGGATCTTTCTCCCGCAGCGCCTGATTGCACAGCAAGGATTCAGATCATGATCTTCTCAGGTTCCTGTAACTCATTCATTTTGTCTAGAATGTCATCGAAACATGTATCACAACCATTGATCAAAACTTTTTATTGAGCTTTAAAATGCGTCAGAAACCACATCCTCAGCCGATTTGATTCGTTTTAAGAAACCGTAGTTCCGTGGAGTAGTCTTAACTTCTTCGTAGTTCTTAACTCAAAGACTCCATTCCAGCTACATCGTTGCATATGTACATAGCCTTGCTGGTTTGAAAACGCAGAAGTCTATTTGTAAAGAGAGGCGTTTTGAGCCTTACTGCGCATCAAATATAGAATGGAAACGGACCAATAATAAATTAAGATGCTGGAAGATTCTCATTCCAGGAAAGATAGTTTTGATATGAAAATGTATATTACAGTGGAACTTGTATATAACGAACCTCTATATAACGAAGTCCTCAGTACAACGATCAACTATTTTTTAACCCGCCCAAAAATAGTAAAAAATATGGGAATATCAAAAAGAACCTCGATATAAGTTAACAAACCTCGTTATAACAAACATATTTTGTCAGTCCCTTGGCCCTTTGTTATATCGAGGTTCCACTGTACTTAATTTGATTTCTTCATTTTTCAAAAAGTGGAGGCCAACAGAAAAATGTTTTTGATTGATTTCTTTTCTTAATCCCGCCACCAACTTGTCAATTGTTTAAGGTTTTTAAGAAAAATTCACAATGCTGCCGATATATTGGGTCTTCATAGCTCAGTTGATAGAGCACTGCTGCGCTAAAGCAGAGGACATAGTTTAAAATCCCGTTGAAACCCTCAAATTTTGGGGGATTAATTTGCAGTTGCTCAAAAAATATATTACAACTGCGAAGCACTTTTTTGTTATCCTCAAGCATAGGTCTTGTCTTATTGCCTTCATTCATAACTAGACTGTTTCAACATTTTTTACTTAAACAAGTATGAAACTTGTTAAGTCGTTTAAGAATTTTCCAAATTAATTGAATTAAAATGAAAAACTATTTTTTTGCCGGAATAAAACACGTCACTTAGTCAAAACATTCTTTAAACGTTTTAATTTTTTATCGGCAATGTTTACAAATATTTCGGAGATTTTGTCAAGTGCAATTAAATTACGATTAATTTTTGTTGCAAATTCAGCTGCTGCCAGTAAACACCGTCAGGCTAAATTTCGTCGCTTTCTTGGTACAACTCCGGTCCTTTACCGTAACCACATGACAGTCACGACCGTGTCGCGAAACGAGTCGTCAAGATAAGAAGGAAGCCAATCAAAAAGTGCGAAAATTGCTTTCCACTGATTTGCTAAATACCAATCTCGTTTGTGAAAGCGGTACAAACTGTCTCAAATAACAATATTGAGAACAAGTAAAATGTTGTGAGTCTTAAAACAAGGTAGACAAGGTATGCATATTATTATATAAACAGCAATGAAATACCACGTGAGCTTTCACGCAAACACATGATACCGTAAAATTCCGAAAATAAGCCCCTCCATGTATAAGCTCCTCCAAATATAAGGCCCCCAAACCGGTAACGCAAGAAACCCTCCGTTAAATAGCCCCTCCAAATATAAGCCCCCTGGGGGCTTGTAATTGGAAAATTTCCCTCAAATACAAAGTAAAACAAAGCAAAAACGGTAAATTTACTTGCAAATATAAGGCCAGCCCAATCGATTTTGAAACGCAAATTTCCCTCCGTAAATAAGTCCCTCCGAATGTAAGCGCCTCCAAAAATAAGCCCCTCAAAGAGGGCCTTTGAAAAATATAAGCCCCGGGGCTTATTTTCGGAATTTTACGGTATCTTCACATGTGAAAAGATCACCGTTGCTATGGCTACATAAGGAAGTTTAAACAACGACATGTTTGAGCGACGCACGTCAACCGGAAGTGGACTTTTTGCAATTTTGGGCTGTGATGTTGAACAAATTTTCTAGAAGATCGTCTCTTTCAGAGTAAAGACAGTTAGCAATACAAATTTGGTAGCATCAAGGCATATTTAAAGGGTAAAGGACTCACTTCCGGTTGACTTGCGTCGCTCAAACATGGCGTTGCTTAAAACTCCCTAATAATTCGCGCCTTTTGCAGCAAAAAAACTGTGTAATTGAAATGGTTAGGCATTTCGTTGGTGTTTATGACAATAAATAGAACATTACATAGCTGCCGCTTAGATACAAAATTTTTCTTCTCGTTCAACCACAAAGAGAAATTTAGTATCTCCGCGCGGCCATGTAATATCCTGTATGACTGTGTTTTTTCGGTGTTTCTAGTATGGGTGCAGTTGAGGCAAGACCAAGCAGAATTTGTTCACCTCTTAGGGGGATCTCAGGTGCCATCCAACCTGATGTGAGATATGGTTCAGACACATACGCTCGACAAGTCTATTGGATGGCTGAAGATGGTGCACTGCGTAGCCCCGCGGATCTTGAAAATTTTCTAATGCTCCCGGACTGGTACAACACGATCAACGATAAACTTACCGAGAACAACTATCATGTTAAGGAGTTTAAAGATCGGGTACAGCTGGTAGTCTGCCTAGGGGACACAGACCTTTTCTTTGAGACGTTCTTCAAGGGTAAATTCGACTTTGATGCCATTAAAAACGAACTTCACGAGATGGATGAACACATACGTATTGAAATGAGAAGAGGAGGTGATATAGAAGACGCGTTCAACCAGGAAGCCCGTAGATTGGAGGCTCTGCGCCTAAGTGCAGCTAGCGGAGATGGAGCGTTACCAGTCAGCATATTTTTTTCGCAAGGAAACAGATCATTCAACAACTTTGTTGGCAGGGGTTTGGCTAGATTCGGCGGCTTTGGAGAAGGCTGGATTCTTCATTCTGGCCTCGACGTTGGAGGTTTGAGGGTGGAGTGGGGCGTAGGTCCATGTTCACCATCCCTTGTGTATCCTGGCTACAGCGTGCGCGCAATCCTGGCCAAGATTATAGTGGAGAAAAAATCCCTATTTCGACGATTTATTGAGGGGATTCTCCATCCCATCTCGACCTTGATCGAGTGGTATTGTCGTCTCAAAGAATTCTTTCTCTATTTTCTTGGGTATGCCAACCACACCTCGCTTTACAAAATCGCTGAAGTGTGCACCACTTACAACCGCAGCAAATTCTGGGGCCCGTTCGGCTGCAACTGTCAGGATTTTGTCAAAGAAGTTCTTGATCGCTTGAACCTCAGATTTGCCCCAAAGGGTGAAATGAAAGCTTTCATCGATCGCATCAACCGAGGTGACTACGACCTGAGCATTGTTGGTCCCAACGGTCTGCAAACCGTCTTCACGAGCGTCCGTGACCTCGATAAATTCGCAGATGATCATTGGAAAGTCTTGCCTCCTTGGTCAAAGTACCTTTTGTGCACTTACAACAGCATATTCTCAGAACGAGCCAGTAATGCGGCAGCAACCACTGACAATCCTTGGTTACGCTCTGCTCTCAACAGGGATGAGGTTCATCAGGTCTGGAGGAACCGCGTACAAGAAGTTCTTCGCCTTGTTAAGAACTGACTAAGTAAAGAGTCCTTGTAGAATTAGGGAGAAAACAAATTTTAAAAAAGTAGGCATTTGAACTTAACAAAGGACTTGTGTTCCATTTTTTGCTTACTTATGAATGCATTTTCGTAGACGAACTTAGCGCTACATCATCTATACCGTCCACTATATATGGACTTCATATCGGTTTTGGGATACACGCGATTTGGAACCCCCCGAAAAAAAATTCTTCAGAAAACGTTTTTTCATTAATTATGGTTTTAGATTAATGATGAACTTTTAACCTGACGTAGATATATCTTTCGCTAGGAGGTCCCCAGATCCCTTTCTCTTATTTCAATAGCACTTATGAAAGTTAAATGCTTTAAGCATTTTTTGCTACTTAAAAATATTTCTCTTTTGCTTTCTGGAGTGGACTACGTCACCTGATTAGCCACGCCCAATTTCGAACCAAATTCACAGCCTTATTGACTGAATTTATTGTTCAATATGCCGTGAAAGCTCCGATTGTAGACATACTGTCCGATCATTCTTCCACTTGCCGTAACTTTATCAAGAAGAAAAAACAGCACATAGTCGAGGCTGTGAGGATTTTTCTATAGTTTTCCTCTTTAATTTGACGTAGCGAGATGATTTTTCGGCTCAAAACACAGTCAGCATATCGAGTCTCTCCAGGCTCCACACATGATATGTTTCAAATTCCGAAAGTCTTTACGCTATTGTTGTAGACGCACATTTTTTAGTTTCTATTTCAACTTTCACAACTCTCTTTTATTTTATTTTTATTTCACCGCACTCTCAAAACGACAACACAAACGTGACGTCGGGTTATTCGGTAGAGCTATAGTCGCATTGAGGACCACTTCAAACGAAGGATGACAAAAATGTCAGAGCGAGGTGCGACAGAAGACCCGGTTCAACTGAGAGTCATTAAGTGAATTAAAGAAAAGGTTAATTAAACAACAACAAAAAAAAAGTGGTACGCTCGGTTTAGTGCAGGAAACGTCACGACTATGGTTTCAGTTTTTCGCAACTGGGTTTTAACTAAAGTTAGCAAACATCTTAAGAAACTAATTTTGGTTTAAGAAGTTCGTTATCAGAAAAGTCATTACCTCCTAAATACGTGTTTGCAGCTGCGATATCGAAATAATAGTTCTTTTGAGTAAGGTGCTTTCTTTGTCTTTGTGGCACGTTCGCTCGCACGTCTACTCCGAAGTTCATGCATAATGATTAGTCTTTCTGATCTCCTTAAAATCTTGTTTAAGCTAAACGTGTATAACCTTAACTCCTTTAAGTTCTTTGTTCTCAGTTATATCATTCTCAGCCTAGCCTACGTGGCAGGCGTTAAAAGAGCAAGGGGAAGGGGGAATTTGGGCACGTGAGATCGTGTCCTAACTCCCTTCCCCTTCCCTTTCGAACGCCTGCCACGCAGGCTAGTCTCAGCCAAATTTCACTTACTTTTCCAGCTGTAAACTGGACTCTGTTTCAACAGAATCCTATGAAAACTTAGTTACTTCACAACTAACGGTTAATTTTGAGTGGATACTTGTATCCGAATCTGGTCATAAAGTTATCGCTATTTTTTTTTTTTTACAAATTCCGCCATGTGTAGCCTTACTTAGCTGAATTTCAATTTCTTTTGTTGGCAAACTCACATCACCTGCAGACATCTATTTTGAGCATAAGAATGCTATTGACCCTTTTTAAAAACCAATTAACTTAATAGTTTAGTATAAATACGACCACTTTGTAAGCTTAACTTCACTTAGACTCACTCAGAAACTTAGCTGTGTGTTTGCTGGAGTACTAAGAAGCTCAGTTATAAACCGCGTTTACTCAACTTCTTCTGTTCTTAGTCGTCCTACAAAATCTGTACTCCGACATTATAGCCATAACCTATATTTCGGCTTTGGGCTTAACCTGTTAGAGCGGTTTTCACTTGACTGTCGTAAAACCAAAACCAAAGTAAATACACTAGCCAACCAAAGGGCGTAGTAAAACCAAAACCAAAACCAAAACCAATCCCTTTCGACAGTCAAGTGAAAACCGCTCTAAGTCGCATGGGTGACCAACATCAGATTTCCCTTATCGCCCCGTATAATTAAGGGAATCTGGCCCCCGAATCCGGGAAGTTTTTGCTCGTGGAATCTAGAATACAGAAAATGTTTTCCCATGGAATCCAAAATCCTGGGCTTTGGACTCCGGAACACAACTCTAGGAATCTGGAGCCCACTGACGATTGGAATCCGGAATCCAGTAGCTGGAATCCGGAATCCACTGGTGTGGAATTTAGAATCCAAGACTGTCTTGGATTCCCTGTGGCGTCCCCTGCATAATCAAGAGAAAAAACTATGAAAATTAATGAAATGATCGCCTAAGGGAAAGTGCTTTGCCGTCTTTCATGGCAACATATCTCAACCAAATCCTGTGCAGATCGGTCTGGAGAATGAATGTGTGTGGATATTAGGGCTTAAAGGATTAGCACTGAGAGGATGACGACGTCACGGTCTTTCCCGGAAATGTTTTTGTACCGGTGGCAGCATGCAGTGAAGCATTAGGGTTCAGGGTGACTGACTGCAATAAATAATAGGTCATTTTCGAGTTCCAAATCTCTCTCTTTCGAAACGAAGCTAAGTGGAAAATCTTTCAAGTGAAAATGAGTTTTATTTGCACGAGAATAAAAAGTCGTTTTCATAGCAATGGCTTCGCACTCATTTAGCCTCGCTTTAAAACGGAGGCTTAAGGCAACTCGGAAATGGCCTAGCATTGACAATTTTGCCATTTGTTTGATAAAAGAAAGAAATGTTTTGACGCTTCCTTGCATGCTTTCACGGGGACTGTTCCCTTGACTGTCCGCATAAAACAAAGACGTTCCGGTTCCGAGTAAGTGACTGTCGCAAACTTGTTTGTTTCTGGAAAAGGTGCTCAGAGAAGAGTTGCTTTCATCAGGACCCGCGGAGTAGTTTTCAAAGTCCGGGGGCCGATCACCTCTTGAAGTGTAGTAAAGTGTGTAAAGTGTAGTGTGTAAAAACCCATAAAACGGCCATAAATCGGCCCGTGGACCACACGGGAAAGACATAACACACATTTTAAGTAAGATAAGCTGTTTTTTTTATTGAAATCCTTTCATTTTCGTTGGTTACGGAAATGATAGGTTTTTTTCCCATACAAATCCTTATATTTTGAATGTTACGCAACAATGCCGATGCTCGCCGATGCTCATATTTCGAGGTTGGGCTACCTGTGGTATTTCTTAATTTTTTTTTCAAAAAGTGGGGAGGCCCTGAACCCCTCCCCCCCCAAGCCCCTCCCCCAAGCCCCTTCCCCTGCGCGGGCCCTGTTCATCTGTACGGCGACAGTCGTTGGCCTCTACAAGGTAAGTACTCTTACATTTTACGTTAAAACTTACGACTGTTATCAGAGATAGGACATGGATCATAGCTGTAAAACTCAGTGATTTCAGATCTCACCAACTCAAGCTCGATTCTGAATTCTTATGGGCAGAAAATTTGTTTCTAACTGTTATTTCTTTATGTCCAAAACATGCTTTTTTGAAACGTTCTGTGCCATTGAATGTTGCAAAAGCTGCCATAAATAGATCGATAATTTTAAATTTATTAGCTAAATGCTACAGTTATTTCGTGCCCCATTTCAATCATAGGATCTTCATGCTCTTGTCGACCTTCTTGTTCAAGTAAACTAACCATTGTTACACCCTTTTGGCTAAATTTACTCTCGTTTTACCGGAGTATAACTAAGTGAGTTAAATTTTCTGAATGCAAATAAGACCTCTAAAATTCATGTTCCACGGAAAACTAATAGTTATCAGTCTGCTCTGGTTGGTAGTAGTATTTGTTTTCAACTTGCGGGGCAGTTCAAGATTTATTGTAAACTTCTGAAATTTTCGAGAATCTGCGATAAAACTGGAAATCAAGAAATGTTCAGCTTTTCTCGAGCTTTGGAAATTTTGAGTCAATATTTGGTTCTTCGAACAGATATTTTGAAGAAAGCAGTCGTTGAGTGCACCTGCGTTAACGGGAAAACACCGTATTGTCAAAACTCCATAATAAATGTTTTGAAGCCACAGTGAGTTTAGCGCTGCATCATGGACTGCCATCCCAAAACAAATTCAAACCGTCCTCTGAGTTTATTTCGTTCTGCATTTTTAAGTCTGTTTGCATGGATACATTCGTCGCTATAAAATCATAGGATAGAGTAGAGCAGGCGCAGCTGGCGATTGAACAATCATCAGACGATGATTTTGTAATTTTGTTGCCGTTTCTCGGAAAGGGCGGGATTCATTAATATTGAATTTTTAAGACTAGCGTCCTTTCGGTTTCTCGAAAGCGCGAGGTAGTTTTCAGTATTAGAAAGGCGAGATTCGTTTCTACTCCGTCCAGGTAAGTAAACACATTTTCCGTTATCTTAGTTTAAGGTTGATATATATCTAAGAGTGCTTTTGGCGGATTTCGGAATAGTTTTAAAGCTGTAAGGCGCTCTATGATGCTATTGCTTCAACTCGGGTGCGGTGCATTCAAATCAACTGCTTCTTCCTCTTTTAGTATCTATAGTCAATAAAACAGCACTGAGGTGTTACTAATCAACACGATATCGTACCATCAGCCAGGCTAGTGTAAAGTCAACTGAGGAATATCTATGGAGGCCGAAAAACTCTTCAAAACTAGCTTGTTAATTTTTGTGGCTTACTGCCTCTTAGAGGCAATAAGCCATAATGCTATCGAGTTGAGTGCCTGATTGAGAGAGTGTAAAAATAGTGTAACAATCTGCGATAAAACTGGAAATCTAAAAATGTTCAGCCTTTCTCGAGCTGTGGAAATTTTGAGTCAATATTTGGTTCTTCGAACAGACATTTTGAAGAAAACGGTCGTTGAGTGCACCTGTTTTAAAGGGAAAACACTCTATTATCAAAACTCCATAATAAATGTTTTAAAGTCACAGTGAATTTAGCGTTGCATCATAGACTGCCACCCCAAAACAAATTCAAACCGTCTTTATTTCGCTCTGTATTTTAGTCTGTTTGCATGGATACATTCGTTGCTCTAAAATCATAGGATAGAGTAGAGCAGGCGCTGCTGGCGATTGACCAATAATCAGACGATGATTATGATTCGTTATAATTGAATTTGTAAGACGAGAGTTCTTTCGGTTTCTCGGAAGGGCGAGGTAGTTTTCAGTATTAGAAAGGCGAGATTCGTTTCTATTCCGTCCAGGTAAGTAACACATTCTCGGTTATCTTAGTTTAAGGTAGCTCATACAGTTTTTCAGGGTCATTACCTCCCAAGTTTGGGCATAAACTACATCGCCATAAACAAAGATTTGGAAAAATTGCCACCACAATTATATTAGATAAAGATGAAAATTGTTCTGATCAGGGTTGCAATGACGTCGGAGTTGTCATAGCAACGAAGTGACGCTATTACCTATTTTACTTGCAGCAGTATTTCTCGGCACTGGGAACTGTTCTCCAAAATCGTTTACGGCCCTTTTTCCTGCAATAGCTTCCTCGATGTTCGCGAAGTTTAAGCGAAATCTGTAAGAGCGTTATCGAGATATTTTGGGATGAAGTTTTTATGGTTAGAAATACGGTAAAAAATGGACAATCTTGATGTTTGGCCGTTATCTGTAGAAAGCGAAGCGCTGATTTGACATGCAATTTCACCTCATAGTAGGTGCTTTTAAAAAAAGTGTGTAAAAGATCATGAATAATTGTTATATAAACAGGAATAAAACATCAGGTGAGCTTTCGTGCGAAAACATGATATCTCCACATGTGAATAGATCACCGAGGGTAGTGGGTAGAAGTCGTGGGTGTGGGTAATGGGTCGTGGGTCGTGGGTGTGGGTAGTAGGTGTGGGTCGTAGGTGTGGGTGAATGTCGTGGGTAAAAAAAAGTATAGAAAGAAAAAAAAAATAGTACAAAAAGTTGTAAAAATTCATGACACGAAAATGTCCTCGTACACACCAGTCCCTTTTCTCTTTCCAGCTGTCAGCAAAGCAATTAAGCGAATCTTTAGAGCAAACGGACAGTAAGAGGGCATTTAGGCGAAAAAGTAACACGTGTAGACACCTGAAACAGGCTAAACGAAACATCGGGGACTGAACTGCTCTTTCTTAAAGATGACAACATTCGAGATTGAAATGTCTTTTCATTTTAAGGAAGTCAGTCATATTCAATCATAACAGCAAAGATTTTTTACACAAAACAAAACAAAACAAATCCATTTCCGTGCACGTCGTCAGTACATTTGTTAGGGACCGGTCATTATTTATCACCTGGGGGGGTCGGAGGATTTTGGGGGGGATCACTTGATTTTTAGGAGAACAGAGGGGGGATCAGTCGTAACTGAGAGCCCAAAAGGGGGGGATCACTGAAAATTTTGGAAGGATTCAGAGGGAGGACCACTCAAATCTGCTTCTACCATTACTATCGACAGAGAAGTCCAGGCAACGGGAATGAGTTGTCCAGCAGTGAGGAAGAGAGTGAAGAATCAGATACGGAGTTAGATGACGACGAGGATAGCGAAGTTGATCTTGTCATTGCTGATCTCGATGAACAGTCAACTGTTCGTATGCCAGTTTTAACTTTTGTACCAGACGACCAAATAGCTGAAGTTACTGTACAAGCAAACACTGGATGAAAAAAAAAGGAAAACAAAAAGAAAACAAACAAAAAAACGAACAAAAAAAAATTATAAAAATGTGAGCAAAGCTACAAAGGCTGATCCATTACACTATAGATGACAATGAAAAAGGAGACAGGAACAGTGGCCGATCCTAGCCCTTCCAGATGGCCGAATTGTCGCTAAATATGACCTGCTGATAGGGACTTGGCGGACTGCTATTTGGCACTCTAAAAAAAGTAACTTTGCAGTTTCAAGCACTGATTGCAGTTTCAAGCACTTTGCAGTTTTAAGCAAGATTGCTTGTATGTCAACTGAATTCAGATGTCTGGATCCAGACTAGAAAAAGACACGGATCAAGAGACACTTTTAAAAAAAGACTGCGCGATAACGGCTTTATTATGCTGTAAGTACATCATAGTTAGAAATACTACCTGTATATGACCGTTTAAAACACTAAATATATACGTCGAAAGGTGAATATGGGTACAAAGACATGGGGGGATCACGAAAGTTATATGTAGTTATGAGGGGGATCACTTCAATAAAATAACATTTAAAGGGGGATCGGCTAAATTTCATCGTGTTTAGCCCAAAATCCTCCGACCCCCGGCGATAAATAATGACCGGTCCCTTATTAAACCGCTGTGTTGGCAATTAACGATAAAAAATGTCTGGACAAAGCATTTGTTAGGGTGAAGTCATATGGCTATAAAAACGAAGAAAAACACTTCTTTCAGGCAACAAAAATTAATTTCGCGCCTTGACTTGAAAAGTTGAGCATGAAGGTGGTTTCCTCGTATGCCATAAAAGACAAACTTCTATAAGAGCAACCTTAATCCAGAAACAATGAAATGGCTCAAAATTGTCCTTTTTTCGGTGACCAGTCGTTTCACCAATGAGTCGTGTTACCAATGAGTCGTTTCGCTAACATGTCAGGTCAAACAAACTGGTGCTTGACTCGCTTAAAATGTTCTGAGACTATAGTCGATCACTCGAAATCCAGAAATTATCAGCCGAAGAATTTCACAAGCAAAAAGGTCAAAGCAAAACTGGCGAAAAAAACTTACCCCAAAGTCTAGCCTGTGTACAGCCGCCCCCTCCCCTCAAACAAAGTCGGGGAAAGAGAACTCTTCCCGATTGTTTTTGTTTATTTGTTTGTTTTCTGGTTTTTTTTTAGGGCAGGGGGCGGTCAATGGTCGATCTTTATTAATCCAGTCTCTTTGCGTTTACTTGCAGATTATATTTTCAGTGAGTGCTTCCCCTCCCCTTGCCTATTGTGATCGCATTCCTTAAAGCTAAAAGAAATCTCCACCGACCATTGGAATTGTAGAGTCTCAGTGAGTCGGATAGTGCAAATTTCATTATACCGATTTATCAGTCGACTGACTGAATAGGCGTTTCTCTTTCCTCTTCCCGCTTTAATGCTCACACCTGGTGCTTGACAAAAACAGCTGCACAGATGTTTTTCGTTCAGCCTGCTTTAGCACTGGTACGAACGCAGAGATCTTCCTTTCTTGAATTTTACTACGTTTTTTCTCTTTATTTTTTGTTCCTATACTTTTTTTAACAGCTAATGTTTTCATTTTATTCAAATACACTCTTTTCTTCAGGAATATGGGCTCCTTGTTTAGCAGTAGTGTTGCCAGATCCACTGATTACACATTCAATGCCGCCTCAGATGGTTCCGCCCAGGTGGGAAAAGGCTCCCAGAGAAGTGTTCAAGGGTTAGGAAACGGTGCGTCTGGAATAGGCACGGCCGCAACAGGATCTGGCTTATGGGGATCTAAGGTGCCATCCAACCTGATGTGAAGTATGGTTCAGACACATACGCTCGACGAGTCTATTGGATGGCTGAAAAGGGTGAACTGAGTAACCCCGAGGATCTTGAAAATTGCCTGAATCTTCCGGGCTGGTACCAAACGATCGATGATAAACTTACCAAGAACAACTATCATGTTGACGAGTTTAAAAGGCGAGTGCAGCTTGTAGTCTCCCTAGGGGATAAAGACCTTTTCTTTGAGACGTTCTTCAAAGGTAAATTCGATCTTGATGCCATTGAAAACGAGATTCACGAGCTGGATGAAGACTTGCATGTTGAAGGAGGAGATATAGCAGACGTGATCAACCAGGAAGCCCGTAGATTGGAGGCGCTGCGCGTACGTGCTGCTAACGGAGATGGAGAGTTACCAATAAGCATATTTTTTTCGCAAGGAAACGAAAACTTCAACAACTTTATTGGCAGGGGTTTTGCTAGACTCGGCGGCTTTGAAGAAGGCTGGGTTATTCACGCTGGCCTCGACGTTGGAGGTTTGAGGGTAGAGTGGGGCGTAGGTCCTTGTTCACCATCTCTTGTGTTTCCTCGCAGCAGCACGCGCGCAATCCTGGCCAAGATTATAGTGGAGAAACAATCCCTATTTCAACGATTTGTTGAGGGTATTCGCCATCCCATCTCGACCTTGATCGAGTGGTATTATCGTCTCAGAGAATTCTTTCTTCATATTCTTGGTCATGCCAATCAAACCTCGCTTTATAAAATTGCTGAAGTATGCACCAGTTACAACCGAAGTAAATTCTGGGGCCCGGTCGACTGCAACTGCCAGAAGTTTGTTATAGATGTTCTCAAGACCTTGAACCTCAAATTTTCTCCAGAGGGCGAAATGAAAGCTTTCATCGATCGCATCAACCAAGGTGACTACGATCTGAGCATTTCTGATCCCGACGGTCTGCAAACCGTCTTTAACAGCGTCCTTGAACTCGATGGATTCGCTGAGGATCATTGGAACCACTTGCCTCCTAGGTCAAAGTACCTTTTATGCACTTACAACAGCATATGCTCTGAACGAGCTCAAAATCACACGAGAGTTCATGGCAGGGATGCAGCTACCACTGAGAGTCCTTGGATACGTTCCGCTAGCAACAGGAGAGAGGTTGATCAGGTCTGGAGGAGCCGCGTGCAGGAAGTTATTCGCGTTATCAAGAACTAATTAAGCAAAGAGTCCCTAGAGTCAGGAAGAAATCGAAGTAGACATTTAACTGAATTCAACAAAGGATTAGTTTTCCGTTTTTGCGTATTTATGAATCTGTTTTCGTAGACGAGCTTAACGCTAGATTATCTATGCCGCCCACTACTGATATGAACTCCAAATCAGTTCTGGAAGAAACACGTATTTGGAACAACACGGAAGTATTATAAGAGATGATAATTTCATGGCAGTGAAGATGAAATGTGAAAACTTGTATAATTTTAATTTACGTTTATGTTATTGAACTCATAATCAGTAAAGATTCACCAAAAATTGATTAGTTGCACTGTTAAGACTTTTGACGGTTGTTCGTGGCAAGAGCCCGAGAGTTCGCGATTATTTTTTGGGAAGAAGTTTGATAATTGTTTAACTACTGGCGCGGGGAGCTCAGGTAGTGTGGACGTTGCTGGTTGATAGCTACAGGCGCTAAAAATAAAGAAATGCACATCTCGAAAGCGAGAAACTGCAATGGCGGATCGAGGGGGAGGATGTAAGTGGTCCGCCCCCCTCCCCCCTTACAAGAGGATTTTTATAGTACATGTACCTAACCAACTGTTCAGAAACAAAAAAGAAGTTGAATTTAAAAATAAACTCACCTTACACGTTGGGTTTCAACTGGACCAGGGGGCTTGTTTAAATCAGGACGAAATCTGGACAAAATTATTTTATCACCTAACACAAGTGGTGAATGTTTTAAACATAACCGTGTCCTTTACTAGCACATTAGACACCTAGACCAGTACTCACGAGGGCGACCGCGTGGATGAGATTTAACTCAATTTTTTTTCGCTTATTTAAACAACAACAAAAATAGACGCCGCGTGGAGATTCACTGTCGTCACTGTTTAAAACACTGTAGACACCTGTCTGTAATCGCGTGAAAGAGCGGAAATTATTAGCTTTAATAGTGTGTATTACTTGATTTCTGGATCAGCCCCCGGATGGATAATATGTTATTGCTTCCTGATGGATGTGAACTTTAGAAAGGATGACCTGGAAGAGTGTAATGCAGTTGATGTCATGTACTGAAAATGGTTATAATATTGTGTCAACTGCATTGTACAATTGGCGTAGCCTGCGTAGCAAGCGTTTCCAGTCGAGTTATAGCGCGAAATTTGGAGCGGGAGCAAAAAAAAAATGGAAGGGGGAGGGTGAAGGCTCATCCTGAATCATGAAATCATGAAAATCATCCTGTTTCCTTGAAGATATACGCTTCCCTTTTGATTGCAAACAGCAAATCAATACTAAACATTAAAAGCAGAAGACATCCCACGTAATTGTATTTAAAAAGAAGTCCGTACAAAGTTATTTTAGGTGGAATCCGTGCTAAACACTCTGCAAGTTCACTGAAAGTCTTCATTTGCAATTTTTGTTTACCCTCCAACGCCTCGCTTTCATGACTAGGCCCCAGTTTTTTCCCGCGTGTCTGCCATTTGTGAATACGGTGTATGGGATAGGAAAACTTTCTTCGCTCCCACACTGCTTTGGACTGCTTTGCTCCAAAACTTAGTCCTTTCAACAGTTTGTCGTTGGGCGTTTTTGAGGAGAAATCAGTGCTTCGTATAAAAGATGACTCGTTCTTTTCGTCGAGAAGAACAGGCTGCCTTTGCTCGCGAAGCTTCAGTCGAGCCAAGCGCTGTGAGGTTATTCACAAGAGAATTCTTGTCATATGATGAACCAAGATCTGAGGGATATGATGAATACTTCGATCCGCCACTTGAAAGTAAATACGAATGTCCAATTTGTCTTCTTGGCCTGAGGGAACCAGTGCAAACGAGCTGCGGACACAGATTCTGCAGAGGCTGTATTCTGCGTTCTATAAGGTAAGCGTGGTGCTTATAGAACGGGGGATGACAACTCTTTAGCTGGCAAAACGTCCCAGAAAATGTTTTACTTCCATGAATTTAGAGATTTGTTGCTACGTGTCAATTACTTAACTTGTTAATTACCGGTATGTTTATCTAATTTTTTCGTTGAGGTGTAAATGTCGTGTATAAACTGTTATCAATGGATTTTTGTCAGTATCATGTTTAATAACACAGACAGACTGTTTAATCTTAAGAGTATGGTGAAGAGGGCATTGGGGTTTACCGTATTGCTGTATTTTTAATGGGCTGTGGTGTAGTCATGAGACAAGGAGATACTCACGCTTTCATTGCTTTCTACATAATGTCCTTTATTAACTGAACCACTATCTTTATAGTACAAATCATAATCTACTTTCACTTAGTATCAGTACTTTTACATTCGTGCTGTATTACTTTAATATCACTTAGTGCATGTAGTTTCACTGATGCTGGTAATAGTACATAATCATTACTATGGTAATCAATACACTACATCCTTCCTGGGCGGGTTCTAAGAATATTCGAAAGATACATTCAACCAATCACAAGATCATATAAATCAGCAAAAATTAATGTCAATAATATACAAAAGTGTCACAGTCCTTAGTTAACTTTACAACTCGTCCTGACCTAGTGGTGATGACCTGTTCATTGTGAGAGGCTTGCTTGTCAACATGACCAGAAGGTTCAGTGTCGTCACAAGCATCAGAAACCTTAGCACTAGAGTCACTAGAATTGCTGGACTCCTTATAGTTGGTAGAAATTTCTACTTTGCCATCATCATCTATGCTCACACTAGGCGCATGCTTCAAGTAACCAAGGTGGTACCCGTGTCCACGTTGACTAGACTGAACGTGTCCCGCGCTTTGGTCTCAATGATAATGTGCTTAGCCAGAGAGAATTTCGAGCCCAATTTGTTGGGCTTCATATTAGCACAAAACACGACATTGCCAACGCTAAGATTATGTGGAGATGCATGTTGCTTGTTGACACATGATAGTCTTTCAATTTCGCTTGATACAAGCTACATTTTGATTGATGGTCACGATCAAGTGCCGATGCTGCTGTATTTGAGTTAGACTCAATGTGCAGTACCTTCGTACGAATTTCGTGATTCAACAACAGCATACGAGGCGATTTTCCACTAATTTGATGTGGACTTGTGCGATAAGTCATAAGAATTTTCGGTAGTTCCTTTTTCCAGGACTTGCCTTCAGAGATCACCGCTCGAAAATTTTTTTTCAGTATCGGTGAAATCTCTCCAACTTTCCGTTACTTCATGCATAGTATGGAGAAACACGAATATGCCTTATTCCACACCATTTGAGAAATGCTTCGAATTCTTCGCTGATGAACTGTTTTCCGTTGTCTGAAACGAGTTCCTCTGGAAACCCAAATCTAGCGAAAATATCAGTTAGGGCCTTAATGACTTCACGTGAAGTGATTTCTTTTAGGATGTACGCTTCCGGATAAGACGAATAATAATCAGTGTAGGTCAATATGAACTTTCCGTCGGCTGGACCAACGAGATCCACTGCGCCTTTTACTCAAGGACCACGAGGTAGAGGCGTTGGCTGAAGCGGCGTGTATTTATTTAAGGGTTCATTCACCACGCATGCTTGACAATTTTTGATCATTTCCTCTGTTGGATCGTCCATTCCGAGCCAGAAAAAACGAGTTCTAAGAAACTGTTTGGTCTTAACAATTCCCTGATGCATCTCGTGCGCTAGTGATAGAATTTGTTTTCGTAGAGACTGTGGAACAACAATTCGATTCCCTCTAAGAATTACTCCTTCAAAAATAGACAATTCGTCCTTTATGCGGCTATACGGTTCAAGATCAGTATCGCGTGACCATTTTCCGTTTTTAATTTGGGCAAGTAATTTAGACAGCATGACGTCTTTGCTGGTTTCGCATCTCATGTCAGAAAGAGTGACGGCTTGGAGATCTGACATATTTGACATGTAAACAAATCGTACATAATTTTCGCAAACGAAACCGGTATCTGAACAATCATTTTGCTTGTGATCCCCGAGAAGCATGCATGTGGTCGATCTGGATCGGGTTGTCTCGCGCTTCTTGCGCGGCCGTTTCTGCATTCCGCGCAATTCTCATGGTTTTTGCCAGGTCAAGGTCTTCTTGCTGGAGCAGTTTCCCCTTTAAGGTTTGGGAAGAGCACTTCTCCACAATTTGGTCCCGTATAATCTCCTCTTCCAAAGTGCCAAAGTCGCAGGATTGACCAATTTACCTTCTGAGTGTCAAATTTCAGTTGTAGTTTTATGTGACTTTTGACGACCCTTGCTGTAAACAAACCCCAAAAGTTCGGGCATCCATTCTCTGCCACATACTGTACGTGTACGAACTATGAGTGACTAATCCAAGGTCGTGTTAATTTATAAATGTTATTTCCCTTTCGCTGTTTGGAACTTGAAACATTTAAGGTTAAAAAATGTGTAAGAAGAAGAATAAGATTGATGTTAAGGTCAAGGGCATGGCAGAACTGCAGGAACAAGGAGTTTCCTGCCTCAACAACTCGAATTTCGAAAGAGGAAAAAACCGTGATGTAGGCAAATATCATAATACATACATAATTCACATTTCAAAATTCATGATCACACACTATTAATTTCCGGTTCATTTTCGCTATAAACAGGGCTTCTGATATTTCGTGCAGTCACGGAGCGGTGAAATTCAGGTAGATTGTAAATCCGCGAAATTCACAAAAACATGCAAAATACCGCGAAATTCGGTAGAAATCTTGTCAAATACATGTCTGTACAGCAATTTTGAAACTTGTCTAAGCTACTGGGGGTATTTACTTGCTGTAAACTTGCAAATTTATGTCAAAACTTGGTCACTGAAACGTGCAAACAACGTTCCGAAACTACCAGGCATAGATTATGTTGCAAAAAACTGGGCACTAGCCATGATGTTAAAGGCTTCGCCATTGGTTCATTTCTGGAGCATATTGTTGTTGAAAGAGCAATGATGACCTCTGTTAAAAATACATTAAAAATGTTGGTCTGATTAGCACAAAAGCGATCGATTTCTAGTGAAATTTGCCCTGAACAACCACAAAATCGGCTGTTTTTTACCGATTGCTTTCCAGCCAAGTTTGCCCCGAAAATTCCCGTGAAATCAGCCGATTTCTCCGCGATTTTGTCTCTAAAAATCCCACAAAATTTGACTTGTTTTCGCGACCTATCAGAAGCCCTGTATAAAGACCGTTGCCCATTGGTTGTTTGACATAATATTCTCAGTTGTATATTACGGCAAACAGGGACTCGCCACTTTTGATGCAGGTTATGTTGATTATTTACTAACTACTAAGTTGAATCAAGAGGCTGTTTACATATCTGTTGCAAAAACGGGAACAGGCTTCTGTGAACGTGTACCAAGGTTGTATATAATTGTGTATCTCTCTAGACAAACAGAGGCAGTGTACTTAGGTAAGATAAGCATAAGCCTACTTATACTTAAGCGTATAAAAGGCGGTCGAGACAAAAATGTAAGCACACTGAAGTATCATGAATCATAAGTGTGTCTGCATCATTAGTTTCATTTTTTCCAAGTTTAGATCGACTGGGGAAAACCTTTCTTTCAACTGCAGAGCAGATTTCCACGCGCTTGTCGCCAGAAACTCCATGTTGCTATGAATAAGTTTTCTGTTTTAGCATACTCAAGGCGGTTAAAGTCACTTCTGATCTTCTGCTTTGACATTTTGAACCTTAAACTATTTGATTTTCAAACCATGAAAGGGAAGGAAAATATATAAGTTAATGTGAACTTGAAATAGCGACTCGTAGTTTGTACAAGTACAGTATGTGGCAGAGAATGGATGTCCGAACTTTCAGGGTTTGTTTACGACAAAGGTCATCAAAAGTCGGGCATTCCTAGGCATTTTTTGTTTGTAAGCCGTGGTGGAGTATATTGAGGGGAGATACAATATTGTGACATGCTAAGGGGGTCCAGGGACTTGGCCTCCTTGAAAATTCTGAAAATTCAAGTACTCTGAGACGTAATCTGGTGCAATCTGGATGCTCCAATTAATTGGCAAATGCCAGGAATCCATATTGAACAAGAAATGATGGAATGTTTAACAAAATGCAGCCAGTTGTGGTTGTGGTCAACAACAGCAACAACGCAACAACCTGACTAGTAACACATTAATTTCAAACATAATTGTGGTGGAACTCAAAGAAATTCGAAAGCTAGACGTCTGTTCTTTTTAGTGCAAAATTCGCGAATCATGGCTTCTACATCAGTGGGTATGTTTCTGTAAGCATGCATCAGGGCAAGTGCTGCGAGTTGCTTTGCTTTCATTGTGGAACATAAGTATGTCTTCACTCTGTGCATTGTGCTAAAAGATCATTTGGGGGTAGCAGTTGACACTGGCATTGTTAGGAGGATGGTAATAATTGTGACCACATTGGGATAAAGGTCTGGATTAGCGTGCTGGAGTGTACTGTCTCTGTGACTGTCACTGGTTTTTCATCAGTTGAATGAGACCACTTTGTTTGCCACTTTAAAATTTTATTGTCAAATTCTCTCTTCTCTGAAAGATTGGTTTTGTAGGTTTCATGAAGCTTATTTTGTACTCCATTGTTGAAAGCATTCAGCTTTGCTGGAACAAGATATTGTCCTAAGAAAATGATTCTCTTGTGACAGAAGCTTGTCATTTAGTTCTTGTACTAGGTGATCGACCAAAGGAAAATACATGGTTCTTTGCCAGTACCTCTCTGGCTTTTCTGCAGGGATGTTCACTCTGTGTTGCTTACGTCCTGCTGAACATTCAAAGTATCGTTGGTTCAATGTCAACATCGGCTGCTAGCTGTTTTCCTCGCTCAGACAGCTCTTTCCAAACTGATGGATCATTTCTCTCTGTGTTCATGACATTTATCACCACACTTGCTTCTTTCACTGCTTCATTAAGATCTACATTCTTTCCTTGAAGCATCTTTGATGAAGAGACTGTGTTAGAAAGTTCATGTTCAGTAGCACAAAGGGCAAACAGCCGAGCTTTGCAAATCGTTTTAATACTTTTTAAAAGATATGTATATATAGATCACACCGTCCGAATCACTTGTAAGTCTATGCTTATTTGCTAAAGGCAGGTAGGCCCCTGAGAGTCACGTGAATTTACATGTGAAATTTGGCACCCAGAAGGTGAATTGTTGGCTGGTTAAGAAGAGAAATCGAGCAATAACATTTTTCCAATTCATATCAAATATTTCTAACACTTCACGATTGGAGTGACCATCTATTGCACTTCATTGAAAAATTATGAGGAAAATACAATTTTAAATGCCCAAATTTAATCTTGAATTAAATTTTAAACATCACGTACATTCATTCCAAACATAGAAAGTTAGGTGTGTTTATCCTCTTTCAGGAATGCCAATTTGTTTATCCAAGCAAAGTAATTTCGCCACCAATTTGCCAGTTTCCAGCATTTTCAATTTTTGGTCACATGACCATAATTAAACGTTAAGGCACAAGAAAACCTCAAGATTTCCTTTTGGGGAAAAATTAATTGCGAGAGATATTGCCAATCATTCATATGCTCCGAATACACTGTTGACTCACTGGCATTAGAGCTTTTGAGATTAATTTTAGTGACTGGGCTTTTCAATCATTGTACCCATAAATTAAAGGTTTTTTCATGTTTTCTTGCAATGGCTGAGATTGATTTCTGTTGCATACATGCTTGAGATAAACAAACACACGAGATGGATACTACTTTAATTTATCCTGTGAAAACATCCGTTTCTCCTCGCTCTTCATCGCTGGGAACTAAATTCGCATGGAGGGACGTCTGCGACTCAGCAACAGAGATTCCATACTGATGATGTAAAATCTGTCCGGAATCCGGTCAGAAGTGCTGATTGGTCGACGGAGCAGTTACATTGTTTTAGCTGTTGTTTACGAATGACAGACAAAAGACAAAAGGCCACAAAGGTCAAATGTACATGTAAACAAGAAGAATCTCTAACAAAACAGTCAATATTTGTGGAATATAGTCTTTTAAGAAGCAGTTGAGTTTTGCTGGAGCTCGTGGGCAGATCAACATGACAGTTTACCAAAATCGACCAGAAGACACGCAAAATTGGGCAAATTTATATTTGGAACGCCATGACTACTGGATTTGTTATGTAAGCATTGATTTGTGTCATCAGTATGGAATTTCTGTTGCTGAGTCACAGACGTTCCTCCATGCGAAACGTCCCCAACGACGAAGAGCGAGGAGAAACGGATGTTTTCGCAGGCTAACTTTAATTAAGCTTAACCAATCATAAATGTGGTATTGGTATTTCATCGATTTTCCACACGGCACTTCGGTATTTGCCAGTTTTTCAGATGGTATTGCAGTATTGGGTACCCTCCAATGTCCCTGTCAGTATGTAAAAGTGTGATATTTTTATCACCAACGAATCACTTGAGCGCCACAGGTGTGAGCCACTAGGGGGTCTGGGGCATGCTCTCCCAGAAAATTTTAAAATCTTGATGCTCTGAAATGCCATTTCTAGTGTTCTGAGGGGACAAATTTTGTCTAAAATGTTTGCTCAATCAACTGTTATTTTTATGCTTGTTTTTATTTGTGTGGCTTCGCGTTCAAGTACTCTATTTTATTTGGTCAACCAGTTTATCCTGACATGTCCACAGTTATCCAGGGTTGCTCTCATTGGGTACACTTGTTTGTTTGTATGTGACGCCTGAAAAATGTCATTTCTAAGGCCATCAAGGAATGATACATAAATTGGACCTGGAATGGGGCATTTACCAATTTTGCACGGTACGGGGTTTGGGCATTTGCCAACCCTGGGACCACCTACGAGCCTTTGGCCCGCACGTGGTTTCCTATCCAACATAACTAGTAAACATGGACGATTTTACTTCAAACACAAGCAGATTGGCAGATTGGCTCATCTGTCAAAGACATGAAAAATTGTAGAGGTCTTTAAAGGGCTGTTCTCTCAATTTTATGCATTCATTTTTTCATTGCTTATCAAGCCAGAACTTACATACAGCTGTGGCAAAATTGGGAGCTTTGGAAACGAATCAATGTATTTTTTTTGTTATTGAATTGGATTTCTGTTGATCTGGAATTCTAGTTGAATAAAATTTAGTGTTGATGATTCTAATAGTAGTGTGATACATATCTATTATTATTTGAAGAACTTCTTTCATATTATTTAAGTATTCAGAACAGATAACTTTACAGCACACTGTTGATTTTAATGTCAATTTTTACTAACAAACTATTTAAAACAAGATAAAGAACTACAAGATAAGAATCACGAAGTGGTGTCGTTACCCGTAAAGTCTTAATTTTTTAAATTAGAATAGTGCTATAACAAACGGTTGACCTCAACTGAAACAAAAAATCACTTTAAATAAAAAAAATTAATGCTTAAAATGGCACCACTCGAGCGTGCAAACAGTGACAACTGCTGCAGTGTTTACCCTGCTCACCCTTTTTCGTCCCCACTGGTGGGCATTTGGCAGCTCAAATGTCCCTGTATGCCCCCAAGAATTTGCCATCCAAGGAAAAAAAAAAGTGCTTATGCCTGGGGAGGGGGGGATTGGTTGCAGCTGGAATTGACTGATGCATCAATGTTGCTTCCATTAAGCCACGACACTTAAGCTTCAAATTAATGTTATTAAAACCCCTAAAAAGCTGTCATTTCCTTCCACTTTTTAGAGATGATGGTCCCAAGTGCCCTGTGGATAATGAACGTTTAAATGAGTCACAGGTAATTATTTACAACAGCAAGCTTTTAAACATAACATATTAAAGAGCTTTGCCATAATATAGGGACATGTTTGAAAACATGTTGAATGAACATGCCCAAGTTTACCTTACCTAAGAGCTACAGTGTATTTGGGGCGTTTTTGTACAGAGGGTAGCTGGCATTGACCAAAAGTGAACCTAGAAGAAACTGCACTTACTGGGTCCTGGATTGTTACATGTTTCATCAATCTGGCATGAAAAAATAAATAAATTCTGGTAATCAGCACCATTTTCTTGTTATTGATATGTGGTTTTACATTTTTTGTGACTTTCTGATCAACTTACTGATCAACTTACTGATCAACATTTTTTTTATGTCAAAAATACATGACAATGATTTTTGACTGCGAGTAAGATTTTTCTTTTTAAATTAAGCTTACTTGAAGAGTTTTTTTGAATTATTGCAGTAAAATAAAAATAATGTTTTTCCCCACACTGCAAATAATAATCTTCTGTAATTCACTATTTTCACTAAGACCATAATACACCTTTTTCAACCCACCCACCCATCCCTCCCCCTTAAAAAAAATGAAAGAAAAATGTTGCATAACCACTGATTTCAATTTCTCTTGGGACAAGTCTACTACCCAAAAGAAATCGGAAACAATGGTTATGCAAAATTTTGGGGAGTAAACAAGATGCCTTATGGCCTTGGTGAATATGGTGAATTGATTTTATTTAAAATAGATTATTTCCCCCCCAAATACCTTCCTTTTTGTTCTTAACGAATGTATATGTAATGCTATGTTCTAAATGAATGTATGTAATTAAAATTATTTACTTCCAAATTTTAGCTTTATCCAGATAACTTTGCCAAGAGGGAAATGCTGTCTCATGATGTTTTTTGCCGACTAAAGAAACAACATGGTTGCCCTTGGAAAGGACCCCTGCACAAGTTAGAGGTACTGTAGTTATACATGTGCTAAGTACAAAATGTGTGGTTCCAGGAAATATCCATACCCCCACCACAGAGGAAATTTCACTCCCCCGGACCTCCCTGGTTTTTCCATTTTTATAGGAAACTGATAAGGCCCCCAATCCGAAACTTTGTCAAGTGTGGCAGACTGTAGATTGACTGAAACCAAAAATATTGTGACAAAGGTGATGTCATCAACAACATTACCTCATTCCCCATCTTCTAACAAAGTGAAAAAAAAGCCTAGAAGCAAGGTTGATATTTCCGTGCAAACTACATCGGCATCATTCCCAAAGAAGCTGTCTGTTGGCTGTTCTTCTCATGTTGAAAGAGCAGAATAATATCTGCTGATGTCACGAACACACTTATGTAACAGCAATTAGCCTGCAACACAAATGAAACAAAACTCTGGTTAAGTCCGTCTACAGAACAGTACCAAACTCCTTGTTCTGGGCCCCTACTTGTGTTGCAGGATTTGAGCACGTGCCATTGCTGGCCTGTTAAAAAGCCATTATCAGTTTGGTTGTTAGGACTGCAGGAAATTCAAAACTCATTTCCATTAATTTGTTGTGTTCGTGAGGGCCCAGCACCACCCTCCCCCCTATCTGTTTGTGTTAGATTATTTGACAGACTGGTCAGCTGTTAATGTCCAGTTGTTCAATTTCCATGCTGCTAGAGCCTCGGTGTGTGGCTGTGACACTGTCCACGACTCGAGCGAGTCTCGTGAGCTGCATTGTCCAACATCATCTGCTGATCTTGGAACCGTGGCCAGTGTGTTACCCCTTTCGCCTCTTGCTGTTTTGCACAGAAGTGCTCGAGCTTCTTTGGCCAACACCGTGTTGGAGATTATCCTGGGGACTTGTCAAGTAAGCTGAGCACTGAGTCTAAGCACCCCCCTGCCTCTCCCCCGTGTTCCCACAGCAAGTCCACGTGATCTTGAACTCTCTGCTTTGGCTATGTCACAGTCACCTTGAGGGCGGAAGAGTGTCGTTGTTGTATTGATATTTCCTTATTCACACTGGCTTATGTCTAGTTAAGCTTGTTGTTTGATTTGATTGTGTGCCTTTTTGGCTCGCGTGCTCTTTCATGGAAAATTGTTTCCTCGAATGTGCTAGCTTTTCACTCTACCCTTGTTGAGATTTGTCATGGGTTCAAATTAGGTTTTTGCCCAACCTACCCATTCAAACCAGCTAAAATGGTCGGCTGATCAGCATGCATTGGTTGTCGATGAGTACCTGGCCATTGAGGTGTCACAGGGGAGGGTGGCAGGCCCGTTCGACTTCCTCTCCTTACCCAACCTCTAGGTGAGCAGCTTTTGCGTTATCTCACAATGGGGGTAAGTGGGAAAGTGGCATCTCATTGTGGACCCTTTGTCTCCTGAGGAGTCTGGTGTCATTGACGAGATCAACCCAGATGAATTTACCCTCCACTGCATTATGGTGGATCAGGTGATTGGCCTAGTTTCCCAGTTCAGCACCTGGCACCTGGAGATGGGTCCCTCTGGCAGACATCCTCTCTGTGCAGTGAACACCATGAAGACATGCCTTGCTTAAAGGGGGTTACTTAAGGCCCCCGTGGCTTTTGTTTGGCAAGCAGCCTCTCACCTGCACTATTCTTAGAGATTGGCTTAGGCAGATCATGAATTCAGTGCAGATACCGGGCAATTTCTCCTCCCATAGCTTTTGTATGCCACTGTCGCTGCACCCAATGGGATTCCAGATCATTAGGCCATTGGTCCAGCAACACCTTTCTGTTTTATACTAGGACACCGGCTGAATCGTTAGCTGTACTCTCACAAAAACTAGCTTCAGCACGTTCCACGTTCCATGCAGAACCCCTTCGCTGCACAGTCCTCATTGCTTCCCGGGTAGCTTGCTTGACAGCCATCTGTCCTGGTTCAGGACCTTTTTGCCTCTTCAAGCTCGTGGATCTGCTAGGTTTGTGCTTTCATAACTTGCGTAGCTGGGGGAGTTGTTTGGTGCTTG